TGTTTGTTTTCAATTGCAATGATTTGTTAACCTCAACCTAAGAATCAAGACGTCCTGGTGTCGTCTTAATCTTATATAGCTTTGATTGACTGACAGAAATGTATTTTACGTCAGAGTTAATTAGCTCAATGACGAACTGCATTTCCAACAGAATTTCACTCCGGTTCGTTTTCTGGTGACGACTCCGAACTTTTACAAAGTGTTTCAATCAGTTCTACATCTTTTCTTTTATATCTGAGAAGATCTGGTTTCAGTGGACTCAACTGGCTAAAATTTAAAATGTCAATAGGAACGTTTCAATGGCACTATATAGTACCCTTTTATGTGGAAGACTTGTGACACTCTCATATAATAAATTGTATTTGAGAAAAACTGCTTTTATTTCACGCAGCATTGTGTTTCCCCGTAAAGGCCCACCTCAATTTTTGTTGAGAAAAAAAAAAAAAAAAATGCCGTCGGAACTGTAGGAGTTTTGTACCAGACACATTTGATGTAGTTCAAATCGGTTTATCTGTTTGCCCATTTGTAAATATTATAGTTAGGATTTTTTCCCTAAAATGGGAATGTCCAAATTTTCAAAGGTTTTATTCGAAAAAACATGTTTTATATTTCGGAAATAGCAGTCGCTTAAACATTGAGTAATTCCATGTTGAAAAGTGGTGAAATCGAGCAATTCTGTGGGCAGTCCGTATCGCCCACGGATGGACCAATAAACAAAGCGAAAAATGGCATCCATTCACGTTCAGATATAACTCCGATACACAATAGCCACTTTTTATATCTCGTGTAGACCTACAAAATGTACATTGCATCTGTGCCTATACTATCATCATGACTGACAAATGGTTGACACGAATGATTGACGCTCAGATATTCAAAAAAACATAGAAAAGTTCGATCAAATTTGTTTATAATAGCAAAAAAAAGTGTGCAGGCTGATTTACTGGAAATATATCCATGGTATTTTGTTGTTTTCAGTGAAAAAAATACAATGCATCATTTAGATAGCATGCGACTTTTACCATTCCATGTATTTAAAACTTGATGAAATAAAGTTAAAGAATCATGTCCGGTCCGTTTTTTAATTATCTGGCGGGAAATAGAACGACCTGTGACGTAATCGAAAATGGCAGATGGAAAGTTTTTCGAAGCGCTGCAGTTTGAGAAGACTGTTCATAGATAGACACTAGCATTTCCAACTTACCTAGATGGAAATATGTTTTCAGATATATCTATGTTATGCAGTTAAAGAAGTAAATATGTAAGCTTTCCAGTGTCTAGGAAACTTCAGGTAACAGAAATTTTGCTTTTGAGATTGTCGTGACAGGCTGTTGATCATTTCGTTCAATCTTAGAATGAATGAGTTTGTTTAGTTATAAGACCTTTGAAATAACACATTACCAATAATGTGATTGTTACCTACAAGATGGTTAACGTTGCATCCATGCCATTGAACGACTGTTTTGTTTTGTTAAAAAATTGTTAACTTTGTGTACAGTAGTTTTTGGGGTATGGGTTTTTTTTGGGGGGGGGGGGCCGGTTGGAGATGGAAGTTGGTAGAAAAATTGATATAATATTTATTTCCGAATTCTGCCAGGCCCCATCCCTTCAGTATCAAATGACCATCCCCTAGCGACAGTCCATATCAAAGAACATGATAATGCAGACATAGTTTCTCATAAATTTGCCGTTATTATTTCATCTTCATCAGTAGATATTATGTGAGGAGTCAACATCAGATAGTTGTTTTTACTTTCTCATGCTTGCCGTTGCAAGGAATAATTGTTCAAATGCATACATCATGTTCCCCGTATTAAATTCTTTAAAGTGTCTGTAAATCACAGATGATGTACAGACCAGGGACCACTAAGCAAGTATTCCATTCATTTTTAAAAGGCAGCAGTGAAAAGGGCTATGTATGGTTTGGGCCTTTTTTGGCCCCCAAATCCATCAAAATTAAAAATCTTCAATATTGAACTTTCAAATAACTGTTTCTTTAATTTTGAATACCTCCCTTTTACTATAATGTAAACATTTATTTAGGTTTTCAATTATGGCTGCCATGGTAACCAGTTAATATTTGCATTTAATTATAAATTAATTAAATTTGAAAATTCAGTAAATTTTGACAGGTTTTTGCCTACTTTTTCTCTTAGTTAGTTACCATAGAGCGCACTCTTGAACAAACTTAAATTTCTCCTAAAGATGTATTACAGGTGCCTACACATTATCCTTTGATTTTGAGTTTGTTCAAGCATGCGGTCTACAGTTTCCAGGAGAAAAACTATGCAAAATATGACAAAATTCACTGAATATTCATTTTTTTCTAATTTATGCAAATTTGAACTTGTTACCATGGCAACACTAATTAGAAATATAAATAAATATTTTCATGACAGTGTTTGGGAAGTATTTAAAATAAAAGAAACAGTCATTTCAACAATCATTTAAAGATTTTGAATTTTGATGCATTTGGGGGCCAAAGCATGCCCAAACCATACATAGTCCTTTTACGCATCATTCAGAGGTTTTTTACGAATTATTTATCTCAATATTACTAAAGTTTTCTTGGTTTCAAGATATGATGTCTATCAAAAAAAAATGTTGATCAATCAGAAAAAATAATTCTAGTGCCAATTTCTTCTTTACATAGTAACCAAATAATTTCAGAATTTTGTTATGGAATAGAAATTTGCAACATTTTTTGTTAATAATGCATGAAATATAAGGAGGCAGAAACCAAATTGGATCACTATATATGCAAAAATACTTGTTAATTTATCAATAAATGTATCAACATGTAGGTTATTACAATAATGTATCCTTATAATACATAGTTATACATCATTCTCAGCCTAGATATGATTATTTTTTAAGTTCAGATAGCATCAGAAGATGTATTTCAAATGCAAAATCTAGTATTATTTTTTCTTTGAAGATTGAAAAGTACGTAAGAATTGTGTATTGGAATTTTGATTACGATCTCAAAAATCAGGAAATATATGTTTGTGTCCTTGTTTTTAGAATTAATGTCCTTGCAACATCTGAGGTCAAATGGAGACTGGCAAGAACCCAAACAAATCAAGATAAACTGTAGGGTAGAGATATAGGGCTACCAATTTAGCAGAAACATAGAGGTTCCCCAACGAGTGGTGGTTGATTTAATATCATGTTTATCTATCTCGAGTTAGTTAATTTTCAAATTGAATAAAGACACAAGGTTTACCGAGTGACTTTTGCGATATGAAAATGATAACCTACCATCACGATAACGTTAATATTCATATCTGCAAAGCCATATGTTTCCCTTGAAAATACACTATGTCAGCTTCCGATGGGGGAAACCGTGAATCATGACGTCACTATTGAAGATGACGTCGCAAAGCATTGACATGGGTAACCAAAAATGTTTACCAACTCCTAATAGGTTTATTCAATGAATTGGGGGGTGAGGAAACCTATAGTGGTTTTGGGAGAAATATGTGTTGCCTGATACAGTGATAAATCTAGGATTTGTGTGAGTGAGTCCTTGGGACCCACCTGTTCTGGACCCATGGGTCCCAGCAACGGCTGCCATAGGCAGCAGGCGAGGAGCGAGGCGACGAAGTGGGGGAGGGGGCTGTGGCCCCCGCCCTCAAGGGGGGTATGGGGGGTCTCCCTCAGAAAAATTTAAGAATGTAGATGCAAAATCCTGCATTCTGAGCACATTTCAAGTAACAATTCCTACTTTTGACATTGTCAGAAAATGTTGTTTTTTTCAATTTAAAAAAACAAATTATTACTGTATACAGCTTCCACACCTCATCCCCACCTCAACCTAAAACTTCCATTGGGTCCTATTTCAAAATAATGCGTTACACAACCATACACTAATTATAAAATAATACAAACGCTTAAACAACAACTCTTATTCTTTATTTTCGTGACAAGGGGCATTTCACTTAAGGGCTTTCAGTTTGTATAGGCGCCTCTCCTTGCCCTCTTTCCATTGTTGGAGGAATTGCCGCCTCCCCTTCTTTATCCACCACATCTTCTCTCTCATGGTCTTCGACATGATGCTTGTTGTCCCTTCCCCAGTCGTAGGACATCTTTGGGAGGCATTGTTTACATTCGTCCACAGTCAACCCTGCTCACTGAACTAATGCGCGATTGGCTGGTTACTGGAAATCGGTATCCAATCAGCCCGTCACTTACATGTATATGAAAGACCCGTACGCTATAATTAGAACAGGGAATTTCCACCACGGGAGTTCCACACATGATCGATGATGAAAGCAAAAACGACACGGGACAGCACCTTTTGATTTTGGTCAGATTTATTTGTTAACCAGTTTGACATGAGGTTGTACAACATAAGTATCTCCTAATTTTTTATGCGTCCCTAGGACGCTCATGGTTAGAATATGTGCGTCCTTTTCAATTTGTATGCGTCTCAGACGCAGGACGCGCACGTAGATTGATCACTGCTGATATGAATTGTATTAAAATTTTCTGATAATGTTCTGAGGCCAGAGTATGATCTTCGATATTATTAGAACATCGGTCAACTTTCTTTTATTGTATTCTGGTTAAAACCAAGGATATACAGTCAATCTCCAATAGATCATTCTATGAATAGACCACTGTAATTTATCATTGATGTACAATTTCATAATTAATCTAATATTAGTTATCCACAGGAAAAAAATCTACTTGCCCCACTTGTATTTTCGTAGTTAATATTGAGAATTCTCACTGGCCCCGACAATAAAACCTATGTGCACTGGGCTTGTGAAATTGTTCACCGATGTTTACTATATAGAGTGTCTGTCATATTGAATTAGTGATGGATTTTCTCTTTCCTACCAACTTTAAGAAAGTCAGACACATATATTTCAGACAGAATGGAAAGTATCGTTTACATTATATATAAAAAAGATTTAGGATTTAGGACATTCCATTTTTCATATCATGGACTATCCTATCTAAAGTATTGACATCAATTTTTTTTCACTTTTCAGATTTTGATATTCTCAGCTGTTGGAAAGTCTTTCAGCCATGGAGCCCTTGACAGAGGAAAGTGTGGAACATTTCCTCATGAACCATGAGGACTTTTTGGCAAGGTTTTATGAAAAGCATGGTTCAAAAGAAATGATTGAAAGAATGACTGGGAGAAAGACATTAAAAGTGGAAAATATCAGTATTGTGAAATCTGAGACCTTTATGGAGGATGTCCCCACCCCTAAAAGAAGATCTGTGACTGGAACGGCTGCAGGTAAACCCATGGGCGGCTATCAGTCATCTCAGAGGAACTCCGTCACGACCAGCATGTTCAAACAGTATGTGGAAGGACAAATGAAGCAAATGAAGAAAGCTTCGTTGGTTCAAAACATCCTCAGTTTGCGTAAACTAAATGAGCAGGAGTTATTCATGGAGCTCATTAGGGATATAGCAACGGAACTTGATGTGAATGTGTTGTGTCATAAAATATTACAGAATGTTAGTATATTGACTAAAAGTGACCGTGGCAGTCTGTTCCTGGTGCGAGGGAATGACCACAGGAAGTTTCTTGTGTCCAAACTGTTTGATGTCACCAGAACGTCCACTCCAGAAGAGTCCATTCACACAGAAGACAATGAGATAAAAGTGCCATTTGGGAGGGGGATAGCAGGTCATGTTGCTGAAACGAAAGAAACCGTCAATATTGAGGAGGCCTATGATGTAAGATGCTTATTTAGTTATAAACTTAAAAAATAAGTCTTTTTTTATATATACTATAATTAATTGTTTGAAAGCAAAAAAAAATAAAAAAAAATAGGGTTTACTGGATGTGAAAGTGTAATTTATTTCACAACTTACACTACAGTCTGGTCCTCTTCTGAGCATGAAATATTGATCAACTCTGGACTACTGTTGAGGTGAAGATAAATATGAACCTGAGAAAGAGAAATCTACGGAGACAAAATCAAAGTCAATATAACTTTTCATATCCATACAACCACATATTCAGCAGAAAAAAAGTCCATCATTGTTACATAATAGATCTTAATGAAATTACGCAGCTTTTATCATTCAACAAGATGGAATGTAAGCAAATGGTTGAGAGAAAGGGAACGGTATAGTTTGAAGTTTTGAGCACTCACCAAGATATGTACATGTATTACAAATTTGATTGACATGTTTTACATAGAGGTAAGTAATCACATACAATCTTAAAGCGAAACAATGTGTGTAAAAGGAAAAACTAAATTTAATGTATTGCATTACAGGGAAGTAGCTTTCAGTCAGATATTTGTGGATTGATTTTAACTAAATTTCCCCTTAGGAAGTGTACTGGATGAATATTATTAGATTATTTACAATCCGCCAAAATAACTTTAAAATATCTTTAAAATATCTTTATCATTTCATGCACTGAATCTGAATTGCTATTTCATGTTTTGGTTGCAGGTACAAGGGTTTATGCTTTTTCATTATTAACATACATACATGTGTGAAAATCGTGTTATTTTGTGGACATGCCATATGTAAATATGTCAATATACGCATCTTCATGCAGGACCCAAGATTTAATCAAGACGTTGACAAGAAGACGGGTTACAGAACACACAGTATTCTCTGCATGCCTATACTAAGCTATGACGACGAGCTTGTAGGTGTGGCACAAATCATCAACAAAGTTGATGGGCCACATGAGTTTACCAAACAAGACGAAGAGGTAATTTAGCTGCTTCAAAAACAATTTGGTGTGTTAAATATGTGGATAGCAAGTCAAGAAAAAGCATTCCAATCTAATTTGTAGATTTTTAAACTGAATTCACACTTGTTCACCTGAGAATGTTGGTTGTATTTCGTCCAAATTCTTGTTTTAAAATGTTATCTTTGGACTATATATTTCTATTTTCATCCTTTTAAAAGGGTACATGTATGTATTGTATCTCAAAGAATTAGGATTTTAATTTGATTGTATACGTTAGCCACTCCTTGACTTATTTGCACTTGGTGTCCAGCCTTGAGAAAGAGGTCAACAAGTTTTTAGGCTAGACCCAAAAAATATATATATATGTTTCCTGTAACACATTGGAAAAAATTAGGGTAAGTAGGTAAGTAACAGGTTTTTAAATTTTTAAAGACAATTTCATGTGGTTAATAAAGGAGAGTGTTCTTGACTTTAACAGTGCTTCTTTGTAAATTGCCTTAAAAACTTTAGGATATAGGCACAAAAACTCAGGATAAGGTAGGGTTACCGGAAACACCACATATTGTTTATTTGGCTTTATCGGGTATCATTTTCTTTAGTAAAACGGTTTTTACATTACCAGATGTGACACACTCTGTCAGTTTTAGAACCAGAATTTTTTTTGGAAATGTTTACAAGTCTGATTTTTTGTGGAAAATTAGTTAATGTAAAGTTACAAATTATTTTGGAAAATTCAAAGGAATGGAGTCATTTCGCATCCAAAATTATATATTCACTTCAGGGGAAATAAACTGAGCACTGACCATCTACTTGCATGTAGGTATAAGCTTACCTGTAATATAAATACATATATATGAGGCCATGACTGTTGGATCATTTGTGTATGGTGAATAAAGTCATAATTGTATCAAGGATTAGAACTGTGCTTATATACAATAATATTGGTAAAGCTTGGTGGGTCTACAGAAGGGATTAGGGTGTTGGTGCATTTATAAGTACATTAGTTTAACGGTATGTGTATCATTTTTAGTTACTTTCATTGTTACTGTTAGCTGATTCTAGCATATTACAAGCCGAATCATCTAATATGTAATAGTCTAAAACATGAAATATCACTTATTTTTAACTTAACTGGGTATGTATTGAAAAGATTACTATATATATATAGTAACAATTTTAATTTAAATCTGGAATATCTTAAAATATATTATGCAGTTGAATATTATTTCTTGATTTTCAAAAATATCTCACCAAAAGGCAAAACCAGAGTAACTTCTTGTGTAATTATAGACTCCTGATTTGGGGTATTCTTGTCTGGTAAGATGTACCCAGGGATCTTTCAAGACCTAGGATTGAAATCTGTCTATTCAAATGGTGTGGATCAGAACCACATATTAATTGGTTTTCCCCTCATACAGTTTATGTAAAGATTGTTACAAATTCTATTCTAGCATATAGGACGTCAACACCTGGTGATTTTTTCTATAATGTACAAGGAAATTTGAAACCTTGAAAATAATTAAATGTGACGACTTCATACATATATTGCTTGCTTACGATCATTGTGCTTTAGTTGATGTCATGAATTTTCTCACCATGTCTAGCTTTGAGTATTTATTGACCTTACCCAGTTCCTATTGGGCCTCTCCGTGCTATACAATGCTGTAAGCCCCCAATACACTGAACAATTTCTTTTCATTTAAACAAAAGTTCAGACAAATATTGCCTGCTTTAGTTGTAAAACTACAATACCTTTCCCCCTTCAGCGTTTATTCATATTTTGACTGTTGTACCTAACTACAGTAATAGCCAATGTTTGTTCATGCCATTTGTTAACGGGTACTTGAACAGCCTATATACATTATGTTTGCGTATACTTTGACCAGCTCAGTGTAATTCTGACCTGGCAGAGTTAAGGTTGTGATGGGATCTAGACTTATTTGTGGGAATTAGATTGGAGATTTTACAATTATGGGGACTCATCAATAAACCATTATGTCATCATATTCAAGAGAAATGGAAGGTGAGTTTGATTATGAAGATAAAAGAATATAGATGAAATAGACTTGATGTTCTGTTGACTTTACTGATTATCCAGATATTTTGTATAAATACAAGATTAATTGCTGATCATAACCAAATGATGATTTAGAAGTATGTTTAAGTTTGTCGGTTAATCTAATTTGAAGTTTGACAGATTGCTGAAATTGCATATTTAGTTCATTTGTCATAGTTTTGTGCAAAGTACAAACTTAATTGTATGCTTTCTGGTAACCCTGCATCTAAGTAAATCTTTATAATGTTATTTAGGATGTATATACCTTACTATGTCATCAGGCAGAAGTATGTAAATGCTTTTCCAAAGTGCCACTTTACTGGAGGAATGCTACTGTGCAGACGATGTAGCACCCAAACCAGACCATTTTATACTCTACCTGGAGTCTTCTGGTCAGGAGAAATACACCTTGCTATTATGACTTCAGGATGGAACCCGTAGATTGCTAGTGTTTTCTGCTTTGTCAAATTTATCCAAGATCTGCCAAGGTTTATTCTGTCTTTGCGTATCGCAGAGTTATCTTCTCTTGTGAGCAGGTATCGATTGTTACGTCATTGGTTTGTGAGAGTAACGTCATCAATTTTTGAGAAAACGACGTAGTTTTCTCACACAACCCAACGACGTAACAATCAATACCTGCTCACAAGAGAAGATAACTCTGCAATACGCAAAGACGGAATAATTAAATATGTAACTTTTGGGATCTTATACAAGTCATAAAATTGTTATCCTATGATCATGATGATGCTACATGTATGTAAAAAGAAAACAAAATCTCTAAACATGTATGTGTTAATGTTGATGTTGCATTCTGAAAGTTTTCGTTTCTCCATTGCAGTACTTCCGGAGGTACTTGATTTTCTGTGGAATTGGCATTACAAATGCCCAACTGTTTGAAATGTCTGTACAGGAGTACAAACGAAACCAGGTAATGTTCTTGTCCTCAACAATGCCAACGGGGGTAATATTTATACCTATAGTACTGAGGCAGATGTATTAATTATACCCCCCGCAACAAAGTTAAGGGGGGTATACTGGAATCAGCTTGTCTGTCCGTCTGTCTGTCTAACCCGTTTTTGATGAAGTTATGGCCCTTTGTTGAAAAAATTCTGAAACTTTTTGTCCGGACAACTCCTTCTAAAGTCATGGACCAACTTCAACGAAACTTTCCAGATATGATAACTACGACCTGAAGTTGTGCATCCTGGTATTAGTTTTTCATTCTGACCCTTTTTACGGAGTTATTGCCCTTTGTTGAAAAATGCTTCCCCGCACAACTTATCCAAAACTTCTGGTTCAATTTCAATGAAAGTTTTCACATGTATATCATAACTACCACCTGATGCTGTGCATCCAGGTATTATCTTTTCAATCTCTCCCTGTTTTTGGAGTAATGGCAATTTGTTGAAAAATACTTTTCCACACAACTCCTCCAAGACAATGCGGCTAATTTCAGCAAAAGTTTTCAGATATGATAACTACCCCCTGATGTTCTGCATCCAGGTATTTTTTTCCAACCCTTTTTTATGGAGTTATGGCTCTTTGTTGAAAAATTCTTGTCCTGACAACTTCTCTTAATCTACTTGACCAATTTCAAAGAAAGTTTACAGATATGGTAACTGTCCCCTGACGTTGTGCATCTAAGTATTACTTTTTCATTCCGACCCTTTTAAAAGGAATTATGGCCCTTTATTGAATAAACCTTTGTCTGCCTCATAAACTACTAGGCCGATTTCAATGAAAGTTTACAGATATGGAAATTACCCCCTGATGTCGTGCATCAGGCTAGTATTTTGTTCATTTCGACCCTTTTTAAGGTGTTATGGCCCTTTGTTAAAACCTTTGTCCTGACATCTTTTCCTCAACTAATAGGACAATTTCAGCAAAACTGGTTCATCTGGGCTAACCAGATTTCGTTTGTAAGTATGTTTTGGCATGGGGAGGGAGTACAGGAAGTATGTCAGTGACCTGTATGCTTAAATAAGTGTACAGCTCAGTCAATAAACAAATCATTACTGGTGGAAAACTGGATTGCTTTGCAATGCTTTGCCTTAGTAGGCCTTTAGCATACAGTTCTGGTTTATATAGGAGCAGGGGTATTTAAGTTAGCCTTTGGCTTACAGTTCTAGTTTTTATTGGCTGTTCCATTAGTGACCGCAATAAAACTCAATTTGCTATCGTATTTAGCTCATGATGTACTGCTGCAAATCTCTAAACAATTTAGAGTTGTCCCCTAGTTATTAAATCAAAAGAGTGCTACTGGCTTTCACTTCTGATGGGCTGAGACATATATACATATATAGCTATGAGCCTACAACTTTTGGTTTCCTAATTAATACAATTTTGTTCAAACTTGGTGGTATATATCGTAGTCGGTGGATAGCTGATATGGTGACAATCTACCTTATCCAGATCCCATAATCCAAGGTGGCTGTTGTGACTTCTGATTTGCTGAGACCTAGGCTATAACTTTTGTTCTATGGCTACAATTTTGTTCATACTTGTTGATAATGGTACACTTAGCAAATAACCTGCTAGTACTATTACCCTTTACCACAATTCCATAATAGAAAATTATCCCTGTGGCTTTTGGTTGGTGATCAATAAGGGGAAATATAGTATACTGTCAGACACACAGCAGGAGACTCACCCTTATTTCCCTAGTCGGGTGCTATATTTTATGCATAAAATGTCATACTGCAGTTATTCTTTTATATATATTCATGTAAAAAAAATCTGTATTTCTATAGCCCTTTCATTTTAATCTTCTATATATCTTCTTATACAATAATTTCAAAAACATCTTGCCTTAGACTTCCAATGAAATCCAAAATGCCAATCAACATCCATTCTGCTACTTAGAGTATTCATTTCATTATAAATGGGTGAGTTTTTCCTATCACAGGATCTGAACCTGATGCTTTATGTTTTAAGTTGCTGCTCAATTTGGCAAGAGGCGTGTTTGAGGAGCAAACAAGCCTGGAGAAACTCCTTCAGAAGATTATCCTACAGTCCCAGGACCTGCTCAAGTGTGAGCGGTGTCTGGTCTATTTGCTGGATGATGTCCTGGATCAGGTAGGAATCAAATCAAACCAATCCCTTAATTGGTTACTGTTGGGTTCATTTTAAAAACAAAACACGCTTATAAATACAGCATGAGTGCAGCTATTGGATATTTGGGCATTGTATTTATGGTTTGGCATGCCTGTTGATAGATTGTATGCATGCTTTTTGTTGCCTGGAAAAGAAACTCTTGCAGCATACATGTTGTGTAGTTCAGTATCTGTACTCACTTTTCAAAATATGGTGCTCAGATTTTGAAGTTTGCTTCCGTAGACTTAACGTTGTAACAAGATTTAGGCAGCATATATTATGCTATTTCATTCATCTTTGTACTTAGTACTAGTACCATCTATTATAATGTATCATTTAAGGAAAATTGTTTTTTGATTCAAACACGTTTTTTTGTCTCAGATATATTTTGGAATATAGGCACACAATTTTTCCAACTTTTGTCAAACCCTATTATTGAATAGCCTGTAGGCTATTATTTTTTACTGTAGTTAGTGTTAGTGTAGGCATTCAACAGGCTCAATATCATATATCATAATATTTAAATGATTATACTGTACCCAAATGTTTCTGCAAACAAAAGATGAACTGTTCAAACAAACTATTTACATTTGGAATTATTCTAAAAAATATAATTGACAACCAGAATTATTCGAATAAAAGATAGATAAATACTAGCACCGCTGGCTAACACATAAGTTTTTTTCTATCAATGATATTATTATGGATACAATTCACAATATTATGTAAATACTTTTAGAAAGTGATTTTATAAGGTAAAGGGTACCAACAGGTTATAAGTGTTCAAAAATGCTATTTTGAAGCTGTTTTTTTCGGCTTGGAAAAAATACAAAAGATATAGCAAAGTGGGGAAGCTCTTCTCGCTTAGAGTTATCTTCTCTTTATAAGGCATTATAAGTTTCATAGCGCTATTTACAAACATCTCCTGTATAGCAGTTGTGATAAAAACTAAGATCAGAAGTGGATAGGTGCTGTGTTTGACCTCTGGAATTTCTGCTTTTGGTTATTTGGTTTTATTTCCAAATATTGAAACATTTTCAGCAACTGCAATTCCATATGATGCATCAAAACTCAAAATATGTGTTTTATATGGAATGCTTGACTAAATCTCATGTTCAATACAGTGATTTTTAGTGAAGGGATTTATATTTTCAGTTTATGGTACATCGGTACGCTTTACCTTAACTCTTTGTGTACTAGATACTCAATATCTAAGGAATTATTAAAACACATCGAAAACACGATTCAATATGTCATATACATGTCTGGCACTATAGGGAGTAAACAGCCTGATTTGTTGATACATGTTGTCAGTGGTACTGAGAGTGTTAACTTTACTTTCCTGGAAAAAAATTAAAGATATTTAATCATAATGTATAGAACCGTATACATATCATATTAGACTGTATAGTCATTTCCTATTTCAGTGTAGACATCCCAGAGTGATTAATGTACATCAGTATGGTGCACATAGACCTATATAACGTGTATTTAGTTCGATTTAATTTTTTTGTTTTCTTTTCTTTCCAAAATTACAATATTTAGAACGTTCTCACAGGCTTGTTTGCCAAGGTTATGGAGGAATACATTAATCACAAACAACTGCGATGGGCTTTCAATAAGGTAAACAGAGGTAACTCACATCCCTTAACCAATGTAGTGAACTGCAATTTTAGGTTCTAAATTTACGCAAAACTGTTTTTCCTGACTTTCCACCATCACTTTCACTAAACTAAAATTGTAGGCTAGTAAGATATGCATTGCCATATTATATTAATGCATTTTTTTCTTTTTATAAAATAATTCATTTGTGTGAGCAAGGGGTAAATTTTTCAAATAAAAATTACTCCTGTATGATCATGTGATGAAAATATCTATACATTCAATTAACCTCTCAAAAATATTGTTCTGTGCAAACATTTAAAGTGGCAAAACGAACACAGAACTTTTGTTTGGACTTGTACTCAAATTAACCAATGTGTGCCAATAAAAATGTTGGTGGGTTTTCCTGTATTCATATGCCACTTCACAATAACTTTCAAAATTTGGGTACAAAATAGGAAAACAAAGCAAAAAAACTTTATAACAATGGAATTGTTTGGAATTTATTTTCTGGTTTGTTACCTGAATAGTATATATACCCTAAAAATCTTGAAATTAAGCCTGACTTGAAAATATGACCGAAATGAAAATCATTGATTTACCTTGCAAAAAAACCACCCTGAAAATAAGCTGCCTAGAAATTTGGCTATCTTCTGTTTTTGAACTGAATCTCACTTTATAAAAAGCCTTTAAGTTCCATCAAGGAAAGAAATGCATTTTTCAGAAAATTTTGCAAAGAATTTATAGCTATAAGCAGCTCCTGGTAAACAAGTATACACAACACAAGTTTGTCTTTACCTAACCTTTTAATGTCCCTGTCTCCTGTCTGAATAAACAGTGATGGGTACTATAAACCAACAATTTGTACATATGTATTGATTTTGGGTCCCTAGTGCAACAGCTGAAGTCGTATGAAAACGGTGTCAGTTGATGATGAGGCCACTCAAGGGTCCGCTTAAACTGCTATCTCATGGAAATATCATAACTTTGCAGAGTAACATATACCAAACCACTCTGTCTTATTGTTTTGACATTTGGAATATTGAAAAAAAATAGGTAATGTAAAGAAGGGAATAAAGGTTACAAGTGTTTCAAAAGAGCAGCAGCAAATCAATTTTGGTTCTTCAATGTCGCCAATAAAAGGGTAGAGAAGTTGACCTGCTGACCCCAAGTTTTGAGGGGTTCCATATCGAATGCATACATATACGATTCTTTATAACATCCTAGAAACAGCTCTGATTGGCGGTTTTAGTTCATCCACACAGGGAAAACAATAGGGTTTTTGTGAGTTGTGAACTTACAGTCTCGGCAGTAAACAATGAACCAGTCTACGAAATGATTTCAGGGGAAAAAGAAGCATGACGGCATATCATGATAACAGTGCCATCCATAAGTATGGTATTGTTACATGTATATACATGTCTGGCGAGAATGAAACTGTTCCATGTCTGGAAAATGCACCGCTGAAAACCTTCCACCTTTAAACTTGCTGTCTAAAATACGTAAAATTAAAACCACCTTGAAATTACCAGGTAGCTGTCTTGAAAACATAGTGGAAACAAAGTTGCAGCTTAATTTCAAGCTTCTTGAGTGACTTTAAAATGGTTGCTAACAATCCTAAATTGAGTGATAACACTTAAATACTGTTGAGTGTTAATATAATACATTGAGTGATCTCTCTGATAAAGTTCTAGTGATTAAAACTGGTTGATATCATTCGACTCCATTTATTGAGCTGTGTTTTTGGGTATTTTAGAATTGGAAGAAGTTTCATTGTTTGGGGGGGGGGCTACCGAGGTAGTCACTTTATAATATGACATGATTTGTTGTCGTGATCAATTAAAACAAATTGTCTCAAATCTGAGCTTATTCAACGTATCATCAGGATAAATCTGGTGACAAGGTACTGGGTTGAGTGAAAAATGCTATATCATTTTAAAAAACAAAACAGTTCCTGTGCATGATATAAATATACATGTTGTATATGGCAGTTGTACTTATTAGTGATATAAAGTGTAGTAAAATTACTGAAATTCACAATTTCAATTTTATATTTCTACTGAATTCTTCTGCTATAAGCATCTGCACAGCATTTTGATGTTTGAAATACTATCAGTGCTCAGTTATAAATCTGCATGTTATCTAACCAACATCAGTTGTATCTGCTGCTAATTTAGATTTCTCTATCTTTTATATTGAGAGATTGCATGTCAGAAGCAGGTTTAATTATTAAGTCCCATCACGGCAAGGTTGTGGAGGGGATGTAGCTTTCCATTAAGACATACTTGCACTATTACACCAGTTGACATTTAATTCTGGCGAATCTCTTCATTTCTTAACTGGTATTGATGAAACTTCATACAATGCGAAAACATCAAACACGTTCTACAATCAAAGCCGAAGTCACTGTTACTATTTATAGAAAATCTTTCCAATCACGACAAGGTCTCGGTTAAATATATATGGGCGAAGGTAACTTACTACTAGTAATTATTATAGACTTCATCTTGTGTTCTGTGTACAAAGATGTGATATTAAAGATACTTCTCTTTTCCCTGTAAATTTTGAGGAAATAATGTCTCTAAAGAACCAATAATATTCTCAAAGGAAATTTTCCTGAATTATTGAATTATTGTTGTGTAATTATATAGGATATCTCAAGTATAGAAATTGTGTTTAAGCTGTAATAAGCCCAGGGAGACGACATATAATGTCTAACTTTCAGATTTTTTTTTTTTATTGTTTATATGACTGATTTAAATCTTAGTCATGGGCGGATTGGTCGAGTGGTTAACACTCCAGCCTCCCAAGCAGGTGGCCGGGGTTCGATCCCTGAAGTCGCCGTACGCATGGAATATTCATAGAAAGTGTTTTTCTCCTGCCCACACAACTCCAACAACCCAGGTGGAGTATAAAATGTTCTTGGGCGGGTGTTGCGGTATCTGTGCTGTAGCATTCAAGTGAGGGGGCACTATAAATGATACCGTTGAAAGCACGGTCCCACTACAAACAGAACACAATACATCTCCAGCACACACACACAGGCATACACACATAGGGAGATATTAGCCAGGTGGCATAGGACTAGTAGTTTAGCGCCTGATAAGGAAGCTCCTGTGAATTCCTCAATATTGTATTGATTAATGTATATGCTAATTGTTATGACTGTATAAAAATTAATAATGAACTGTAAAGTGCTTTAGAGTGGCTTATCTTAGCTAGATAGGGCGCTATATCAAATGTTGTATATTTATTTAGTTTTTGGGGGACTAAATTTTTACAGGACAAGGAAATTGGGTTTTTTTGTTATTGAAATGTTATAGATAAGGTTCGTCTTTTCACCAGATATAGGTTTATTGTAGGATGAATATAGTTTAAAATAAATAGATAAAAAAAAATCAATTTATTTATATAAATTACATTTGCATAGCATTGCCACTTTCATAGCCCAATAGTAGCATTGGATAACATTAAACTTACCCTAAAATGTAGGTGATTGTCCAAAGCACGGTCAATAAAATGATAATTTCTTAAACTGTTTACAGACGGCAATCATTGGGAACTCATTACAGGAAAATTCAATATAGAAGTGATGCTTCATAAAGTTTTCTTATGTGATTATAAAAATCTGAATTGTTTAATAAACTTGATAATCGTAGGAATTCTCTGAAATGCATGCCTTGTTATTCATGATAAAGGAAGACCATAATTATATATATTTCACATTAACAAAAATCTGTAATTTTGTTTCCTATGTCACCGGAGACAAATTAACACCTCTTGACTCTCTACTCCCGTCAGTCAATTTGCTGGAACCATTTCTAAATTGATCTGACTTGAAATGCTTTTAATTTCCAAAGTCACTGTTAAGGTTCTTTATTTCCCCTTAATTAGTGTTTGAGATTAACAACAGCACTACTAACTCCAGAACTTCCCATAATTAGCTTGCTGACCTATTTTGTGAAAGGTTGATCTAATATGAGTGGTTAATCTTTCCTTTTCCCTAGCTTCTAATACTAACCAGTGCTTTTTGAAAAACGATATTAACAAAAAGTTTTGTTTTTTTGAATGACTTGTTTATAGTGATACACTAACAATCTACTAATAATTAACTGGAAAGCCCTGAAATATTAAAATTATGTATTTTGTTCTGGTTCTATGAAAAAGTTGTTGAGAATTTGAACTAATGTTTCCAATTTACTATATTAAAATTTGACATATTTTTATCCATAATTCAGACAACATATTACTAATTCAAGTCTATATCTACTTGGCTTTTGATTATGAGCATGGCTTTATTTCAGCTAGGTACTAGATCATGTATAAACCTAAGTTTTCTGATTTGGTATCTTTAAGTTATTGCTTGCTAGTAAAATATTGCATTAATGATTTGCATAATAATATTGATTTCATTTGGTATCGAAAATCTAGTAGCAAACACATTGTTTCTTTGTTATGATCAAAGAGTTGTAATGATTTAGATACAATTTGTAAAATAAATATCCATTAATTATCGCTACAACCATCTATAATAATGATAAAAACTCGAGTGTTTTGTTGTAAAGCATGTCAGTCATCTTAATGTTTGTGATTTGAGTATTTTCTGCTTCCTCAACACAATGGTATCATGGACCATTATTACAAACGTTTTTATCTACACAACTTGAACCGAGTCGCTTTATAATGTTGGATCTGACATCCTTGTCGATGAACTGAGCCGCTTTATAATGTTGGACCTGACATCCTTGTCGATAAAGGAGATGCAGCAGGGCATGTTGTGTTCTGTTGTTCTTGTTGTCATCAATGTTGTACATTTTTCTCATAGGATGCAGATAAGCCACACGAAGATTATAAAAAGCCGACCAGTACGAAGGTAATTCTATAAATCAAACGTATCTGTAGCCCATATGGCATGTAGTTTTCATATGTATGCCGTTTCTTCTGTCTTTTACTAACAATTGGAAAGGTTCGGTATACAGCAGAACTTGTGGTAATTCAGAGACTACATTCTCAACATACTGGTAACATATATAAGGTAGGTGGTGGCTGATGGCTTAGTGGAATAGTAAAAGCATGTGACTTAATTAATTTAAAGGTTCGATGTGCTAGCAGTTTTACAGTATAAGACTATTTAACATTAGCTGATTCTTTGGGGAAAATAGTTAGAAAGTAGGAAAATTCAGAGAAATATGTCATCATTCACTGATTAGCTTTTAGGCAACCTGTGTTAACGTTTCAATAATGAAATCTTTAGAGAGAGCAGATGTTGGAATGCTGGAATAGTTTGCTCTGTAAATAACATTGATAATGCACCAATGTAATATGGTTCATATCAACCAACATTTTCATGCCTCAGTCTTGACAGCATTTTTTTTCCATTTTAAATAAGAAATTTTATTAAACACTTAATTGGAATTGTGCGTTTGGCCAAAATTTCAAAATTCAAAAGATCATTATTTTAGTTGTCTAGATTGAAATTAGCTGATGCATGCATGTATTTTTTTGTTGACTGGAACGTGACGTGTTGGAATGAGATCCTCTACTTTTATCTACTTATATAATTAGAGTTAAATGAAAATCAATTATTTAAATCTGCTGATCAATTATATGTGTATAATTAAATCTAAAACACAGAAAAATATAGCCACACCCTTCCGGTGAGCATGTGAAGTATTGTAGGTGGGACTGATATATTTCTATAAAACTATCGATTTGGAGGTTCGTGGTGAATTAGGTACTGTAGTTTGAGTAAACACTTAAATGTAATGCACGGAGAAAAGAAGGTTGTCATTACTGCAACACAATGCATGACATTTAAATTTGTTTCAAAAGCATGTGAATTAGATGTGATATGCTGGAGGAAAAGCATGTGAATTGGATGTGATATGCGGGAGGAATAGATATTTGTTTTCTTCCTGCTTCAGTTGGAAGTATTTCAAGGGCTAATATTCTAACCCAGTAATTTTTTAACTAGTTATCCAACCCTTTATAGATTTGTAGTCATTTCTAGTTCATTTCATTAAAAATTGTATCTTATATTACACCAACTGCTGATTCATGATCATCAGCAACAATCTGATGTTTCATTTGTGTAATGAAAACTTTGGTAAAAACTGTCTGGTTGCTTGAGGTGTTGTTTAACAAGACTAGATTGATTGCATTGGCCAAAGAATGTAGGTACAGAAAGTGTGCTGTTGTAATCGTACGGTGAGTGAACATTTCATACAGAGAATTACTGTATCTATAATCTAAATGTATATTTTGCACTGTACATATCTTGCATGCAAATATGAAGGAAATCTGCATGAAGAAGTTTAATTTTTTGTGTCAAGAACTTGTTACTTCTTTTTTAAAGTTCAAATTCATGCATAACAAACAATAGTACATTTAAACAGCAAATTAAGCCAGTTACTTCCTTTAAAAAAATTTAAATTCATGCATAACAAACAATAGTACATTTAAACAGCAAGTCTGTGGTGCTAATATAATAGCATTGTGTCTATTAGTATAGGAATTTGTTGTTGCAATTTGCATTCATGATCAACTATACTTGGGTTGTTGCATGTTTGATTGGAAAGCTATATATTACTATTTTCTTTTAGTTTAAGAATTTATTGAAATATATAGTCTCATTAATGTTGAAATCCCAGTTTGTATTTATCAAAAATATTGAATCAAAAATTCCATGGCACAGTGCATTACTAGTATAACACAGATTAAATAAAATTCACCCGAAAAATTGTCTTTTTTTAAGAATTGATATTTTTCATCCTGGTTTCGAGAGCCCTCTTTGTAAACATGATTTTCTTGTCAATGTGTTATCATTTAACTTGCATAAAGCGAGGTCAAAATTGTGAACTGTTCAAACATATGTTGCATTTAAAAATTCACAGGTTGTGTTTAGATCACTAAGATAGAAAAATATAACTGCTACAGTATACAAGTCAATAGCAATAATGCTGATTAGAGTTGGATATTCGGTTCAGAAAAGTGTGACTAATGAAAGGTTTCTGTTTGCAGGAAGTCGTTTTCTGCAAGGCATTTGATTTGTGTGCCAAAGATGGTGGAACAATCCATGTACCAAGGTGACTTCTAAGTTCTTTAAGAAACTCTTTACCTCTATGGTTCATTTAGAACGTCCTATACAGATAATCATTTTGTCTGTCCCTACTTGAAAGCAGGGTTCTAATAAAACGCTACCTTAGGCTGCCTAGAATATGTTGCCTGAATGTCTTACAAGGGCAGCTTCTTAAGACTTCTTAAAATATGATTTGAAACATTTAATTTAATGAAAATATTGATTAATAGTATCTTAATAGAAACCCCGAGGGTTGGAGATTAATAGAATCTTTCACCCCCTTGGGGGTGAGATAGGAGAATCTCAACCCGAGGGGAAGATTTTTAAGTTGCCAAACACGAGGCTTTGCTGAGTGTTTGGCAACTTAAGAATCGTTTCCCGAGGGTGGAGATTCCCCTATCTCCCCCACAAGGGGGTGAATGATTCTGTTTCTCTTACCCTGTTCTCCCATTGTGTATCATATTGATATACACAATGTAACGATAACGTTACATTGTAAATTCAGGGTTGACGTGACGTTGGCGGATTGTTGACGTGACGTCATTGTATTGTTGAAGTGACGTCATGCCATTGTATGAATAGGGGAATCCCCCCGTCTCAACCCTAGGGTGAGACAAGGAAATCTCACACCGGTAAAAGTGCGGATACACCTGTTCAGGGTAAGAGAATACTCTGTCACACCCTCAAGGTAGCAGATGAGTGTAAACAAAAACACATGAATATTGTCATTCTCTTTTGATTACGTCACAATTACCAGTGACGCATTTTAATGACGTCACAATTGAACACGTGCTAATCGGCACAAGGTTATCTCCCTGTAGGGGGTGACAAGCTGTTCTTTCTCGGCTAAAAGGGGAGACACACCCGTGAAGGGTGGGAGACACATCCGTGAAGGGTGGGAGACACACTCGTGAAGGGGGGGGGGGGGGACAAACCCGTGAAGGGGGGGAGACACACCCGTGAAGGGTGGGAGACACCCCCGTGAGGGGGGGGAGACACACCCGTGAAGGGTGGGAGACACACCCGTGAAGGGGGGAGACACACCCATGAAGGGGGGGAGACACACCCGTGAAGGGTGGGAGACACACCTGTGAGGGGTGGGAGAAATATTTTTCTTTTAAATTTTCATCTGAGGATGCATTGAAGTGTAGAATTAAGCATGTATGCTTCAAAATGTTCTCAGCACTTTCTGTTGGCTTCAAGGATAACGTCACAGCTATTAACCATCTTTCGAAAATATTTGTCATCAATATTAGAATTTAAATACTCAGCCTGTATCCAATAATAGAAATCTTATGACCTTGGCACAGCTTATAATCTGTGGAGATAAAATTTCAAAGTTTATCCAAGTACAGTGAGATTATCCCTGAGTCACACTTTATTGCTCTCCATGTTTTAACTTATATAACTTCAATATATTCTCATTGTTTTTATGAACTAGGCTATGAAACTAAATGCAATAGGTAATATTGTGTTATGCATGTAATGAAGGCAAGTGGGATACACTGTCAACATACTTTTGTGCTAATTTGGAGGTGGTAAAATATTTCAATTGCTAAACATAAAATCCCTGTTTCCTGCGCATGTCACAAAGTATTTGATTGCTGTAGGGTAACTCATGATGTTTGTGACTTGGAAATTGCTGCTAATGTGCAGAAATTTACACTTCATCTCTTTTGTTTTCTTATTTCTTATAGTGTTGCCAGTTTAGCAAAATCAAAAAATGCTGAGATTGCTCGCCATGTGGTGGTGCAGGGAATGCCTCTCAACATTGTTGATCTGGAGGAGGATACAACGTTTAAAGGCCCGGTAAAATTTGGTTTGTTATGACAGGCTTCAAAGTGATATGTTTGATTTGTAGTAAAGCCTCACAGTATTTGATGTCTGCGGGAATGTCAGAACCAATGTGAAATATAAGGATTTACATGTAATTTATAAAATCCCTGTTGTGAGTTTTCTATACTTTACTTTTGAAAACAAAACAAGTCTATTTTTGTACCCTTATGGTAAATTCAAACTTCTGCTAATCAATGCAAAAATCAATATGAAGGTGAAAAGTTTGAAGACTTTATCACAAATAGGCAGACTTTGCAAGTATGCTTTCTGTTTGAATTAAACGTGAAAGCCACAATACATCTGGTAGTTGTTGTGTGGTTCCTACTCACAAAATCATCTCAATTAAAAACTACTCCTACTTGCGTCATTGACGGTATTGCAGAACCATGTCAGAATTTAGGCCAAACAAAAAAATATTTTGTGTTTCCGGTAACCCTACCTACCCTAATTTCTTGTGCCTACCCTACACTTTTTATTAAGGCAATTTTTAAAGAAGCACTGTTAAAGTCAAGATCACTCTTCGATATAAACCATATACAATTATTTGTTAATTTTTTTTTTTTTACCTACCTACATACCCTAAATTTTTCCAACATGTTGCAGGAAACACATATTTTTTTGTCTGGCCTTAATTAACCATGCAATTTTAAATCCAATGGTATTGAGTGCAAAACAGTGTTAAAACAGTGTAGATATTTAAATGTCAATAGCTTCTGTTAATCCATTACACACGATTCCATTTCATTTGACTGTAGCATGTTGACGAGGATGGGTTCCAGAGTAAGAGCATGCTGTGTATGCCTATCTACAACAGTGACAAGAAAATCATTGGGGTGACACAGCTGATCAATAAAATCAATGGCCAGGCCTTCATTGAAAGTGATGCCAACATCATCGAGGTAGGAGACCGACCAAATTATAGCTACAAAACACGGTTGTGTATCTTACAAGACCAATTTAAATATATATGAAAATGAAATCTGAATTGATGGTATACACTTATAAGTTTAAATCGATATGACAAAACTAGGTAATACAGTTGAATCTGTATTAAGTGGCAGCCTAAAGGAAAATTCAAAACCAGCCTTTGATAAGAATTGACTATTAACAAATTCTTTTTAACAGAATTACCAGACACATGTGACCTACCAAATGACCCCTTGTTCATATAACTGTTACCATAAACTGACCATCAACCCAAGCGCACATTCACACATGTATTTAAAGAAAGTTTGAAACAAAAAGATTCAGTGGATCAATTAAACTATGATATGACAGTAAACAAATGTCATTTCACTCATAACAATAAATCACCGGAGACTTGCTGAAGTGCTTGAATTACACAGCCATCTTTTTCATCAGCATTCAGGATTTAAGTTGAATTATAATGTAAAACATTGTCATCGAAATAAAAGTGACTTTCCTCCACTTGCTGGTTGCATCAGATCTACATTCTCATATACAGTTAAATAACAGTTTCAGAAGGGAGGAAAATGGTTGCATAAAAGTCACCTAATACAGATGGTCTCATGATTAGATTTATTTATAGTTTTTACAATCTTTTTAAAACATGTTGCTGTTGTCGACATTCCTTCGCAAAAATTCTGTAAGAAATGTCTTCTTTTTTATGTTTAGGCATTCTCTATCTTCACTGGCCTGGGGATCCACAATTGTCAGATGTATGAGAATGCTTGTAAGCTGATGGCAAAACAGAGTGTGGCGCTGGAAATCCTGTCCTATCATGCCACGGCTCAGGCTTCGGATATAGACGAGTTGTTGGTAAGTAGAAGCTAGTGCCCAATGCTATCCCAATCCCATTTTGTGATTTAGGAGAAAGTTTTTAAGCTTTGGACTGTTATTGAAAGTATTATAAGTATGAACAAAATAAACCCCACAGATATTTAGCTCACTTGGCACAAAGTATGAACGGTCAGGCACATGACGGGGCCCTCGCTGACCTCACCTATCATTGGTCTAGTTTCATTTTGATATAACTGTAGTTGAGTCACGACACTCAATCCATTGACCAGGTAGCTCAGTGGGTTAGAGCGATATTACAACAATCGGAAGATTTTCACACTCAGAACACTTTGATGATTGTATTTTGTTCATTTCATCTTTATTATTTTTTCATAAAAGTCGTGCAAGGTACGGTTTTCTTTTCAGAAATGACTTATCAAAGCTATAATCTTGTCAGAAATGACTTATCAAAGCTATAGTCTTTCTTGACAGGAGTGACTTATCAAAGCTATAGTCTTTCTTGTCAGAAATGTCACTTATCAAAGCTATAGTCTTTCTTGTCAGAAATGTCACTTATCAAAGCTATAGTCTTTCTTGTCAGAAATGTCACTTATCAAAGCTATAGTCTTTCTTGTCAGAAATGTCACTTATCAAAGCTATAGTCTTTCTTGTCAGAAATGTCACTTATCAAAGCTATAGTCTTTCTTGTCAGAAATGTCACTTATCAAAGCTATAGTCTTTCTTGTCAGCAATGACTTATCAAAGCTATAGTCTTTCTTGTCAGAAATGACTTATTAAAGCTATAGTCTTTCTTGACAGAAATGACTTATCAAAGCTATATAGTCTTTCTTGTCAGAAATGACTTATCAAAGCTATAGTCTTTCTTGTCAGAAAAAAACACTTTCCAATGGATAGTTACAGAGTACATAGATTTCAGCAGCGTAACAGGGGTCCTCAATTTATTGTATTCATATAAAGAACAAGCCCATTATGCAGTTTGGCTGTGAATTGTTATTGAAAAGCCTTCTGATAAAATTCCACTGCATGGTGTCTAATACATGATTGAAAATACAATACAAATTGAATTATACCAAACTAGGTAGAAATCAATACAAGATTTGATTTGAAAGTGGTTGTTTTCTTATTTTAACAAGCATTTTCTATATTTTGTATTTTTTGTTTTCTCATTATCAGACCTGTGAAATCCCATCTGCAGCCAAGATCGAGTTGTACTCCTTTGGCTTCAATGATATACCCATGCCTGATCTTGATACAGTTAAGGCTGTGGTGTGTATGTTCAAGGAAGCCGACCTTTTCACCAAGTTTCGGATACCTTATGATGTAAGTAAATGTTCTTGTAAACGTGGACCTAACTTGGTTAAGCTATATATAGATTACTACCTGCATCATCATGGGTACAGCTAAGATCTGTGATAGTTATAACGTTGCGATCATCAGGTCTTTTTGAGTTGTTTATTCATATAGGCAATCGATACATCACTGATCGATGCACATGTAGTCAAGAAGAATACAAGGTATAAAATGATTGCCAATACAACTATCAAAAGAAACTAACCTTTTCTGGAAATATTTCATTCATTACCAGGTGCTGTGTCGATGGGCGTTCAGTGTTAAGAAAAACTACAGGCCAGTGACGTACCACAATTGGAGACATGCATTCAATGTTGCTCAGACCATGTTCACCATGATATTCGTGAGTTGAAAATTCAACACAATTATCTATGTCGGATTTTCATCATAGGAGGAGAAGTAGTTACATGTAGTTCTACTTTTGTTGCAATCATGTTTGAAGTTTTAAATGAGAAGTGATTTTGATTGGCTGTTACTCAGACAATAGTATTGAACTGGACGAATTACAATCTTCATAAACGAGCTATAGAGTAATTGTAATAAAGATATAATTCTAATTGGATTGTAATTGACCTGAATTAGTAAATATGAATGAAAAAATCACCTGGATGACTCGAGATCTAATAACTCTCAGTGTCATCTTCATTGTCTTCATTAATGAGTATCAATGGCTGCCATGTGGGTAACAAGATGTCATTGAAATATCATGAAATGGCAGATACACTTGGTGTCTAGTGGTACTTACATATATATAACAGCTGCACATGAAACTTACATAGACTTGTTATTTTTATTCCTACAGACTGGAGGATTAAGGCATATGTTTTCAGACATAGAAATATTGACGTTACTGGTCGGCTGTCTGTGTCATGATTTGGACCACAGAGGAACTAACAACGCTTTCCAAGTCAAGTACATGTCCATCCATTGCATATCTAAGTTTCTTGATTAGTTTTAAACATATTTTGATAATAAACTGAGAGTTTCATTTTGATACTCCCATCTATGATGGGACATGTATTATGGTATGACATAATATTGTCTTGCTGGCTGGGTGTCAACAAATATTTCATCAGGGTCATAACTTCCTTGCTAATCTACCTATACATAACCAAACTTATTTTACTTGTGTATCTTGGGGATAGGTTGTGAGCCCTATACTGAAATTTAGTCATGTGCCTCATTATAATTGTACCCAGTTATAGCCTTTTGTTCATTTTTTGACACCAAAGTTTGTCAACAGTATCACTTTTGGGAAGGGTATCCCATGTTACAATTATGGTTTTTTAAGTTCACCTGGCCCAAAGTTGTCCGTCGTCTGTCCAGCATCAACGCTTTTCTTTAAACAACTTCTCATATCTGGCCAATGTAGCATGTTGGGATTTAGGGCTACAAAGTATGACTTTGACCCACTTTCAATATCACAGGGGTCAGATGTTTAAAAAGCTTCAAAGCAATTTCTTCTATATAACCCAAAGGTCTAGGATGATGATATCTGGCCAGAAGCATGCTGGGATGAATTGTTCAAATGAATTACCTTTAATAACCGACTTTCAAAGTCCCAGGGGTCAAATAAAACTCCAAACAACTTATTCACAATAACCAAAAGGCCCAGGGTGATTATATTGGCCTGTAGCTTAATTTAGCCTATTTAATTATATTCATCCTTGGTCCACTTTTGAGGTTACTGGTATGAAACTAAATACCATTGAGGATCGGCCAAGCCATTGGGCCGCTTGTTCTTGTTACAGTTCGGTAGTTTGATCAATTTTATTACAAAAATGCATTAGCAGAAAGGTTATTCGTATGGCCTTTAGGTTGATGTATTATGCAATTTGAATTCAGGACTTTAAATCGATTTATTTTATTTTGCTTTCTCAGGGTTGTCTCCCCTTTGGCTATGCTGTATAGTACCTCGGTGATGGAACATCACCACTTTGACCACTGCATTATGATACTCAACAGTGAGGTAGGTTAAAATAATTAACAAAGAATCACATAGTCTCAAACCAATGATGAGAAAATTGCATTTGAATTACCATACTGAAGCTGTTTTATCAACACCTATGTTCATTATTTGCTTGATTAAAATTGATCTTTCTTTTCAGAGTTTAATATTCACTGTAGTGTATATCTGCATATTTGAGTTGATATTTGAATTGAGACTCAGAGTCTGTAAATACATGTAGGTGTCCTTTTAATTAGCATCATATAGATTTAATAACTGGATTTTGAAGTTAGAATTTTCTCCACCGTTATAGAATAATCTGACAATGTTTTTTCTTCTTTTTTTTAGGGCAACAACATCTTTCAGTCCTTGTCATCAGCGGAATACAGAACTGTAATCAAGATGTTGGAGCATGCGATCCTCTCCACAGATCTCGCTTTGTACTTCAAGTAGGTGTTAGCAGAGTTTTAAGACTTGAAAGATCTAGTGTTTCTGAATGTTAAGCATTTGCAGATAATTTTATTAAAAATTAAAGTTGTATCATAATGTTTTGTGAATAAAGAGGATTTAAATCCTCCAGTGGTGACTAATATCAATAGAATTTATCATAAGTTAGGATCTGGGAGCTGGAAATGTTGCCAGAGGATGGAGAATTAAAGGTCAGAAGGAAGGTTTTGCTCACATTCTGACCCCAAATTCTACATGACGATTTTCATAATTATCCCCCTTTACTACATACTGGTAATGAGTGAATCTTTGTCTCCAATCTATGACTCCGAAATTCTGTAAAATAACAACAATGACATTGGGAATGAGACAATAAATATAGTAGATTTTCAAGATAAAGTACAAATTAACCATGAACATTTTGTGTAGAAAATGAGGTGACAAAATATTGTGATGTCATGCTGTGCTAGGTAACTATCAAAAACAGTCATTCATAATCTAGAGGTAATGAAATATATAGCAGGTTTATGATGAATACCTGGAGATATGTATCTGGCCATGGATGAATGTTAACATGGAATTCAATAGGTAAGTGAATATCCTAGATCTGAATAGTTGCTGAAAGAGGAACTTGTTTCCTTTGATAGCTGTAATGTGTTGTAAATAACTGTTATTTGTATATATTTACAGGAAGAGGGGAGACTTCAAGGCTTTGATAGACAAGGGAGACACGAAATTTGAAACAGATCATAATAAGGAACTGTTGAGGTAAAGTAATCACATTATAATCTGCACAAGTATAGGGCAAACTTTAAAAATAAAATAAATAATTTCAAGTGAATTCCATAAAATTGATTAATGATAGAATGAAAAGATGAATCCAGATTTTAGAACATTAAACAAAATTATTGTAGACATTGCTTTATCTTAAATCAGTACCAATAGTATTAGAAGGATTTAGAATAATGTAAGTTAAAAATGATTTCTTTTCTATGTGTTCTATTTAATGGCATATCAATGGAAGTCATGCTTTTTTTTATATATTTATATGCTTATTTTTTTACGATTGTGGTTAAAATACAGAGCCATGATGATGACCGCATGTGACGTGGCAGCTATCACAAAACCGTGGGAAATCCAGAAGGAAGTGGCACAGCTTGTGGCAAATGAATTCTTTGAACAGGGGGACATTGAGAAAGACAGACTGGGTGAAAAACCAATTGTATGTTTAAATTTCATATCAATCTTTATCATCGTGTGCTGTACATACTCAGATTAGTGCATTGATGTTTCAGTACATCAACCTCAGTTTTCACACCTAGATATATATGGGAGATCAATGAATACACTGTAAAAGCTCTAGGCCTTAGGCTTTATGTATGAGAAACATATGCAAGACCACACACTTGTGTTTTTCTAACAATCAAAAAGCACGAGTTTATTGCGCGGACGAATATCCGCACACGAGTGAATATATACGTCCGCGCAATAAATGAGTGCTTTCTGATTCGTCAGTAAAACACAAGTGTGTGGTCTTGCTTTTATCACATACCTTCCGTATTTGGTAGAGATCGATACAAAGATTTTATAAACTTTTATATTTTTTGCAAAAACCTGGAACTTTTCAGTTCGCCATGACAAGGGGATGATTCCCATAAAAAGTAGTTCCGACTAGTAGGTAAATACAACATTCCGTATTGCACATGTGCAATACAGAACGTTGTATTTCATGGTCTGAAATTTGCTTGTATTTCTATAACAAGATTCAACAGGTATGTGATAAACTGGATTATGAAATAAAATGCTGTTTTAAATTATCAAAGTTATACACGTCGGGATTTAGTGCTAGAACTTACAAAAACCTTAACGTATACAGGCATTTTATATTAGCAGCTATCATTATGTTAGAGCTCTTTAAAATAAGCTCAGGAAGCACGAACATATCGTGACCACTGGAAATAAGTATACTTACTACAGAATGATATACATACCTGTATGATGTTTCAAATTCCAGTATAATTTAGATATTTAAAAGCACACCCTTTAATTAAGGTTGTCTTTTCATGGTCTCTTATCCGTGTTGATGATTTATGCATTGCGCAGATGGAACTGATTTTTCATTGTCTTTTGTTTTGTTCACAATTTGTAGGTATACTCAGTTTAAATCTTGTTATATTTGCCAGGCTATAATGGACAGAGAGAGTTTAAATCTTGTTATATTTGCCAGGCTATGATGGACAGAGAGAGTTTAAATCTTGTTATATTTGCCAGGCTTTGATGGACAGAGATAGTTTAAATCTTGTGATATTTGGCAGACTATGATGGACAGAGAGAGTTTAAATCTTGTTATATTTGCCTGGCTATGATGGATAGAGAGAGTTTAAATCTTGTTATATTTGCCAGGCTATAATGGACAGAGAGAGTTTAAATCTTGTTATATTTGCCAGGCTATAATGGACAGAGAGAGTTTAAATCTTGTTATATTTGCCAGGCTTTGATGGACAGAGATAGTTTAAATCTTGTGATATTTGGCAGACTATGATGGACAGAGAGAGTTTAAATCTTGTTATATTTGCCAGCCTATGATGGACAGAGAGAGTTTAAATCTTGTTAAATTTGCCTGGCTATGATGGACAGAGATAGTTTAAATCTTGTTATATTTGCCAGACTATGATGGACAGAGAGAGTTTAAATCTTGTATATTTGCCTGGCTATGATGGATAGAGAGAGTTTATATCTTGTTATATTTGCCAGGCTATGATGGACAGAGAGAGTTTAATTCTGGTTATATTTGCCAGGCTATGATGGACAGAGAGAGTTTAAATCTTGTTATATTTGCCTGGCTATGATGGATAGAGAGAGTTTAAATCTTGTTATATTTGCCAGGCTATGATGGACAGAGAGAGTTTAATTCTGGTTATATTTGCCAGGCTATGATGGACAGAGAGAGTTTAAATCTTGTTATATTTGCCAGACTATGATGGACAGAGATAGTTTAAATCTTGTTATATTTGCCTGGCTATAATGGATAGAGAGAGTTTAAATCTTGTTATATTTGCCAGGCTATGATGGACAGAGAGAAGAAGGATGAGTTGCCGAAAATGCAAGTTGGCTTCATTGATGCCATCTGTATTCCTGTTTACAAAGTATGTACAATTGTTTATAACTTTATTGATATTTTTATACTTCAGAACATGATAATTGTGTTATACTTTGCACTCTAGATTTCAGTTTAACTTTTTCACCATTTCACAGATAAACCAAATGATCCAAAAAAATATGTTAAGCACTATTTTTTTAACTCACCTGTTCATCAACTAATTAACCAAACTTGTATTAACATGATATAAAACTCAACGTTGTTAAACTAAACCTTTTTAGCAGGACCAATTAAGGAGCTAACAGTCAGTACCTAAATTTCTATAAGGGATCAGAGACTGGAAAATCATATTGTGTGTATTTGAAGTTGTTTGAATCAGGGATAACAGACAGAATGACTTTAAGGGCCATATTAATGTCTAGATGTTAAAAATATATGTGTAATTGGCATTTTTTATTAGAACAATATCTTTCAAAAACCCAGTTTTAATATTGTGGTAATAACGTTTGTTCTGTATAAGATGTACAAAGCATAATAAATCTAATGTACCAAAATTTCTTGCAAGCTACACCATGTAACCAGACATTGCATGAAACTGTAGAAAGAAAAATTTGAAAAGCTTAAGAATTTTTGTTATCATGAATGATTTATTAATTCAAAAATTTGAAGTATTAAACTGACATTACATGCTGTAGGAAAATGATTTTACCTATAGATATCTTCCAAAATATCACTGGAGTTTGAAAAATAAAAGAGAGAAGTGTTTTTTTCATGATGATCACATTTTGTAGGTTTAAATCAATTTTCAGCTTTCCATTACATATACACTTTCAAATGAAATTAAATTCTAGCTTAATTGGTGGTATACATGTTTTACATCAACTGTAGTTTGTTAAATGATAAGGCCATATGCAGAAAAATTAAATGAGTCGCAACTACTTACAGTATGTGAGATAGTATGTAGATATAATAAAGCCTTTTAACTAATCATGTGTTTGGTATATGGTTAAGATGTTTTCAGAGTTGTGGGGTGGTTTACGGCCCATGTACAAAGGATGTGTATACAATCGGAATCAGTGGCAGGATTTGGCTGACAAGCAGAATGCACTAGAATCACCTTCTAAAGTCACCTCCACAGGTCTCCTTGTCAATATATCTTTATATTATTTTCTCTCCGCCTCTTCATCTTGTCCTAGCTTGATTACCACTGCAGAATCCTGCATGTTGGCTGTTCATTGGATGGTGCTTTCTTAACCTTAGTTTATCCTGAATATTGCCTGAAATGTCTTACCAGCTTACTTTTGGAATTCCTGAAGAGGTTTAATTTCCATACACATGTATTTATGTTGTGGTGTAAATGTGGGAACTAATTGAATTCTTGCATGCAAATTGAATAGAACTTGCATATGGACCTGAGAGTGCTCCCTACTCTGATATTGTAATAAATATTTACCCTGTATACAAGACTTAAAATATCCCTGCATGTACATGTATAGATAAAGTTAGAGAAATTCTATCCAAGGGGTTTAATGCTAAATTCTCATGGAACAAAATATTCACCTCGAAGCAAACAATAATGCCCAAAACAGTTGAGAATATCAGTGAAAATTATAGAAACATGTACATTCCATTACTATTCTGCAACACCATATATCATCTGATTGTAAAATGTTACGCGATGTCATTCTTTGTCTTTTATGTTGACTTGACAGTACAGTTTGCCTATTTAATTATAGTTATGAGTCAATCAAATGTAGAATTTGAGGATATGGAAATTACACCTATATCCCTCCTGTATGAAACTTCGAGGTGGTTTTAGTCTGAAGATTAGAAACTAGGGAAATTCTGCCTGTTAATCAGAATTTACAGGCGGGGTGGATCGAGGCAGAGTTTGAAATTGAACAAAGCTCCATCTGAATTATGTCTGTGAATTGATACAGAACATTGTTATTTTCTTCCTTCAGTTCAGAGGTGTAAGTTTCTACTCCAGTTGTTGCCAAACTACAGATTACCAAATGTGGTCTTTTAGGATACATGTTTTCTACCTTTTTATGAGTGCTCGGTTAAATACATGGGACCTTGTATATGTGTATCTTTTATGTAGAGGTGAGAGAAATGCTTCTTGCGTGAGACATCTCTATCTTACATGCATGATAAATTGGATAAATATCATCTGAAGAATGTTTCACAGAGTCATCAGTACACAGCTACATAATAGTGAATTCCATGCTAAAGTCCTCATTGTTGTTAATCAGTGTATGTACCCTAACAACAAACACCATGCCTGTGTGTTTCCCTATAGTAAACCCTGGAATCAGTATCCGGCACCCACACCCAATAGACCAGTTTAACATTTTGCTTTCAGTTTTCCACAGTATGCCCAAGTACCGGTATATAACATGACAATTCCTGGACTTTTAACCTACCTAACAAGTATTTCATTTCTTGAGCATTCTTTGCTTGTTGGCCATGTCATATTTAGATTATAACCTCTGGTTTTGGTAGTCTTAACAACGGTCCATTGACTAAAGGAAACAAGAGTATTTCAAAAAATTTTCATATTAACCCATAAATCCTTCCACCAATGTTCCTTGTTAATTCCTTAATCAGAAAATATTTGAAATATTTGCACAAGTTTAATATTTTACCGTATATGCCGTAATGGGCACCCCTCCTTCAATAAGTGTTCTTCCCTATATCTGTTTCCAGTGACAGGAGCATAAGAACATATGGTTGCATTATTTGGCTTTTGAACTTTTCAGCTTTTTTTTTTAGCAAACTTGGTGAAAGGGTGGCATTTTAACTCTACAAACTACTAGTAGTATTATTACGGAAATGTTGGTGTTGGCAATGCTGCTTCAATATATTCTCCACCACGTGTCAATATTTCTGCATACATGTATATATTTATAATTTGTGACGATTAAAATAAGAAAAATAAAAGTACTGAAAATTTCCACTTTTATGATACAGACGATTTCTTCTGATTAACCAAGAGATCCAGGCTGATAATATTTGGCCAGTAGCATGCTGGGATAAAGGGCTACCAAGTTTGTTCAAATGAATGACCTTCATCCATTTTCAAGGTTACAGGGATCAAATATGTTAAAATCTTTTAACGACTTAAGAGGCCTAGGTTGATGATATTTGGCACGTTACATGCTGGGATGATTAAGGGCTACCAAGTTTTGAAGGGCTACCAAGTTTTGAGGCTACCAAGTTTGTCCAAATGAATGACCTTGACTTATATTCAAGTTTAAACCTTTAAACAGTTTCTTTTGAATAACCAGGAGGCCTAGGTAGCAGAGTACAGTAGAAATGGCTTGATCCTAAAAATAAAGGGCATGTCTCATATAAACATGGAAAGCGGATTTATCCTGCACAACACACCTACATATATATATATATTATAAACTACATTTTGAATACAAATATTTTAGAAGAATGATTTCTTTTTCAAAAAGTGATTTTCCCAGATTTGGGACTTGTGAAAACCATGGTTACCACATCAAAAACTGCCAAAAAATGCTAAAATACATGATTTTTAACCAAAAATTTGACCCATGCAAATAGTATTTTTTGTCTAAACCTGTTTGAAATTGAATATCACCTACTCTGTAACAGAAATACTCACGTTTTAGCATAGGTCGTTCAACTGGATTTTTCACAATATTTACACATGTGCTGAGTACAAAAATAGACTACCGTACATGAAAAGCTAGCTTTTGTTGTGTAGACACAGATTTGTAAATGGCCAAAAATGTAGTCTCAAACCAAATTTTTTTTTTTTAAATGTGAAGCCCACATAGTCCTTCCTCTTCATCATGTATATGCCATGTAATATTACATTGGTTATTCATTATACAAAAATATCACCCATGGCCACCATACGCTACTCTACACTGCTACCCTAGGACGATGGTATTTGGGCAGTAATTACATGCTGGGATAAAGGACTACCAAGTTTATTCAAATGAATGACCTTTACCTATATTCAAGGTCACAGGGGATATATGTTTACAACCTTTTAACAACTTCTTCTGAATAACCAAGATGCCTAGGATCGTTGAAATTTTGCCAATGAACATGGTGGGATGAATGGCTACCATGTTTGTTCAATTTAATGACCTTGAATTTAATTCAAAGTCACAGGGGTCGAATATGTTGAAAACTGTGAAAGACTGCTTCTTCATAACCAAAAGGACCATGGTGATGATATTTGGCCAGTAACAAGCTGGGATAAAGGGTTACCAAGATCAAATGAATAACCTTCACCTATTTGCAAGGTCACAGGGGTCAAAAATGTTGAAATCTATAGACCAATTCTGAATAATCTAAAGGTCCAGGGTAATGATATTTGGCCAGAATCATGCTGGTATGAAAGACTTAAAAGAAAGGCTGTTCAACTTAATGTCCTTGTTTGACTTTCAAGGTCACATGTGTCTCACGTTTAAATCTTTTAATAGATTCTTTTGAATCAAAAAATGATATTTTGCCTGTAGTATTTTAGTCCACTTTTACGATTACAAGTGTAAGATTAATACCAGGTGAGCAATACAGGCCCATTGGGCCTCTTGTATTTTTACCTAGTATTAAAAACATTTTAAAAGTATACAATGTTCTGAAAAAACGAGTGGGAAATTTTGATCGGTGATTGTGGTGTCTGCTCTTTGTTAACACAATATATTATTTCCAAGTTCAAACTGCAGAGCTATAACATTTGATTCCCAAGGCATGTCCAGGCATGTGGTACAGATCCTATGTCAGCCTCTATAAATATGTCTATAAATATAGTTTCTTCATTTTCACTGCTTGCTGACTATAATTTACTTGCAATCGGAAAAAGATTTGTGATTGGTGATGGTATAATTGTGAAATTCATTTCTTCATTGATATAATTTTTTAATTAATATAGGAGTATGCCTTTTATTTTACCAAAAACAGTGAGCATGTTTTTTTCCCCAGCATCATGCATATGATTGATAAATTTTATAGAACGAAGTCATTTAATCAGAAAAAAATATTGATTACTGTCTCAAACTTATTATTCTAATGTTGTACTGAGTAAGCTTGCATGTTGTTTGGAACATGTATGTATACAATGTAGTGTACATGTCTCATTTTAAATGATACAGCTGATGGGGTCATGTTATATTTTTTTTTAAATCAAGATATGTAAAAGATCTTGGGTACATGGTTCTCATATCTAGCCATCTCTTAATAGGTGTATGCGTTACATTTCAAAGTAATTGTTCTTTTCTCCTTATTATTTTGTAAAATATATCAAGATAAGAAGGCATTATCAACATCAAAGTTGTCTTTTCTTGAAAATATCATTAGCAAGTTTCATAAAAAAAGATTAACAAATTCTGTTTCGGCTAAACAATCAAAATGCAAAATAAAGCAACTTGGCCAATTATAATGTAGAAAAACAGAAGCTAAGTAACATAATCAAATGAAAACAGACACTAGTATAGTTTAACCCTTTCACCCCTATGTAACTTTAGTAGACTCTGCCATGCATTGATCCAGATGAGTCTATTTTGGTCTACAGTGGTTAAAGGCCTATGGAAAATTTATATAAATTTGAAATTAAGATACATGTACTAATAAAAGTATGGTATCATTTAAGGTTTGAAACGCATGTGTTTTTAACATTTATGATGGTATACAGCACAGCTATGCACATCTTGGAAAATAGGGTTGAATTGAAATGTGTTGCATACCATCTTCAGTGTCAAAAAGATGCATTGCAATCCTTATATTTACTTTTCAAGACGATATTATTCCATCGATCTCATTCAGTTCAAAATATATTTTAAACCAAACTGTTTCACCGAACACTTTTTCCGTCAGTTGGTGAACATCAAATAAAACCATTCAGGAATGTCAGTCATAATATAAATGTGACATCACATCATGATTGGTCCGTAATTACTCAGACAGTTTGATTAAAAAGGCCAAAAACTGTTTCCGATTGGAAAATAATCACACGTAAAAGTTCTTGCTGTTTAATTGGGTTATAACAACGTTTTTTATATGGTATATGTCTATCAAAGGACTTTTCCTGGCAGAGTGCAATGGTGCAATCGACTTTCGGACAGATATTTCATTCTATTGTAGCACTCTGCAACTCTAAGAAGAATTGCCTTTTGTAAAAATTAGGAAAACATTAAGGTATAATCAAGGATTTGTTCTTGAAAACAAGTCCTTCTGGTTTAATAAGTATTGTGATGGCAATAAAGTGATAATATGTAATTAAGCTTAAGGTAAGACCTACAGAGGTTTTGTGACATTGTCATTGAATGTTTTCATCCCATTTAGATATTGTTTGTGACTGTGTTATACTCCTTCCAGATGTTCGCCGAGATGAATGGAAAACTGGATCCTCTGTACAAAGGTGTAATGAATAATAGGGACAAATGGCAGAAAATGGCTGATGAATATGAACGTAAGATGGCAAGCAGTGGAAAGCAGGCAAATCATGGTTAGAGATCAGTTTCTGTATTTGAATTCACATATGGCTGCTATATTTTATAGGCTAGATAAAAATGGAAATCTACCTAGGCTGATTTTGCTTTTTGTTTTTACGTATAATCTCGCTTTCTAATATATTACGCTTTTAACAGTTCTGAATCTTTAAAAGATACTGGTGTGCTGTTTTATTTAAGAAAATTTGCCAGGAAGCTCAGGTGGATTTCCATACATGTGAATTGATAAGAAATGGATTTCTCTCAGATTATACCTTTGTACTGGAAGCTCCGATGAAATTTCCAACAGCAAAACTGGAATTTGATTGGAAGTGCCAGTATTACTAACCTGATTCTAGTTTGCATGTTAAATTATTACTAACATCTTGTTGTATTGTTTACTGTTGTTTGTAATGTTTTCAGTTTCGATGTTAATCCTTGTTGTCAGAGTGTTGTATATGTTGTCCATAGTGTGCAGCACAGTGCACCTTCAAAGAGGTGTAAAAACTGTTTTGCAAAATAATTAATATTTGGCTGTCTGCATGAACTTAATCGTTTTTAAACTGGTGCTTCCTTCACATTTCTGATATGGCTTATTATATTATGATAAAATTATCAAAGCTATGTTATGAATGTTAAAAAAGGAAATTAAATAGAGAATAATACATGCCTTTTTCCATATCACACCCTTGGTCGAGGGTTGATACTGGGTGTGATATGGAAAAAGGCGTGTTTTATTCTGTTTATTACATACTTACTAATAAAAACTACTAACTTATGATTTATTTTCATTTTTGAAATATTGAAAAATGTTTTTTTTTTTCAAATGGGGTGTGATATGGCTTTTGCGGGCTGATATGGGTTTTGGGGTGTGATACGTCGGGGGCTGATACGGGTTTTGGGGTGTGATACGGCGAGGGCTGATATGGGTTAGAGCAATTGTGTCGTATCGCATATACAAAAAACCTGTATTTATTCGTAAGTATGAAATAAATGTTATTAATATCCAGTGTAGTAGATAATGGCAATGATATTTGATGAATAATCAACAACATGTTACATGTCTGTGTATTATGATTGAATGAATGAAAAGGTGAGAAAATGTTAGAAAAATATAAGTAATGAAGGCCACTTTGGCCTGAGTTAATATCCAACACTTTTAAATCTCAGGTTTTATATTCCTTCATAATATAATAAAAAATATTTCTAATAATAATTTAAGTTATCACAATGAAGACTTAATTTAAACCTGTGTTAGTGATAAATTACAAGATTTTAGCATTTGAGTCATTTCCCTTAGTCTGGTAGACTTTCGACTATAGAGTTATCTACTTAAGTGCCTATAAGACAATGTGACCTAAATCATTCATAAATTAGCTCCAAAAACTGTACAACTAGAGGGGACTTGGGTTTGCACAGTAGCATTAGTCGATGTGTGTGTCACTTTGTCTGGGGTATATATCTTATACACTCTTTCACCTACAAATGCTAAATTTTATTTTGTATCACTTGGGATGATCGATTGAAATGGGTCTTGTGCCTGTTAACAGCCTTTTGTTCATGTGTCACTTTGTCTGGGGCATACATCTTGTATAGTATATATGTTACCTACAATGGCCGAATTGTATTTGAATACCTCTTGGGAGTATCATGTACAGAAGTGGATCTCATGCCCAAGTATATACAGAGTTATAGCCCTTTTTTCATTTTTTTATTCTGAAATTCACGACAAGGTGGGAGGAGGGATTGCTTGCAATACTTTGCTTTGTTTAAACTATGCTGTTCTATTGCCTGTACAACCATTTGCCACATGATGCCTCCTTTTGATTTCACCATCAAGGCATTCACAGCTGATGTCATAGTTTCTGGATGCTGCAGTCAATGGTCCTGTCCTGCCAGTTAAACATGGATGTATGTGGAATCATTAGATATGCACATGCACGCATGTTAATTCCCTCAATAAAGCTAATATGTCAAAAACAATCCACACCCGGCTAAAATGGAGGCTTTAGAAGAGAGTTGCACATGTTTTTTGTTTGTTAGGAAATGATGCATGCACACGCATACATTGTTATCCAATGATACATGGAAACTAAACAATTGAAAGTGTCATTTAACAATTTTTACATTGCAGACATAGAATAATATTGAAAGTAGTGTAACATACGATATTGCAAAGTAGGAATTTCATTGGTGTGATCACGAAGGCATTTCAAAATTATCGGCAGAAAAGATTCTGCCAAAATCAAACTTCAGGAACAGCAGGAAGCTAGTGATCAATTAAAATAATGATTTAAATTCTATCTTTTGGTACTGGTAATGGAAGTGATACAAAGCTGAATTTGTATACAATCACCATAAAGCCTTCAGTACAATTGCAAGATTGACCCCCTCCCACCTACCTCCCCCATATTTATTTATTATGAATTTTTCATATTATTCCAAACAAGGAATTGGCCAGGAGTGCATCACGTGTCCACCGATAAAAACCGATAATGACTTGGAGCGCGTGATTTTTGTTCAAGGACTGGGTGTTTCTAAAAATAGAATTATGACGTGTCTCCAAACAATGCACTGTCCCGCTGCCGAAGTTGTTTTGCTGTGGGTTTTTTTGTCGTGTTTTTTTTTGTCAGATTGCTTACATCACTGTTTTGAAAATAATGAAATAATAGTAGCATTTGGCTGAAGTCAATGCCTGGATTTATTCACCAGAGCAAGGATATATTGACCGAGGATTGCTATAATTGAATATTGCAGACTCTTCCAAATTTGTTTTAGTTGTTGATGAAACTTGCAAGAAAATAACCATATCCTTTATCAGGAGAAGACAATTGATAATCAAAGTCTATACTGCATATCTTGTCTGTCAAACTAGTCGTTTTAAGGAAAAATGTCTAAAACATTTGTCTTCTTCTCTTCGAAAGAGCTTTGACAGACTTGGTGTGATACTTTGTTTCACCATCAACTTGTTGTAATGGATGTGTCAACAGTTATCAGTTACACATGTACTAAAACTGTGTAGGTTAGATTAAGAGGATGTGGTGTATTACACACAATTTATGTTTTGAAGTTTAGTTTGTACTTAGTATAAGTTGCTAAATGTTTTTACTTTCTTTTCCTACTAACATAAAACAGTGATATTTTTGTAATCACCTGGTTAGAGGGACTGTATGGTTAAAAACTTTCATAGAACTATGAGATGATTGTAATGGCAAGATAAATCGATAACAACCCTATTTGGCGCCATTCTTAGGTGGTAAGGATTCAGAATTGTACAAATGAAGGAGTTGACTGCTAAATTGACTATGTGACTGTGATTCTTAAACTTATGAGATAGTTACCAACAATATTTGGTTGGGGAAGGAGGCTGAGGGGGGCATGGCTAAAAATGTTAATTAGGATAGACCTTAATTGGGGTCTGCCCCTGGCAGTAGGAACTTGGACGCTAAGCCAAGCATGGAAACAATGAAAAGAAATATACAATTGCTAAGCATGGAGATCTTGATACATATTTTCTACTAGGATTGGCCCTTGGGTCTGGCCCCATCCCTTGGATTTTAATATCAATGTTTCTTTGAATGAGATTATTTTGGTAGGATTTCTTTAACATACAGGTGAGCAATACAGACCCTCTAGGCCTTTTTGTTATATGTACACTAATAACCAATGTCTCAATAGCATACAGACCCTCTAGGCCTTTTTGTTATATGTACACTAATAACCAACATATCAATAACATACAGACCCTCTAGGCCTTTTTGTTTAATTTACACTAACAACCAATATCTCAATATCCTACTGACCCTTCATTTACCTTGTATTATATATAATTACGTGAAACATTAACATATTAACACATGTTTGTTGGTATTGCTGACTTGTTTATTCTGTTTTGAAAGAAGTTTTTATTACATGTTTTGGCCCAAAATGATGTGGTTGATGGGCTATAAAACAAAACAGATAGTTATATCTTATATTTGCTATTTAGCCAGTGTATCTTAACAAATTACAAAATGTCTAGAGTTTTTTGAAAAAAATAGCTTTCTTTATGCAGAAATCTTTATTCTATACAGAAAATCATGGGGAAAAGAATGTAATTATGGAAAAATTTTGATATGATGATGAAATCATTATGATAACAAATATCATAATAACTATAGTTAATATAGTAATTCCCTGTCAATGATGAACATGTGAATAATGTAAATGAACGTGGTACCCGGGTGTTGTAGATGAACAAGGACATACTTTTAATTCTCAATGCTCTTTCCCAATGTTAGATACAGATGAACAACCTGCACCAGCCAACAACTCAAGTCAGGAACAAAAAACACAAAATGGAGGAGTACGCAAGAACAGTACAAACAATACCCAGCAAAAGAAGGTTAGTTTCTTCATAAAATACCTCAAAACATGAGGAAAAGAAAGTATGTATGTGCATATGGTAAACTTCTTTCACATCAGAAATGTTTTCATTGTTCTGTTAAAATTAAATTATACAAATTTGCACAAAACACAAAACCTAAAGTATCTTTTGTTGCAAAACAAAAAACAAAGGAAGGTGGACTTCCACTGGTAGCCAATTATGATGTCTCCTAACTAGAGCAGGACTGATCTTTAAACAAATGTTACAAATATTAAATTTGGTTTAGTCTTTTCTGTCATTTTTTGTACAATTAAATATTACTTTAGCCATTAAGATTGATGTCATCTTTTGTAACTGTTTGAATGAAAAAAAATATGTGCTATGTATCATGAACTTATTTTGTATTCCTCGATTCCAGTATGGGTCAAATGTGATATCAAACAAGACTGACTCGAAAAGCTCTAAAAAGACCAAGATCTGTTCCCTGATGTGACAAAGTGTTACTCCTTTGTCTTGTGCTTTGAGATTTTACGGCTAGGGTCAAAGCTTGTTCATAGGTCGTGTGAGTCCTCAACAGTGGATTTACGGGAGATATGATGTGTGGACAATCCTTGACCCGCCTCTTACAATCAACTTTGACCATCTGGCAGCTGGATTATGTAAGACTGACCGACATTTGGCCTAGAGGACATGGTGTGCTGACTGGTGCAGGAGAACATTTTATCCTGGTGGTCATCATCGTCATCACCCTTTTCTGCTGATGTATATTTATTTACACCATTGTAGTTGTTTTTGTTACTTTCACCGTGATGAATGTTAATTGTAAATAGATGTTTATAATACATTAGTATACCTTATAAATTATTCTTAAATCACTTTTGTGCAATGAATCTAAAAATAAATCGGAAAAGGTTTTAAGACATATGTAATGGCAATTTATATTAGTTAAATACTGTTACAGAAAAAGACAAATATTTAAATAGGTGTGTTTAATTGGAATTTAATTGATATATAGTCAACTGCATGTATTGTGAAGCTCTTTTAGGCATCACAAGATCGTATGCAGATTTTCTTTACAATGTATTTTTACAGCTATAAAAGCTTAACACTGTTGGTGATAAAACATGTAACTTGATATTAACTTCATAGAAATCATCCGGTTTGTTGTTCATACCACCAATATCCTTTTTGTCTTGAAAGTTTGCGTCTCGTTGAATAGAGGATCGTACACCTTGGGTTTTATCAACACATCAAAATATTAATGCTATTTACCACATGCATTTTCAATTTCTTATTAGATGTGGATGTGTTATTCTTTAATAATTGCAAATGGAACGCATATTTTATTTATCTCAAATTTGAGCTCTGCTCGAAGAGATATCATGCAATATTGCTGCTATGAGGACAACGCCAAAGTGGTCCGACATATCAAAATATGACAGATGTTACTATGTAACACATACAGAATATTTACATGTACGTACCTTCGTAAGTCGCCGTGTGGTCAAGACAAAGGTAGGGTTTCAGCCCAGGTACGACACAAAGTGGCTTCTGATAGGTATAGAACTGACACTGCTCAAACATGGCAATTTAGCTATCAATCGAACCTGATATGAAGTTCTCCCTAATCCCTAGCAAGTCAGCGTCTGTTGAAAATGGCAATTGTTGTTTGTTGAGATATTTCTAATGACTGTGATTTTCCCAAACTCTACATAGTCAAGGATATCAAGGACGACACCTGATAATGATGGTCCCATACGCCTGCGAATCATTGAACTTTCATTCATTTTGCAACTTTTTCATCAAATTTTGTTGAAGGTACATGGAGTTGACTTCAGAACTATCAAATATCCTCTCCTCAATACCTTCAACAATACTAATATTGATTAGAATACCAATTACAATGTGGAAATTATTGATTTACCTGTCCCTCCCCTCATTTCTTTCTCTTACCAGACCATATCACCCTTTATCTGTCTCATTCAGATGACCACTGATGACTGCTAGTTGAATTTGCCTGAAATATCTAATAGTGGTTGTCTTTTGTAATAGTGGTGTCTTAAGTTCGCTCCACCTTGGTTCCCCTTACCAATGATTACTGTATACTGGAAACTTTTGCACTTCACGGGTAAAATCCATATTCACCCAGAGTTATTTTCTACCGTAACATGTCATTACAATGTATGGCATGTATTGAACTGAAGTACCCTACTAAGATAATTTTGTCCTCATTCAGAGAACGAAAAGGCAAAAGTTGAACTGCGATAAACATTTCCTGGCATACAGTATTCATCTTAAGGAAACAAGTGTGTTTAATATTGAATCCTACGATACCATAACTCAGTACAGGTATTAGGATCTCAATATGTTGAGCATCATAGTAAATAAAGGTTTGGTTTTGATAAAATTGTTATGCACTTAGGTTGGAGTCTGGACAATGATTTTTCAATACCGTAATATTTGTTGAAAAAACTTCTTATCTTTTAGCAAGGATTATTCTCGTATCTGTAGATTTTTAACTCTGAACTTGTGCCAAACACTTACTCTCTGTGATCAGTCCAGTGAATATCAGTATGATGTAGTTTTAACTCTTTCACTTCATGCTATTAATCACTGTTATTTATTTTTAATGTCAATATAGATTTTGAAAAAGTTTTCTTAACCAATTTCAAGTGAATCATTTTATTGAATATTTTAACAAACACGTGCATGTAACATTTGTTATTTTGTCTTTGCGTATTGCAGAGTTATCTTCTCTTGGGAGCAGGTATTGATTGTTACGTCATTGGTTTGTGCGAGAACATACCTTGTTTTCTCAAAAATTGATGATGTTACTCTTGCAAACAAGTAACGTAACAATCAATACCTGCTCCCAAGAGAAGATAACTGCAATACGCAAAGACGGAATAAGCTCATCTGGTACAAAATATCTGGGTGAGCTTATGCTGTGGTGCTTCATCTGATGTCTCAACATTTTTGTAAAACAATATCTCTCAAACTATTGAGCAGATTTCAACCAAATCTTGGTGGCAGGATGGGAATTAAAAGTAAAATAAGAAAGAAGCTGACAATGCTTGGAGCTGAAGGGTAGGGTGAAAAGGCTGACTTGTATTTTAAATACATCACCTCCTAAGCAACTGTGCAAATTTCAACCTAAAATAAAAGCTTCACTTTTAAAATAGCCAGGTGAGCAATTTAGGTCTGCAATGGCCTCTTGTTAAAGATACAGCTTATGTTGTTATTTTATTTTGATAAAAGTGAAATTGGTTCTCCCTAATACAACTATTGTAATGGTTGTATACATTTACAAGTACCAGTTGTATATACAACTCTCTGTAACTTGTGATCTACGATAAGATGTACAACTGCTATATTATATAACTGTTGTAACGTGAGATACTCCTACTCTGATGTAGAACTCCTATCCTTCAAATACAATACTTTTATTGTTGTGACATTATGTGATAGACAATGCTGTCTCAGACTGTTTCTTGTTAAAGTTATAAGTTCTTAAGCCTGGAATGGAATAAAAGCGATTATTTATTATTTATTTGTTATTTGTGCTTTTTACTAAAAACCTAAGGAATATTAACAGTGGTATGTCTTATTAACCAATCCACAGGTGTATCTACCAACAATACAGTTTTCAAAATTATGTGGGTCTTACATCCCATGTTGAACTTGACTGGGCCCAATTGATGGACCCAGCTTATCAGCTAAGGCTTGTTTCATAAAATGTTGGTGAAAATCCTCTTTTTTGAAAAGTCTGTTGAAGGTTTTGCACTCTTAGACCTCGTATAGTCCAGCAATACAGCCCCTTCTTGAGTAGAAGTTATGTGATCCTAATTATGTAAGCATCATTTCATGAAATGTTGGTGAAAATCTGCCTGTTAGTTTCTGAGAGAAGTCTTTTCAAGGTTTTATGAGCCTTATGGCCCAGCCCCTCGGTTCCCTTAGGGGTCGACTCGTCCGGAGTATGCATTCTGATCCTCACCTCAGGCTGATGATAAATACCAATTTTTTATCAGAATCTAAAGATGGTTTCCGAGGAAGAAGATGAAATGTGTTTTTTTTATGCATGACGGATGACATCCGAAGCACTACAGCAGAAATGCACTTGCAACAGATCACTCAGGTGACCTAAATATAGGCCAAAACTGCCCTGAATTCCCCTATCTATGGCCAAAACAGTTATCAATTTTATGCTTCAGTTTTTTTACATGCATTTGATTTCTGTAACATTCAAGGATTTGTAAGATGGAACATCAAAGTCCACAAGCTTTGATTTAAAATGCTATATATATAATTTAAACATCAAGCAATCTAACCACCTAAATATGGAAGTACCAATACCGTCATTGGAAACATTTACATTTTTTCGTGAGCACACTGCCAGGCTTGTCACAGAATATAACGCATCATTAATTTATAGGAACATTTACTTTATTTCTCTTGAATCTACCTGGTACATGTAAATGAAGTGTGTTGCATTCATGACAGAAAGCATGACCTACGGTAACGTATTCTTACTCTCAAATGCCGAACTTTCTAAGTTCACACCCTGGTACTACGATTCAGTACAACCTTGTAACAGTTAAACATTTTACATAGCCCCAACAGCAAAAATCACATGATCCCCAAAATCAATCATTAATGAGTTTTCAATCAAATGTTTAATGAATATGAAAATCCTTCAAGTTGATTCCCTACACAGATCCTTCATACAAACATAACTAAAACAATTATCCCCCTTTCAGTTTTCAAAATGAAGCCAAACATTTTTTTTCTCAAAGAAATGCTTTGTTATGCAATCTCACTTACAATATGTTGTCTCCTAATCATGAAGCATATAATCTTGTCAAATAGTTTTCATTTTTTGGTCACAATTACGACTACCGTGCTTACAATATAGCTACATGTATACAGCACACACAGGTATTCCATCTTTGCGTATTGCAGAGGTATCTTCTCTTGTGAGCAGGTATTGATTGTTAAGTCATTGGTCTGTGTGAGAAATTTTCGTCGTTTTCTCAAATATTGATGACATTACTCTCGCAAACAAATGACGTAACAATCAATACCTGCTCAACAAGAGCAGATAACTCTGCAATACGAAAAGACGGAATAGGCAAAATATAGTTTTCAAATCACCACAAATATTTAAGCTTATATATATCTATATACCAGGTATGTAGAAACTACTGAAAATATTACCAAACTTTTCAATATAAGAAATTGACAAAACAGATGGAATAATTTGGACTAAATGTCATGGTGCTGTAACCTAAATCCATACTCTGTTAATGTGCAAGATGGAACAATTACAAACAAATTACATTGGTTTTTAACATTGCATAATCATACAATTAAACAGGATTAATTCTCATAAAGGTCAACATGCACGTCAAGACATATTCTCAATATGTAACACCAAGAAACTGAGGGAGAAACGGAGGGTTTGTTTTATTATCAACAGAAATGCATCTAAATGCTATGACTATAATTTAATGTACTTTTCACAATTTAAAAAAAAAAGGGATTTGATAATTTTTCTTATGAATCATAGATGAAAATCATAGGATTTATTGTTCTTGTGACAAGTTAAACTTTTATTTACAGATTAAAACGTTATTTGGGTTTTTAAATGCTGATGAAAAAAGATTATGTCCAGTTACTACCTGTACACAGAATAGAGTTGTCTCCCCTCATGCACACATTGAACACGGCTATTATAATTTAGTGTCTAGGCTCGAAAAGACATTCTTTTGGTTGATTCTTAAATTTTTTACACCATGAGAGAATAATTGTACAAGATTATGACAACAACACACATGAAATGCTTTGTTCTGATACAAAAGATTATTTTAAGTAAATGAAGGATCTTGACAAATACACAATTTTCATAATCAGAATATGCTATAAACAACCGTTAAAACTAAGTCATATATCAGAGGATATGGATACTAACAGTACAAGTGATATGTTAAAATAAACTTCAAACAAGTTTTACATTGTAAAATTAATTACATAATCAATAATAAATCATGTATTATTAAAATCAACAGACTAGAGTAGAAATACATTTTGATTGGTAAAAAAATCATCATAGACCTGCTACTTGTGTTAGTTTTTAAGGTAAGGGGTACATACCGCGGCATCGGTTATAATCTTGAAAAAGACTTCTACTGGTTTTTGACATGGAGTACTCTCCCTTGTATATAGAAGATGAAGCAGTTCCATTGCCAATATATTCATTTCTGTGTTCAATGGTGTTTTTTTTGCAACCCCAAAGTACGACTTTTAATTTTGAAATCGATAATTTGTAATTCTTAGTATAGTGTAGGATGGGCCGTGTGAAGGTCCCAAGTTCGAATCCAGCAATATTTGATTTTTTTCATACATTTTTTTTCCATTTTTGAATTTTCAAATTTTGAAAAACTGTTATCAACTAAAATGCATTGGATCAAATACAGAATGTTCTTTTGGAAATAATTTTCATACCAGGGACATTAGTTACATTACATGGTACCCTTTATCTTAAAAACTGTTTTCTGCCCTATACGGTGCATGACACTGCTCTGATGACAAAAAAAAATAGACATAAAACATGTACAACTATATTAAATCAAGCATAACTAAATGTAAATACATGTATATTTTCAAATATTCTATTTTGTATCTTTTGAAAACTGTACTTATGGATGTTTGTTTTCATTAATTTTATAATCATTGTAAATTTAAAGAACATTAAATTTCATAAAACAACATTATAATTTCAGACAGTAAGTGTTCATAAGAGGATGAACATCAATTAATGATTAAGCAGAACTTTATTAATTATAAAAGAAGTAATATTTTTGCGTAAGTGATATTACCAATCACAACTATAATGTATATATATATAGGACGCAGACAACAAACCTTTTCATGCGTCTCAGTACTGGAATTGTAAAAAAGCACCTGTTTAAAAATGTTGTACACATATATAAAAAAAAATCTTTGAATTACGAAACGCGTACACAAAGTGCAGTGTATATATACATACATTGTTATATACAATTCTATATACATGGTTATTAATACAATGCAACAATACAAAAATATACTTACTCCACATGTACATAACATATGTACAAACATCTCTACAACCTAAAGCAATCTGCCCACTAACCCTGTGATAATTAAAGTCAGTTACTGTTTAGTCCCCACATATTTCCTATGGGCAGATAACATTATCTTGCAGTCGAGTCAACTCTGCCATTCCTACAACCGGAACAGGATTCTTTAGATAAAGCTATTTCTGCAATAATTCATCAACACACAGACATTTGTATCATCTTTAGATAACATGGTTAGTTTTTTTGTAAAGAGCAATATGATCTTCATAAAATACTCACTTTACTATAGAGCATAAAAAGAGTTAGTCTACTTAACTGTGCAAAGGGAGATAACTCAATTATATGAAGTATGGGCATATTTTAATATTTATTTGGATAGTGTGCAATTCAGTTCCATTTTTTATTAATGTGCATTCTCTTTTTAAAAAAATTAAATTTATTTCTGAAAACTGTCCAAAATTATCGCCTTTATATCGTTACCCTTCTTAAAAAAATACAAATGTTCATTTTTCGGACAATATATATTTTCATTTTCATTTTTGTATCAAATGATATTAAGTAGTGCTCAGCAAGCAAGCTTTAATTAATGATAATTGGTCCAAATAATCACAAGATTCAAATATCTGAAGTGTATTATTCACACAGTAGTAGTGTATCCTTGTAATCCCATTTAGAAGGACCGAAACCCCTTGGTCCTACAAATGTATTTCAGAATGAAAAAAATTACAAGTGTATGTATATGTAGTAGGGATTAAATCATAGGTACATTGGAAGGACTTCCTGTAGTGGCGCTTTTCTAACTTTTCTTTGACATCATATTCACCAAAATGTCCGATGTATGTTGTTTATGTTCAATACATTTTCTTCACCACTTAATTTCTGATACCTAACATCCCTAAAGTGCCTCACAAAATGGCTAGATTGAAAGGTCAAAATTGACGGAGAAAAGTTGCAATGATGCAACATTAATTACTCTATCGTGAAATGTTGCACAACAGTCATGGGAATGTTAAGTGTTTTGAGATCTCATGTGATCAAACACTTGCAGCATGTTTAACCGTACATTCCGGGTTGTAATGTAGTTGTATATACAGGAATTGTATCTAGTGATCAAGGCAAAAAATTCCTTGCGTCCTGAAAAATATACTAACATTGTAAATGTTTCAGGGTAAAGAACACTAACAGCTGAACATGTATACTGTAACAGTAACCTATGATAAATAGTGACTAGCCACACACACATATATAGTAAAACACAACCTACTCAGTAAAAACGTGCACGCTGTGCAACACATAACATCAAAGTAAAAATAATACATAGTCAGTATTTGGTATTAAGTTAATCCCGATAAATGACAGGCCGGATGTACACATAAATCCATCAGATAAATAAACAACCTGTGTGATTGGATTCAATTTTCATGCCAAATTGCCCTTGATATTCATTGCCCTCTGGTTATAACTGACCTTGAACTTCCACTGTGACCTTAATTTTCGAGGCAGTGGTAACATTAGTGTATACCTTACTGAACTGGACGAACTTTACTCAAGTCACATCAGTCCACACACAATGTTGCTGGTCCAGTAAAGCATATGTCTTTCACCAACATGACCAGGGTTTGATTTCCCCATAGGATGTGTAAGTGTGTGCACAATGCCCAACCACATTGGTTTTGTCAGAATGCAGAGATTTCCTGTGTCAGGCCAGCGAAAGTGATTTAAAACATTTAGAGGATCAACAAATTAATGTCAATAGTTAGAAAACAATGCCCATGTAATAATGACAGACCTGACCTGTGAGTTTGACTTGCCATTACTGAGAGTGGTACGAGGAAAAATGTTGATTTACTATTTTGGAAGGATATCTTCCATGGACAGGTCTATTGTGAGACAGACTCCTCAATAAATCTAACGAGCAGACTAGAAAAACATTACAGAATTTGTGTGCAAAGGGTTAACCTACTAACCAATAGTATATATACAGGGTAGCTAACTATTTCTGGCTTGGAACTAAAATATAATTGTATAGTATGGTTTGTTTGTGTTTTACGTCCTATTATATTAACAGCTATGGTCATTTAAGGACGTGCCAGGTTTTGGTGGTGGAGGAAAGCCAGAGTTCCCGGAGAAAGACCACTGACCTAAGGCCAGTACCTGGCAACTGCCCCACGTTGGTCTCGAACCCGACCCAGTTGTGGAGGGCTAGTGGTAGCAGAAAGGCAGACGCCTTAACAACTTGGCCCCCCCCATAATTATATTGTTATAAGTTAAATGACTGATACAGAATATCCACAATATCAGACTTACAGGACTAGTAATATAGATCATTCACATTAATTTGAATTTACAAAATTTTGTTAATTACAACCAAATCTAAAACACCTTATCTTGGAATTACAGAATACAATTTAATTCTGTTGTGAAAACCAGTTCCTCAAACAATAACCAGACCTCAAGTTACAGGATTAACAGAGCCTGGATCAAGTCTAGTGTATGGGGCAGGTTTTTTATATATCTATATTATCATAATCTTAGTGTGGGCTGCATCAACTACTGCTGTGAATCCCCGGGGTCTCACCTTTGGGGGAGGGGGGGTTGTTCTGCATAATAGATTGCATCAAACATTACCACACAACAGACTGATCCCCTACCAGGAGAAAGGATTAGATACAAGGACTTGTGTGAAGTTATGCATGAATGATTACTCTTGTGAGAAATCTTGAAAGCTCAATTCTATAAATTTAAAATTTATCACAAGTGACCATATATATACTTAGTACATTCCCAGTACTCACTGATCAGGCAAATATTGTAAATATCATTTCATGGCAAGAATTATCAAATATGGCAAGTAATCTGTAGTATATATTGTCTATAAAACTAAGTATCTATCTACCACATAGCACAAGGGGGTCATTTAATTATCCCTAGTTTTATAGTCTTAAGTACATTTTACCTCATTCACCCCTGAAATTTCATAATCAACTATTCCAACCTTTGAATTGGAAGAGTCCAAATGTGTCATCAGGGGTGGATGAGTTAATGAGTATGCCACGTAAACTAAAACAAAAGGCTAAGATGTGCATTCATCGGCTAAGTTTATGGAAGATTTTTTAAATAATCGAATTTCGGAGCAGTATCTTTGTATAATCTTGAAAATGTTTACAATGATATAAATGTTAGCGTGACTGACATTTCGTGTACGTGAGCTGGAGGAATGTTTTCAGATAAACGGGAACTATTTGCTTTATGTGGTCTGTTTTTCGCAGATGTCTGCTTTCAGCCTGGGAATGTTGTTTGAGCGGAATGTATCAGATTTAAAAAAGTAAATCACATTTCACACTGTGTGTGAGGGAATCGTAAACAGGACTCAACTGAATTCTCTAAAGAATTCACAGGCAAGGTCTTCAACATAATACGAATAACTTTAAAACAATTTTGATCAAGTGTTTAAGCATGTGATATATAACCTCATAAAAAATATTTCATTAACAATATGAGGGTGACATCAATATAACAAACAAGCACACAATCACTTCTTTGTCAATACCAAACAGACGAAAACAATCTGTAACCTGTTGTGTAATCACAAAGTTAAAAGGTCATGACCTTCAAAACAACCCCAAGTTTACACTCATCATTATAACTGTATGCAAATGAACTTTAAACAGTGCAAATGAAATAAAAATTGATTGTAAATACTTAAATACTTGGAAAATGTAAAAAAAAAAAAAAAAAGTGCATGTTCTTTCAGTAACGATTATTATGAATGGTTCCTACAAAAGCCAGCCAGCTGGCAAGGAAACATTCCTGGTCCCCAGAAACATTGGGCATTAACAAATACAACTAAATGTGTAACAATGTGATAAAAACAGTCTTCGCTCTCTCAGTACTGTACAACTGATGCAAACAAAATCAGGGCCCGCATTCATGAAAACATTCTCAGACTCAAGCATGCATTTTGTGCTCATACTAGCCTCCTTCTAACTTACTTCAATCATGTCAAACAATCAAAAAGTCAAGTGGAAATATTGAAAACAGTATTCAGTTAAAGTCTCTTTAAAAAATAAAATTAAAAAAATCCAAATCATTTGAATTTTGTCTTCATTAATATCTGAACAAGATCTTGGGCTTGAACACAGAATCTGAATTTGAGCATAAGACAGTTTCATGAATATGGGCCCAGTCTCTGGTTCCCAGAACACCACATGGCATGCTTTAATCACTCCTGGGGTTTGTGTTAAAATTACCCCCAGACACAGAGAGAGGTGAGAATGCACACATTTTCAAACATAATGCATTATCAATTATCTGGATGGATTTTGGATTTCATAATTAAAATAGCTGTGATCAGAACTATCATCATTCATACTGCCGTTTTCTTGATCAAACACCTTTCTTGACATTCAGAAGCCATTATATTTTTTGGCCCAACTTAAAATTTATCACTAGTTTATCGTATTAAAAATGTACCATGCAGCAAAATGTTCTTTGTCAAAATCAGATTAACTGTTCACTGAACTTTAGTAATTTTCCTTTTTTGTTCAGCAACATTATTTCATATGATAAATAAACAGGAAATAATATTCTTTTTGAAACAAATTCGAAAAAATGTGTGAAGATTAAATTCAGTAACGCTAACTGAACCTAGAACGTAGAGTGTTCAAAACTTCCTCAAACATTCCGAAAAGGCAGAGTGAAAAAGACAGACGGCTCTCTGAAATGATGCTTCAAATCACACCTATCAGGATTTCAAAAATAAATGTCTTCTCGCAAGCTTTCCTTACATTGCGTTTGTGTAGATGTGAGGTTCAAGTGAATGTCAATTAAAACTTTGGATTAACAATATAAATACGTACAAAATACTAACGTTAAACAATGGAAATAAATCATGTTTACTATATTATCCAATCTGTTTGTTTAACTGATTACTGAGATACAAAAAAAAATCACACATTGACAATTCATTGGAATGTATGTATCAATCAATTTCATCAGAACTTTTAGTAAATATGTGGCATAAAATTTCTAAAAAAAATAATTTAGCACTGATTTTCATTTGGTTTCGGTTTTTATACTTTGTAATCCTTCAAATCAAAATTTGAAACAGAAATCACTGAACACCGAGTAAATAAAGAAGTTAACTTAAAGAGATTATATATATGTATTAGATAACTATTCAAAAATCACAAATATTTCACACAGACATATTTTTACAAAACTGAACTTATAACCTAACCTGGGAAGGATTGGTGTCCTATTTCAATGTATCCGAATAAAAAATTCTAGACAAAAATAAAATCTTGAAAAATATATGTGATTTATCAAATATGTTATGGATGGATTCGTACTAGCAAACTATTATGGCTTATATAATAAGAGTGGTCTTGTACCCAGTCAACATTTATCTGTTTTGGGTACCTATATCTGACTCCATACAAGCTGGGAATGTAATCAGCTTATACCATGTAAGTCAATCTATTTTATTTTAACTACAAATAAAACAATGGGTTTTTTTGGTGGCAATGCAGTTAAATAGACTATTAATAAGTATACCATTGGTCAGCTACAACCTATTGGAGATACCTAGGACTGGAATGGTCAAATATGCCGTCCCCCTGGAATGGTCAGACCAATATAATCCCTACAACCTGCTCTTGAGCTCATTCATTTTAGCTACAACCTAGCCTATTGGAGATACCTGGAATGGTCAAACGCCCTGAATCCCGTGGAATGGTCAGACCAATATAATCCCTACAACCTGCTCTTGAGCCCATTCATTTTAGCTACAACCTAGCCTATTGGAGATACCTGGAATGGACAAACGTCCTGAATCTCGTGGAATGGTCAGACCAATGTAATCCCTACAACCTGCTCTGTATTCCTCGAATCAACTTAATCCTTAAAATCTACCTCTGTATACCCCTCTAGGTGGTCAAACATAAGCAACCCTCCAGAGGGGTCAGACCATTGCGATGCCATCATCAACACACCATCTTCCATCTTTTACGAATCATGCGGCAATCTTTTTGAATCTAAACAAAGCTTTCAGTTTATAAATTCTCAAATGAAAAGACATTTAACTATTGTTTTAATTAGCCCTTCAATTAAATAGGTCAATTTTTTATAAAATGTCCACTATTCAGTCGAATGCATCGATTGCCAGAATTTCATTTCACTTAGTACAATTCAAGTAATACAAGCAGTGACACAAATATTTCCGGTTACATATGATACAATGTATAGAACACATACTGACAAAATTTAGTGGGCTTCCTGTGATTACCATTAAAAACCTCAAAAGTTGAAACACTGGAACCAAAAAGATTGTTGCATGGTCATAAAGAAAAAAGACATTTCGCGAAAAAAATAATCATAAAATTATTCTAAATTCCATAAACCAACATTATATACTCCACATTTTTTCTTAAGAAGTGGCCCCGATATGTAAAAATGTATTTACTACATATTACAGCATAAACTTGTATACAACACAGTATACCATTTATAGCATTACATTAGTACAATATAATGCCGTTATCGATGACTTTGTCAGCCTCCCGCGTGAAACCACACTTGAGTTTGGCTCCGGAGAAGATGAGAAATAACAAGTTTATGAAGTAAAGGCCGGTGGCAGCCACAAGCAAGTAGAAGGAGTAATCGAGGTCGGTGTTGTTCTCTGTGGTATAGTCGGCCAGACGATCCTCTAGTGGTAGCACGTTGTACTGGTAGTATCGGAAATACAGGACGAGGTACATCACCATACCCAGGGCAGTAAACAGTACTGGAAAAAGACATTAATATCAAATCTCATCAGGATTTATAACACATTAGTCCCAGTCTATTACAATATAAACTATATAATAAACAGCAGCTCAGAAAACTAAACTCTAATGGAGCTTTTGACTTTTGAGGGGTTATATACATGTATGTGTCACACAGTTTAGTTTCTCTGACCATGACTTTTACTACAAAAGGGTACTTAAATAACAGAAACTTCCAGTGTACAAAATTTCTATCTAACACCCACTTTTCACATGTGTGATGTCACAATGGGACAACAATAATGTGACTTCACCAAATCAGGAAAAATCTGATGTGGAAACTGCAATGCATGTTTTTCGTGGTTCCTGAGCTAATTCTGGTGATAATTATAATATACTTTTTTTAGAAAGAGAGAAAAATACCCTCAGGATTTCTGAATATTGGCAAAACCCTCATCAACAACCCTCAGGTTTTACCTGATTTGAAAACCATAAGTAAGAATTTTGCTTTCCTACACCCCTGGACCTGGAAGTGTCTATTAGTCTAATTACCAAGTCATAATAAACCAATCTACTTTACAGGGTCAGCACAGAAACTCATGAGTTAAGAGTCTGGACAAGTATTACAGTGATTTCACATATGTCTTTTCAAACCAAAAGATTTATTTTAATTTTAAATGAAAGGTGAGAATCTTAAAAACTGTTCTTACATGCCAGACCGTTCCAGAGATAAAGGCCCATGGGGCCTGTGATGGTTTCTATCGGCTTGCCGGCGATGTTGAAGATGGAGAATCCGATTGAGACCAAGCCCCAGGCCATGCCGAGCGCAGACAGTACGATGGTGGCTACCCACAGACCATACGGGAACAGGCCGAACTCGTACAGCTCTTTTTTAACTGTAAAACAGAGCACACTTTATAAACTCATAAAGTTTACCTTTTACTGGAAAACAGATGAAGTAGGTCAGTAATGGGGGACAGATGTACGGAAACAGGAAAAACTAGGTCGGAGACATTTTATATAGCAACAGTCTATAAGCATCATCATTATACAATATTCCATCAATAAATGTCTTACATTAAATTTGCTTGTGAAGAGACTTTTCTATCTATTTGTATGACACTGAAGTGGTTCTTTACTGTCATATTTAACCTATAAATTATACATAATAATACAATACATATATATGCAATGTTTCTATCAGCACCAATACAATACATGTATATGTAATGTTTCTATCAGCAATCTGGTTATGAAAGGTGTTTATAACACTGCCGGCAACATTTAGGTTCTGTCAGCTACTATACGTGTACATGTTAGTTCAGTCTCACAAAACATTGATCGGCTTGATTTAATGAACCATGACTAAATGTTTCAGTTATTTCTTCAATCAATGACGGAGCATAATTTTTATAAGACTGGTTATCATGCATCGATCATTGTCATACATCTACAACAAGACAGCCAATAAATAGTTAAAGCTGGTTTCGGATTTCGCAATGAACACAAATTAAATAGTCAGAAAGATTTTCAACAAGTAAAACTTGTTTTCTTGTAAATTCATAAACACAATCAAAGGTTAGTGAAAATACCCAGAACCTTGATCAAGCTGTACAGGCAGTGTTTTTCTTATACGGATCACACAGAACTAGGCCAGGCTGGCTGGAGATTTCTATCTTCTACTAATTAGTAATCAGTGAGACTTCTAAATGAATAATTCAAATCAAGAACCCATCGCTGGGTTAAAGTGTGGCAAATGGAAACCTTAGTTTGGAATTTAATATTTATATTCACCTTTTAAATAACATAGTTATCACTAGTGACCCAAGTGTTGGTATCTATTGACAGCGTCTAGTTGTTCAAACATATCTGAACTTAAGGATCCCTGTCCCGCTGCACTGCCGTTTTTCCTATGTACAGTGACCTCCCCTTAACTTCCCTTTTTGATATTACTGTAGCACATTTGGGCTAGTACACCTCCATTGACCGGGTATAGCTCCATTGGTTACAGTGACAGTATATGACTGGGTATAAGCATTTAAACTAAAATTGAACTATTCGCTGATGGAATTAGGATCTGTGAACTCGGCTTTCATGTGTCTGAGAGAAAATGATTTAGTCCGAGGTTCCTCCTCTATAAAGTAACTGACAAACTTCAAAATGTCATGTCACGTATCATTCTAAAGTCAAGTGTTCGAACCCAGGTCCCAATGATTTTATTACACTCAGAACACCCTTGTTGATTACCAAGGTATGTTTTGTTTATTTCAAATTTTTATTACAGTATTTCTCATAAAAGTCCCATCAAGTATGGTTTTTCTTTTCAGAATGATTATCAAAGCTACATGCAGTCACGCTGGAAAAAACTGTTTCCAATATGTATAACTTAGTTACAGTTTTTGGCAGTGGTACGGGGATCTATATTATCTTATATTAATATTGAGTCATATCATATAATAAAACAATATGTATACAGGTATTCAAAATTGCTGAGGACAAAAAAATGAAAACCTTTGTACCTTTTCAGATATTTCTCAAAACTTGCCTTCTAAAACACTTTTTTTCATGAATGTCTACATTTTGTAATTTAGCTTGTCATGATTTGAACATGTTACCAGGCAATGACACACATCAGGCCACCTGCAACTGCATCATGACATTGTGGTGGCTTTTGATCTAAACTTCAAAATGATGATATTATTTTGTATTTCGCTTTGTATCAATTGAAGTAAAACATTTCAAAAGTTAAAATGTCTGCCTTGTGGCCATTGATATTACAATTTTACAATAAAAAACAAGTGGGAAGTCTCAATAGTAATTTCCACCTGGTCTGGAGTGACATTTTACTCTTTAACATCGAACATTGACAACTTAAATCAAAGCAGGGGAAGAAGTCTTTGTTACTGTAACAGGAGAGGAAAAATGCATGGCCAGGCCAGGGTTCTAATCCGGGACTCTCTGAACTCTAGATTGATGATCTGGCCAACTAGCAGCTACATTTTTCTCCCTATCGGTTTTAAAAAAAAAATGCCTAATGCTTATTAATTAATACCCAAGGAGAGTTTAAATATGAAGTTTGAGAAAAACCATCCAGTTCTTCTCGAAAAAAAGTGATAACAAGAACTGGACACACCACTGACCATGGCCCAAAGGTGTTTTGAGTGACCATGGTGGTCGAAATACTGGAGGTGGCCTTACAACAACCACCCCCCTCCTCCTGCCCAAATAGGTCGGGACACCAAATCATCATCCATAATCTATCTATCTATATATTAAATATCAACTAGGAAGTTCTAGGTATCAGTGTGGAATACCAGTGAGATTAGACTAGTGAGGTTTAGAGTCACCAACTGATTATATATATAGCGACATACTGAATGACTTCTACATAAATTAAATTGTATACAGGTACCGTAAAAACCCATATAATTTGCACACCTATGTAATTTGCACAGGTACTTTTTGAGGCAGAAAATCCCCAAAAAAACTTGTACTTGAATATTTTGCGTACCAAAATAATTCAAGTTCCGAAAATCGAAATTACATGGGGTTTTACAATAACAAAAAAATATTTGTCAACATAAAATCAGTGAAAACATTACTGTTGAATATTTCACATAAAATCACATGCAACAAGAGGCCCAGAGGGCCTGTATCGCTCACCTGGATATCTAAGCAATCATGGCAAAATATTCTCCAAATGAGATCCAAGGGAATATGCCAGACCTCAAGGCCAATCCTTGTAGCATATCTGTATTTGATTTTTTATGCCCAGCAATTTTATGTATGGTTATGGGGTGGGGATCTCAACTGTTTCCAAGCTGTGACTCAGAAACTAGGTCCCTAGGGTTGTGGCCAGACCCCAGGATAAATTCTAATATCATGACTGCATTTGTCTCTTTTTGCCCAGCATTTGTATATATAGTTTTGGGGTGGGGATCTCAACCGTTTCAAAGTTATGACCCAGGGGTTATGTCTGCAAGGGTGGGGCAGACCCTTGGGTCAATTCTAATACCATGACTGCATTCGTCTCTTTATGCCCAACAATTGTATATATAGTTTTGGGGTGGGGATCTTAACCGTTTCAAAGTTATGACCCAGGGGTTAAGTCTCCAAGGGTGGGGCCAGACCCTAGGGCCATCCTGGAAGCAAATGTGCATTCCTCTCTTTATACTCAGCAATTGTATATATGGTTATATGGTGGGGATCTCAACCATTTCCAAGTAATATTTTTTTTCGGCCCTACCCCTTAGCCCGGGGGGTCAGCCCCACCATTTGTACAATTTTGAATCCCTGCCTCCCATGAATGCTTCCGACCAAATATGATCAATATCCATGGTATAGTTTTACGGAAGAAGTCGTTTAGAGCAATATAGCCAAATTGCCCCCTTTTGGCCCAGCCCTCAGCCCCCTGGGGGGTCAGCCCCACCATTTGTACAATTTTGAATCCCCACCACCTAGGGATGCTTCCAGTCAAATATGGTTCATATTTATCTCTTAGTTCCAGATAGGAGGTCGCTTAAAGCAATATAGCTAAATAACCCTTTTTGGCCCTGCCCCTCAACCCCATGGGGGTCAGCCCCACCATTTGTACAATTTTGAATCCCTGCCTCCCATGAATGCTTTTGATTAAATATGATTGATATCCAGTGCATAGTTCTATAGAAGAAGTCGTTTGTAGCAATATAGTCAAAATGCCCCCTTTTGGCCGGCCCCTCAGCCCCCTGGGGGGTCAGCCCAACCATTTGTACAATTTTGAATCCACACCACCTAGGGATGCTTCCAATTAAATATGGTTGATATCCATCTCTTAGTTCCAGAGAACATCTCTTAGTTCCAGAGAAGATGTCGCTTAAAGCAATATAGCCAAATTGCCCCCTTATTGCCCTGTCCCTCAGCCCCCTGGGGGGACAGCCCCATCATTTGTACAATTTTGAATCCCCACCACCTAGGAATGCTTCCAGTTTAAAGAAATTGTTGACGGACGGACGACGGACGCCACGGTATGGCATAAGCTCACCTTGGTACTTTGGACCCGGTGAGCTAATAATGCTACACTTGAAAAGTTAAGTGTCTAATATATCAAATACCCCCAATTTTTACCACTTCAAATGTTCAACTTCTATAAATTTCTTCCAATGTAGAAGAGAGATGACCCATCTATGATGACCAATCTATAATAAATCAATTCTAAACTGTGTAACACTATGAGCTTACCACACGATACCTACAATTAGCTCTCCTAGCAGAATATTATTGATTTTCAGATTAAAAATAACGTAGAAAACATATACCAGCCAGTGCTTTGCTTAGTAAATATTACCAAACAGTAAATCTGTGCCACATCCGTGTTGTGAATTAATCGATTATTTGGACAGATCATGTGTGAGTTGCCTTAGACGTCATGACATACAGTAACATTTTTACATGGTTTGAGAATTCTAAATAAAACCTTTATAACACCCACAGGTAACCCTCAAATATAAGTAAAACCCTTGGGTGCAGACTACAGTCACAGTCACCTGATCATGATGACACAGGTAACTGTAAATATATTTGAAGCCACCACTAATGACTGTTACCCAGGAACACTAACTGTTGTTTTAATATTTGTAACAGATTTGCATTCATACAAGCATGAAACTTCAAAAAATCTGTTTAATCCTTATATGGTAACCTGCATGTGGCTAAACACTGACCCTACTAATCAATTTTAATGTGCAGCCTGAAATGCATGCAGGTAGTATACCTGTAACATTATGTCTTCATTTACTGTTTCCAGTAGCTAGCCATGCATATAATACAAATAACGATACTCCCCTATCTGAAAAAGAATATTGATAAAATATCCAATAAAGTCATGCTTCAGATCCAAACGGTCTTACCGGTATTTCAATCAATAATCGTTGGCTGTATAAGGTATATATATACAAAGCCGTAATTTCAATAAACTTAGGAACCTAAACTGATAACTCTGACAATGAGAATGACATTAAATCTACAGGCTGTAGATAAACGGAAATATCTAATTTCCGACACATTGATATGAAGACGGATATTGACCTGAAGAGGAAGCTAGGACTGTCGAGGCGTTGTTGTATTCGTCTACCACCATCTGTAGTTTTGTTTTCTTGTCGACGGCTGTTGTGTTGTATAAGAGACAATACCCAGCCGCTCCGTCACACACCACTGTTACAAAACCAATCCAAACAAACAAAATCAGGCATGCAAACAAACAACAACAATACAACATTTCACAACATCTAATATATATAAAATAATATACAGTGAAACCTGTCTAGTCCGACAATGTGGGATACAACATATAGACCAGATATGGCAGGAATGTTGGAATACACAGGTCTCAATATTGGGTATAGTATTTGTTAGAAATAGGATCACAGCATTATATTGGATTAGACAGGCTGTCAGAATTCTTAGGGGTCAGATGAGACAATGTCAGAGTACTCAGGGGTCAGATTTTAAGATTTAAGAATATTCAGGGATCAGATTAGACAGTATGTCAGAATGCTCTGGGGTCAGATGAGGCAAGTTTCACTGTATACAGAAATAAAAACAGAACAAAAAAAATAAAATCAGGATTCAAAACTTAAACACTACAAAAACTGGTGCAATAATCTGATACAATATACCATTGAGCGGGAGCATGCTGGGTGTACGAGGAATTTGCAAACTGAAACTAATGTTATTTTTTTTTAGCTACATTACGTTTGCCTTATCAAAAAGTTAGGGTGGGCTTGCACAACTTTTTTTAGTTTTATCTATATAGTATCTATATATAAACTCTTATATTTTGCAAAATATGTTTACACATTTTCTATGTATAGAATTTCGTTTTTCCAGATGTCAACATTTCATGTAATTTTTAAAAACATGTGCAAAGCTAATAACATCATGCCTGTTTCATGTAATGATGTCTGTGTCATGTAATGATGTCTGTGTCATGTAATGATGTCTGTTTCATGTAATGATGTCTGTAACATGTAATGATGTCTGTGTCATGTTATGATGTCTGTGTCATGTAATGATGTCTGTTTCATGTAATGATGTCTGTATCATGTTATGATGTATGTTAATGTAATGATGTCTATTTCATGAAATGATGTCTGTTTCATGCAATGATGTCTGTATCATGTAATGATGTATGTTAATGTAATGATGTCTGTTTCATGAAATGATGTCTGTTTCATGTAATGATGTCTGTTTCATGTAATGATGTCTGTTTCATGTAATGTCTGTATCATGCATTCACACACTAAAAATTATCATTCAACTTTATACACTTCGCAAATTACAATTTTTGTATGCCAGTGACAGCATACATACTGATGCAGCCCATTACCTGTGGTATGTAGAAATTTACTTTATCTATTAAGTGACCGGTGTATATGTAGAAACACAAAACTCTAACAAACTCCAGGTTAAATTATATACTGTGGGGTTCCTATGACAAATGATTCGGTGTGAAATGCTGATGTCACCGTGGTAACCAAAACATTCTGTGTAGACAGGACTACACTTGATGGGCGATGTTAGGGTATTGGTGTAAATGTGTTCATTATATGACATTTAAAGGCGGTTACAAGATAACATTGATTAACAAAATCGTTACGTCATCTATTTTAATAAATGTACCAGGGAGAGTTTTAGACTTTTCAAAAGTGGGCACCAAAAACAGGTGATTGATTGGGTTACACTTATTTTAGGAATATGTGACAAAACTGTAAAAAATATTTGGTCCCTTGCAAATTTTTGCTAATTTTGAAGAAAACATAAATTTACAGTCAACACTGACCTTCACTCAATAACTGTTGTTCTTGCTAACTGGAGTTATTATCTCATAGACCTTGACAAGTTTCCATGACATCGACAACAATAAATATAGACTGAACTATATATATATATATATATATGCAAATTTTTTCGCAAACGAGACACATTGCCATGTGACATCATCAATAGTAGATGTACATACAGTGTATGTGCATGTGGGCGGAGTTTACCAAATGCAAATTTCCAGCCGTTAGTTCTATTGAACCCATCGATATATATCGTACCTTAATAAGTTTTGAAGATGAAATGAAATATCCTTTTGATCAGAAATATGCATAAAAATGTTATGAACCATTCACAGAAAAAATAAACGGTAAATGTAAGAAATAGTTTTCCATTTTGGTAAGGTCAGGAGGTGATAATTCGATCCAGTTCAGCATGAGTAAATATATCATAGATGGCTTTGCCATTTATTCAATTTAAACAAGAGCTCAAATGGAGTTATAATCACCACATATAAGCTATTCCTTAAACAAACAGAAGCATTTATTTGTTATTTTTTTAAGACATATGTAATAAAATGCTTTATTCCATAATATATCATAACATTGGCAAGAATATTAAAAAGGTAGTTTAATAAGAAAAGAACATGCATGGGGAAAATAAAACCGATACTCATGCATAAATTGAAACTTCTGTCATGATTAATTTGTTGACACATTATCTAAATAAGTAAACAGAAAATATTACTGGTCACCATCAACAGGAATTTTATATTTAATTCTGTCGCTTTACAGCTAAGTTTTTCTTAGTGTGTTTAGAATATATTCTGACATTAACTGTTCTTATATAAAATTTACACAAAAAATCTTATAGGATATATATATTATATATAGACACACAAATCTAGGGTAGCTATATATAGATAGCTAGATATATATAGCTACCCTAAAGTTACCGGAACAAATTAGACTGCAGACATCACTTTATTTTCACAGCCATAAGTCATGAAATGTAGGATGGTCAGTATTTACATGATGAAACATCGCAAGCTACAGAGTGGGAGTCGGGTAGACACCTTGTCTTGTACACAAACTTTTAAAAAAGTATGTGATAATTTATTAGCCCCTTTCTTTGATTAGCAATCCTGGCCTATACTTTAATTATTACTTACAAACCCTACATATCTAGGGATCTAAGTTTTAAATCAAACACTTCTCCTATATGCTTAAACAAATTAAAACATATTTCTGTTGTTATTAGCTGTACAGTATTATCGTAACATTAGCAAAAACGTTGCTGTAGCTACCTGGTCACGTCACAGGTCACATGACAGACGTCAATGACGAACGTTCAAACATAATGTTTCCTTAATCATGAAAATGTGGGGTGTTTTAGAATTTAACATTGTAAATATAACCTACCCTTAATTTTGTTTAGGATATAAATGAAGCACAGTTGCACAAGACATCTTTCACTAACCATGTTTCGGTACAATATGGTCACAGTTAAATGGGTCTACACATACAAGCAACATTTAGACAACAACAACTGTCTTAATACAGCAACAACCTTGTCGCCAGATAAAATCTTCGAAATATTAAAAACAGTAAACAACATCATAAGATGTGTTGTTCATATAATGACTACAATTAAAAAACATTCACCCAAATTTCAGTTTGATTTGTGAAAAATATGGCAAGTTATGAAAAATGCAAATATTACAATTGGATGTGTGCATGTTACATGCAGGTACATGTACTATGGTATGCTTCACATTCAATGAAGTGTCTTCAAACCCTACCCCTCCAAACAACAAGAGTAAGCAACATCAGCAGATATTGTATTTGTATTACTGTATATACTGGACCTATACAAATTCCAGTTCAATATCACGTATGTGAAAAAATAACCAAGTTACAATTTATAGTGAATTGATTTTTTAAGGTTGACAAATGTCACAGGTATATATGTGTATGTGTACACTGATCAAAATGCATCTGTTAATTTACATCCTTTTAACAGCTATGATCATTTAAGGGCGAGCTGGTTTGCTGGTGGAGGAAAGCCGGAACACCCAGAAAACAACACCGACCTGTGGTCAGTACCTGCCGACTGCCCCATGTACATAGGCCACAAAACCAGGACCCAGTGGTGGAGGGCTAGTGATCATAGACGGTCGATGCCTTAACCACTCGTCCACCACAGCCCCGCCATCTTCAGACTGCATTATATTACTCAAAATAATCCTTAAAGTGAGTGGAACAACGAAGTTAGTTTATTTACCCAGTACACTATATAAAATATATAATGTCACACAAACATATAATGGACCCTTAGTAGAACAACGCCCATGTCTGTAGGGTCTGATAACATTCTACACACACGATACATTTAAAAAAAGTCTAAGTGTGTTCACCAATGTACATGTGAAGTCCTATGTACACACATGATACAGCATAAAGTTTAGTTCAAGCACACGTGCAAGGTGAAAATTGCACCGATCCTAACTCATAACACAGGGGTAAAGGACAATGTCAAAAAAGTGTCGAGGAATGTTTACATTCATCTTTTAGGTTTCTGGAGGACGCACCTAGCGGTATACAAAAGCCCTCTTATGATAAAGCAAAGCAAATACCCAAAGGAGATAAATAACTTGAATTGTGAACCCAGGTTTCCATAATTAACTGTGTAGCGGACATCCACAACCAGTTAGCTCAATTGGTAAAGCGTCCGTCTAGAGTTCGGAGGGTCACTGGTTCAAAACCCAACTATTGTTATAAGGGGATACCAAAACTTGGGTTGTAAAAAGTGGTCTCTTTGGGGGCAAAGTCTTAGAAAAAGGAGGGAGGAATGTAACAGAACTGGACGGGGTTGATCATCTACCGCCACATAGCTAAATTGGTATAGAGCGTCCATCTATGGATGGTCCTGGGTTTGAACCCTGGTCTAGCAGTGCATTTTATCTCTCTTGATATAATTGACACTTGTGCTGACTGATTTCGGCCTGCTAGGCAGGTGGATGTCAGAGCACAACTACGTACATTCAATATAGTTACTACATTGAATAAGGAAGTAGATATGGAGAAAAGATAAAGCAAAATTCTGATTGGTGCATACATAATAAAGTATGAGATAATAATACATGAGTGATCATTATATTAAAGGCTTGAAGTAAATATAAGTATCAATTGGTACATTTCAGGGGTAAGGTGAAAATATTCAAAGTTTTGAGGAAGGAAGAAATTGATAAATCTGGATCCATGTTTTACCTGTAGGAGAAGGCTAATAGTAATCCTGAACATTATAGCTAATGTAAGACGGTGATTATATGGTTATGATTCCTATATACACTAAGTCACAATATCAGTCAAAATCAATATCTGTGAAAAATTGAAAAGCAGCTGGAAAATACTGAAAGTTCCAAATTGTACAGTTAAGATGAATCCCAAAGATGGGAAAGGTCCGGGATACCCTTGCATCAGAAAGTCTGTAGGAAGTAATAGTACGAGTCCTGACAATTCAAATGTTTGTATGAGGATTTAGGCTAAAGGATGGCCCTGCAGAGTATATCTAGTGCTTTAATCAAGAAGGCAAGTAGTACATATGTACGTCCTCCATGCTGTAGATTGATGAATAGGATAAGTTTATTCATGTTTGGCAATAGTAGTTTTCAATAACAGTGATAGTGGTTATACCACTAGAAAGTAGATGTATAAGTAGTTTCATACTACTGTAGTGAGATTCTATACATGTATGTAGCTGAACTGGCCATGGGCTGGGCCATTTTCCAGCCACCAGTATAAAGCTCAATCGGTAGAGCGTCTGTCTAGAGTTTGGAGGGTCCCGGGTTTTAACCTGGCTTGCAGTGCATTTTTCGATATATCTTGTTCCACACACAGTTTCTTCTTAGATGATCATGAGGTGATATATATTTGCATCAAAGAAGGTTCTGTTCATTGTCTTTTGTTTGCATCATGCAAAAAGGCTCCTTGTCTTCATCCAAAATGACCAGAAGTCAGGCGCCAGTCAAGAGTGGGCAGATTCTTACATGGAAATGCAAGGATTCTTGAATAAATGTACACATAAGAAACAACATCCAATAAGTGTCAAGGAAGGTTTACATTTATCTTCTAGGTTTTTGGAGGATACCCAGTTACACGTCATCAACAAACATAAGCTCTGTATTACGACGCCACGACGCCACTATAAGTATAGGGGAACAGATGTTGGTTTCGTGGTGGAAGAAAGCCCACATCCCGGATAGCACGACATTGTCGGGCCAATGGCGCGATGCGACGATCACATATCGACCTTGGCCCAACCGATAAGATAAGCTGCATAGCCAACGACCGCATCTCGCCGTTGGCCCAACGGCAGTGTTAAGCTGCATTGCCAATGATCTCATCGCGCCATTGGCCCAGCTGTGGAGTTTAGCTGCAAAGCCAACGATCGCATCTCGCCGTTGGCCCACGGTCGGAAATTAACTGATCATCGAACCATAGTCTAACGGATATCCGGTATAGCCTCGTTCTGAATGCAGCTTTGCTGGAAAAATAGGAAGCGGGTACGTGTTGCAATGTCTTGACAAAAGTAAGTTACTGATGTATCAGCAATTATCTACGAGAAAGATGAAAACGTGTAAATGATAAAGTTGAATATAATATAAAATCTACATTCTATTTTCATTGACAACTCACTTCAATTCGAATTCTGGTTGTTTAGCCCCATGTCCTGTTCGCACCATCTGCCCATATGACATAATTATGGCATGTAGAGCGATGAAAATTGTGATTGGATAATTCCAGATCCCGATTTGCATATTTGCAAGGAAAGGTACTCTTGTTTGGTTGAAATACAAAACGAAACCGCTAAACTCTAAACTGTATTTTAAACAGACAGAAATGTAAAATATACCAGGCGTTGTTACAGGAGTCCAATTTTAGCATTATCAGATGGTGGCCCAACAATATTTTCAGATCATGGCCCTACAGAATTTTCTGCCAGCCCAACGGACAAAAAGCTGTAGGGCCGATGTTGTATGCCTACGTTGAGCCAACAGTACAGTTTCGTTGGGCCAACGTTGGCCCATCAGCGGTGTGCTATCTGGGATGGTAAAACCACCAGAGGGGTAACAACCCTATCAGACATCACACTCTTTTTCTGCCACCGCTGAGGAACAAACCCAAATTCTTTGGAGAGTGATGCTCTGAAGCTCACATTTGATTGCACCAATAGTAGTGATGACTGCCCGTTAGCGATCGCAGCTAACGATCGAGGCACCCCCAGTTGTATACAGAAGCCTTTTTAATGTATGGTAAAGCAAAACAAATAACAAAAGGAGGGAAGCAACTCCTGAATCCAGGTTCCCATAACAGTATTGATATGTATGCGGACTAGTTTCATCCCGATAGGCCGGCCGTCGTCAGAGCACAGCTATTTGGTGACTACACTGCAACTACATGTGTACATGCATAAGTTGGTGGTGGAGTTACAATGATGGTCATGTGACTTACAACTCAATTTGTTTTTTACATATTTTGTTGCAACGATAACCATCTTACATACTAATGACAATTTATTTCACATTACACACATTTGGTACTAAAAATTTGAACTTGTCATACAAATGTATGCACCTCAGCCAATTTTTTTTCACAAATCAATCTGAACTTATTATAGTCATATTAATAAAAAAAAACATCTTCTGATTTCGTCTGCTTTTTGATAATATTTTTTAAAGATTTTGTCAGGCGACACTTGTCGCTTTCAAGTACAACACATTTACAATGTCTATAATGGTACGCCGTCATACAAGCGTATGCCTTTCTTTTTTTTCTTTTACCTTCGATTGTTTGTTCTCTAGCGCCGACTCCATAATTAACCTTTCTTGTTCCTGCAAACAATCCAAAAGTAATATTTCCGGTGAATTTCCCAACTGTTTCAGAAGCATTTCTACTCAAAGTGTTGTTTTTCTTTTGTGCAAAAGCCGAAATCCAATGCTCTGTGACGAAAGCAGCCACAACAAGTCCTATTGCTGCTAAGCTTACGTATATTGTCAATCCGATAAACACTTTTTTAGTTTCCCCCATTTCCTTAGAATTCCTCTAGTTATGCTTCACCTAGGAGCTCTGGTATTCGTAATGGACAGCTACATAGAACAGATAACGAAAGTTGATAACAAACTGTCACACCCAAGAAAAACCGGAAGTTCAGCCCGATAGCTCGAACGCTTAAAATTTAGCCTAAAAGTCAAGCGTCTTGTTCACCTGGGATTGAATGTGACCGCACACCTCTCCACCTCGACGTAGACCTATTCGAAGGAAACACGTTTCGTTGGAGGTCATAAATCCGGACCCTAGTCCATTTTAATGTTGTAAGCTCATACTTCATTAGATTGAACCATATGTAATGTTTTGTTTGGTAAATTGAAAGAGTCCTTATTCAAAACACCGATCCGGTTACACGTGTGACATGACAACAATCAACACGATACAAATCATTAGCAAGTTGTCCAGCCTAGTTTATTCACCAAGGTCTTATCAATATTTCAAGGACCATGATTCGTTATTTGTATGGTACCATTTATATAAGATGCGAACGCATGGTACTTAATATAAAAGACCTCAACATTTTCCAGGGTGATTTTGAATGGGGGGAGGAGGTTATCAAAATTGAACAGGACCGGAATACGTATTATCACATTGCCATGTTAAGTCTTCACGTAATAAAGAAATGTAATGGTACAAAGTACAGTGCTCCAGATAACTTTTGAACATGTGGGGTTTTTCACCCCTACCTCTCCAAAGTGTTGGGGTGAAAACTTAAATTTTAAACCATGAAGTGCTGTAAAAGCAACGTTTCCTGAAAATGTTGAAATAAGATGAATAATTTGTATGTGTTATTCTTATAGTATGCGGTTAAGAATGACTCAAATTCATATTTTTGTGTTGTCTTGACATGTGGTATTATTTTTCCATTTCACTGTGATTGTGTTTAAATGTTTAAACCCAAAACTCAATGAGTTGCATATTTTTTTCGTTTGAATATATATATAGTACACATATCCTTCTTCGTTTTTTATCATTCCATATTCGAACAGCCCTTCTTGGCTCTAAGTCAGTTCAGGTCCTAACATGTTGATTTTCATCAATGTATTGACAGTTGCTGCTTTGAGAGAGCATCTTAACCGTGACTTTAGGCGGTTTTGCACACTGAATGATCGTTCACATTCTATTGATGTTATACACAAGGTTAATGCAATTTGTGCTAAAACAGAAAAGTTTGGAATCATTTTTGAATGAAGTAAAACTACCCGACGATTGTTGACATTTTGATAGCGCCATAATTTAATTTTCTCTCGTGTTAGCGTTTGTAACAGGAGGCATTGATATGCAAGCGTCTCGGTGACTCACTGTAAGCGTATTATAATATGCTAAATTGGACCCGGAGACTGACGCAATGTTCCGGATTTTGCTTGCGTGAATTAAGCAAGTTCATTTTTTTCTTTTGCGTAATTTGTGAAATATCGTACGTGAATACGCATTCACGCAAGCTATCTGGAGCACTGAAAGTAAATTGTGCATTGGTAGGATATGGTATAGTGGATAACGAACACCAAGACCGTTGATTTTGGATCTATTCCCAAATGTAGCAGAACTGGACTGGCCCTGGGTCAATCGTTAGCGACCTGCTCAATTGGTAGAGCGTCTAAGGTTTCGAACCCCGGCCTGGCCGTTGCATTTTTCCTCTCCTATAACATTTGGTGCCTGTGACCAACCCTTGTTTCAAGTACTAGCTATATATAGGTGAATGTTTGACTTGGTTTGTAAATAGTTGTGTCTTCGGAGAGCAAAGACTTCGAAAAAGAAGGGAGGAATGTAGCAGAACTGGACTGGGTCGTGACCAAGTTACTCAATTGGTAGAGTGTCTGTTTAAAGTTTGAGGGTCCTGCATGGGTTCGAACCCCGGTCTAGCCGTTACATTTTTCCTCTCCTTAGTCTAATTAAACCTGATTGGAAACAAAAAGGTATGGGTCATCTGCCCAACCAAATGAGTTTCTCCTGGTACTCTGGTTCCACTCACATTAAGAACACCCCCGGGGCCCCCCTCCACCTCTGCAAGCAAACATCCTGGTCAGCAAAGCATTAATTAAGTAGCTCTAAACAACTTGTTGCTCATAACTGTTGTAAAATACATTTGTAAGTACATGTAATATCTATATCTAAATTGTGCATTTCAAAAATATATAATGCATATGGTAGACCCATAGACAATTAAGTCACCAAGGACATCTCTGTAGGTCTATATAGGAATCATTCATTTCAAAGACCAAGTTGTCTATGATGTTTGTTCGTATTATGTAAAATATTCAATGACAAGTATATAGTAAGGAGCAAAAAAGTGTTTTATTTACTCCTTCTTTTCCTTTATTTTTACACAAATTATCTTCATTAAATATTATCAACCACTGAATATACAATTAAAATTTCTTGGAAAAGGTCAGGTCTATCCAAAGTTCATTAGGTCTATACAAAAATGTTTACCAGTATCTCAATCACAGCCCTATTGTCTATGTTGTATAAATTCTAAGACTGGTATATTGAACAGTATTATAGATAAGGAACAGGGCCTAGTAGCTAGCAGGGATCAAATTGCTGCAGTATATAGCATAACATTTGTATTTGTTCAATGAAATGTGAATTCACTGAGGTATAGAGTTGTCAAACCTCCCCCATGATCATTAGGAAGGGGGCTCCCTCATTTTTACTAAAATTTACCAATCTCCCCGAAAACTCCCTCATTCAAGTCCAAATTCACACAAACTCAAAATCAACATCCTGTGGTCAAATGATCTCCTAGTTACTGCAGGGTGTCTGTGTGTAATGATCATAACATTAACAGGTATGTCTGAATCAAATGAATGCTTTTTGGAGTTATTTTGATACATACAAAGGGAAATATAAATTGAGCAAAGCAATTTCAGTCACGTTTCACACTTTCTCCCTCATTGGAAATGTGAATGGAGTGAGATCTCCCTCATTGGAAATGTGAATGGAGTGAGATCTCCCTCATTTGAGGTTTCAGATGTTGACACCCATGCTGAGGCCTATAATGTCAACTCTTTTTGTCAATGTCTCGTTTAAAGTTGTGCCAGCATGATATATATATTGATAGCATCAAATTTGCATACAAAATGGCATTGATTAAATAGTTCAGATATTTTACTTACACTTTCTCTGGTTTTAAACATCTGTGACTGAACCAAACATAAGGTTATTGCTCCCTCAGCCTTTGTAAGAGCCTTTTTTGAGAGACACTTTTTTTTAAATCTAATATCCTGGAATTTTATTTAAGATCTCAGAAATGTGCATAACATAAATAATTGTACATATTATGACTGGTACACTATGGATTATAACTCAATATTATGATTATGTGTTTACAGGTAATAAAGAACTTCCCAGATGCAGCAATGAAGTATTACACAGGAAGCTTTATATTTCCTTTCCAATGGGATCAAGTTGTAACTGGGTTTTGGCAGAAGTATTCCTTATCAAACAGGTATTGCATCAGCAGCAGCTATGTTTCTTTTCCTTTTTATTTTCAAAATTTCACAAAGTTTTTTTATTGTCGTATTATGTTGATATACAGTGCACCAGTCAAGGCTTTCAGTCGACTCTTGGCATTGAAAGTAAACAAATATGAAATAAATACTGGTATGTCGTCTCAAATCCAAGAGTCAAAGACTAATTTTGGGGAGTCAATGACTAATTTTGGGGAGTCAACGACTAATTTTGGGGAGTCAACAAGTTACTCTCAAGGATTTTTTTGAAAGAAAGAAAATACAGTTGTATCTCCTTGTAAAATTCCAGTGTCTTTTTCTTCTGGTGTATCTGTTTTGAAAAGTTTTCATATTTCATACATTTATAATTAGTTTAACGATGTTTTATCAATTTTAGTAAACACATAAATTCCGAGGATGTGCTGTCACGGAAGATTGTTGAAGGCAAGCTTTTCTCAAAGAGACTCATCAACAAGTCGGCTGGCTCTGCCCAGAAGGTGGCAAACATGCTGTTTAACAAAAAGGCAAAACGGACATGGGTCATTGAGGAATCTGTTGTAGACCCGGTGGAGAAAACCATGGTTACCTACACACGAAACATTGGCCTCAAGGAATTAGCTGTAAGTATCTTACATATGTCTCACTTACCTACACACAAAACATTGGCCTCAAGGAGTTAGCTGTAAGTATCTTGCATGTCTCAAGACCTAAACTGAGGCATTGGCCTCAAAGAATTAGATGTTAAGTATTTGATATGCTTCCAGAACCTTCTCATGAAATATTTGCTAAAATAAGTACCTTGTATCATAGTGGTATGTAATATAAAGCCATCTGGAACCTAACACAAATAAACGTGGCCTCCAGGAATAAGCTTAATAATAATCCACCAGAACCTACACATGAAACACTGGCCTCAAGGAACTGTTTGCTAAATTTCAACATTGCATGATCGATACACTATGTAGTATTTTAGTTCCAATAAGATGGGTTTTGTTTTCTAATGTTTCAGTTCATCAGCAAATAGATTGTTGTAAAATGATATATGAGAATGCTGGTATTCCTGAACTTATTTAAAGATGTTTTCTACAATTTCAGTTGATTGAAGAAAAATGTGTTTACAAAGCAAACCCAGAGAAAACAGATGAAGTCATACAGATGAAGAGCGCTTGGATTGACTCCAGTCATGCCTATTTAGGCAGAATCATACAAAACCTTGTTTATCAACATTTCAAACGTCGGGCAGGAAAGTCAAGTGGTGAACTTCTTGGTGTCTTAACAAAACTATATAGCATGGAAGTGGCCGACCCCACAAATAGCTCGGGTATCAGACCCCTACTGAAAGATCACGACATCACAGGAAAGGCAATTCGTGCGGGCAAAAGTGTCGCTCAGAAGACGCCAAAACTTTGAAGGTGCCTTAATTTACATAGCTGTGTGGATGAAGTAGTCGGATTTATCTTCGGGTGAGGGGATGAATATTTGATTTGGATAAGTTACAGGAACGATAAATCATTTTTGCTCTTTTGGTAGTCAATACCCGGTGTATTTATGAAGAGAAAAAAAGTAATAGAACAATGCTTACAATTAATTAGATCATCTCGGTCAACTTTAGAAGTTTTTATAATTCTTTAAAAAAACAGATTCAAAAAGAGAAGAATATTTTTATATGATTAATTTTTATCCCTTGGAGCTTGTGAATACGAAGGAATGTCAATTTGTATAACTTGTAAACTATACTGAATTCCTGCGCTATAGAATGTTCAAAACAATCTGATTTTTTTGGTTTCAATCACTGTGAAGATTTTTATTAATTTCTAACAAACCTTTGAAGTTTTACGTAACAAAATCTTATAAGAGTTGATTGTGCTAATGCTGCATGGTGTATATATTATCCATGCTTTGTGTGAATCAGTTTGTACCTGTTTTCATCAAACCTGTTTCCTTATAAGTTGAGTGCTAGATTGACTTAAGGAATTATTCCATGGCCATGATGCCATACAAGTTAAGTTATAGGGAACAGATTACACACACAATCTATGTAAAACAGGGTTGTATGGAGCTTTTATACAACGTGGGTTAAAACGTTTGTTTTATGTTCTGATTCATGAAACCATGGATGTGTAATTGTGTATGTGAAAAAGATATTAAGGAATATACATCAACTGTTATTGACAAATGGTAGAAAGTCAATATGTGAGGTTGTGTTGAGATTATTACCGATAGTTTGGGGTGTATGCTGAGTCATCAATCTTAAGCATTGTGACATCTACCTCAATAAAACATAAACACCCACCGCCATCAAGAATCATGTACAGCTAACATGTATTCAAAACATTGTATTAGAAGAAACAGTTATGGTTTTAAATGGAATTCATGGTTTCAAAGTTTAAATGTCATTTTCCCATAATTAAGCATTGCCATTTTGTTTGACTGATGCAGAGTAAAGATGAAATTCTGTAAATTTCTAACTGGGAAAGAGGCTATAATTATGATATACATTGAATGTATATATATAATAGAGACCATTTTTTACCAGTTTGATAGAGATTCTACTGATATTAACAAATGTTGTGTCATTTTTAGCGATTAAAATACCTCAAAAAGCATCATGCATGTGATAAAAACAAAAAACAAATGCAAAAAATTAGGGACTTATACAAACTGCTTCTCTCGTATGATTATCATACTATCAAAGTTTCACAAGTTTGTTCCTGAAACTAATTCACTCAATATTGTTAAAAGTCTTAATTAGAAGGTAATAAATTTCATGGTGTTAATGTACAGTGTAAATTAAACCCCAGGGGAGTTTTGTCTGTAGTATACAGATTTTAATTTGTTTTACAAGTTCATGAAGATACAATCTTCGTAAGATACTGTATTCAGTTTAGTAAGTGCCCCAGCCCTTAAATGTTCTTCATCTTAAAGATGTTTTCCTCGTCAGAGCGTACATTCCTTTCCCATAAATTACAGACTACCTTTAACAGAGTGTCTTTAGTTAATGTTTAAGAATTTCACATCTTGGAACATTCTGCGATTGTTCTTATTTTCCAAAGTTCATAAACATTTATTAGAAAAAGCAATGTGCTCTAGTTATGCAACTAAGTGTAATTTTATAAATTACCTTTAAAGACTGAGTGTGAGATTTGTGACAAAATTGGAAAAGAGACCAAATTTTCGATTGAAATGGGTCCATGAATACGTGATTTCATTGCATTTCTATTACACAGATCAATCCCAAATATTTATATTACATTTTCATATCTAGAGAACCAGTCCGCTGGTAGATTTTGAAAAAATCTGCTAGCCCAATCAATATCTACATAGTAGATATTTCCATATATCACTGGCCTTGACAGAACATCTACATTTTTTGCGCTCTGCATACAATTCGGTCCAAGTGCATTAGTTTATCGTCGAATATTTCCACTTGAACTTGTTTCAACTGGGATATGCGAATGCGGCCCAAGTCAATTTGATGTCATGTCAGTTTCAAGTCAGCTGGAAAGGGGGGGGGGGGGGGGGGGGGGGGGATCATGTGAATTCAGGTTATTTTTTTTATGTCAATTCCCCATCAATTTCAGGTCAAGTTAAGATCAAGTTTTGGCCTGAAATTGAATTTTCTTGCTCATTTTAGGTAAAATTGACCTGAAAATTAGACCTGAAATTAACATCAAGAAATGTTGTCTGTGTATGGTGTAAATAGTGGATATGTATATTTCAGCTATACATCTGATTTGTATACTAGCTAGTATATAATTTACAATTGCAAAGCAAAATATTAAAGTTAACATGGTTTTAACAGAGAATTAATTCAATTATATAGGGAATGAGATGATTATGAACCAAAGCCATTTTTTTACAGGGCAGCTTAGAACATGTGCTTGTGTGTGTCACCATTTTAAATACCATTTTTCAATGAGTGTCTGGTTTGACTTAATTTTATTCATAAATGCTTTTACTTTTCAGGGACAGATACAACTCGAATGTGTTTATTTTGGAGGTTTATGTATACAAGACAAACCTAAAACAACTTTTGTTATTATTTTACCTGGATAATCTAATGTTCTGATTGTATTCAAAATCTGTAAATGAAAAATTAGAAATTTCACAATTATTGTGAAAGTTCGCTTTTGAAAATTAGCTAGACTGAGCAATAGTTTTTCAGTGTAGAATATTGCAAAAACTATCAAAATGGAATGGAAGCTATGATTTCATTTTGTGCCTATGACCTATGATTTGTGACAAAATGTTTATGTGTGTGCTTGTGTGTGCTTGTGGAGAAAATTATTAGTGCTAGCTAGTGACTGATGTCATCAAAAGATTGATTTAACTTTGTTATGAACATGTAATAAAAAAAAATATGAAGTAAAACAAGATTTTGAATTTATCTTTAAAGGGAAAAACCAGAAGGGAACCAAGATTTGGTGACGGGTATACTTGGACCTAAACTGAGGTGTTCAGAGTGATTTAAACACATTAATGGGGTTTAGATCAACTTTTGGTAAATCATATAGATATACTATGAGAAAAATAACCAGTGATTGCATTTAAATACAAATCTTACTATAGTGATTACTATTTGATTTATTAGCTCACCTGCCATACCGTTGTGTCCGTCGTCCGGACGTCCGTACGTCAACAATTTCTTTAAACGACTTCGTCTTCTTAACCACTTATTGGAATTTAACTAAATTTGTCTGGAAGCATCCCTAGGTGGTGGGGATTCAAAATTGTACCAATGATGGGGCTGACCCACCAGGGTGCTGAGGGGCAGGGCCAAAAGGGGGAAATTTGGCTATACTGCTTTAAGCGACTTCTTATATGGAACTAAGAGACGGATATCAACCATATTTGACCGGAAGCATCCCTAGGTGATGAGGATTCAAAATTGTACAAATGATGGGGCTGAACCACCAGGGGGCTGAGGGGCAGGGCCAAAAGGGGGAAATTTGGCTATACTGCTTTAAGCGATTTCTTCTCTGGAACTAAGAGATGGATATCAACCATATTTGACTGGAAGCATCCCTAGGTGGTGGAGATTCAAAATTGTACAAATAATTGGGCTGAGGGGTGGGGCCAAAAGGGGTTATTTGGCTATATTGCTTTAAGCGACTTCTTCTGTAGAACTATGCCATGGATATTGATCATATTTGGTCGGAAACATTCATGGAAGGCAGGGATACAAAATTACACAAATGGTGGTGCTGACCCCCCGGGCTAAGGGGTGTATTACTTGGAAATAGTTGAGATCCCCACCATATAACCATGGTATACAATTGCTGAGTATAAAGAGAAGATTGCTCATTTGATTCCAGGATGGCACTAGGGTCTGGCTCTGCCCTTGGAGACATACCTTAGTCCCTGGGCCATAACTTTAAAACTGTTGAGATCCCCACCCCAAAACTATATATACAAATGCTGGGCATAAAGAGACAAATGCAGTCATGATATCAGAATAGACCCGCGGGTCTGACCGATCCCCTAGGGACCTAGTTTCTGAGTCAAAGCTTGGAAACAGTTGAGATCCCCACCCCATAACCATACATAAAATTGCTGGGCATGACAAAATCTAATACAGTTATGCTACAAGGATTGGCCTTGAGGTCTGGCATATTCCCTTGATCTCCTTTGGAGAATATTTTGCCATGATTGCTAAGGTATCCAGGTGAGCGACACAGGCCCTCTGGGCCTCTTGTTTATAGAATATCCTTCCTGTTTATTTACATATAGTTGTTCCTTATAAACGGGTACTGTAGATACTGTAGACGTCCTATAAATAGGTTGCTCCCTCACTTCACAGGAACGGTCCCATTTTTACATGAGAATAGATTAAACATCTCGCACACGCTTTTATTCTGAAAACGGGAGCATTATGCTATCATTTTATGTAGCGTTACAAGGGTAACGTCGTTAATTTTATTACACATCATACACCCTTGATGATAGCGCAGTGCTCCGTGTTCACCATTACCACTTAATTTCACGGTAGGAAAGTGTCGAGAGAAAAATCAGTCATCCATGTGTGATGTAGAATTTCAACCCTACGAATAAGATTTTTGAAGTTTGGCACTCCGCAAAGCCACACGATAAACTTCGGGAAATGTTACCCATGTGTTGAGATTTCTGTCTACAACCCGTAAAACTGATGAGTTCTATTAATCTTAAAGTCACCATTGGACGTGTTAAAAAAATACTATAAATGCTGGAAACTTTATGGATTAGTGTCGGCGATTAGGAAATGTTTAGAAAATTACGAATTCAGGGACTATATACTTTTAACCGCCCTGTAATACCAGTAAATATTGCACTATTTTCAAAGACAACTAGGGGTTCGTACGTTTTTTTATGACATGCTAAATAATAAAAGAAATCTCAAAGCTAAAGGTAGAGAAAAATGGGGAGAACTCTGACTTTAATGATGATGACTGGGTCAGAATACATGTATACTTGCTGCCTTTCCAAGTTACTGAAAATACCAAACTTCAGTGGTTACAGTATAGAATCATCCATCATATTTTAACAACAAACTCATTTCTTTTCAAAGCACATATAGTAGTCAGTCCACTCTGTAACCTTTGTAATATTGAAAGAGAAACCATTGAACACTTGCTTCGGGAATGTGAAGAGGTACAGAATTTAGTACAAAACTTAGATAGCCTGTTGGAAGCACTATATATTCCTTTTACAGTTAACAAACAAACTCTACTGTTTGGTAAGATTGATAATAATAACAATCCTTGTCCTAAAGTGGATAATGAAATTATTTTAATCATAAAGCAGTACATTTACAAAACAAGATGTTTACATCAGACACTGAATGTCAATGCCTTGATTTATGCCTTTATGGATCATTTCAGTGTGCAGAAATATATATCATAAGAACTTATAAGGGGGATGTGGCCAAAGATAAATTTTGAAACGGATGGAGAAAGTGGGAAATGTTGCTACAGATAATGGGATGAAATGATAAGATGTTGTTTGCGCATTTACATTCATTTTTGCAGTATGCTTCTCTCAAGCTCTGATATACCTCCTCCTTAATTGCATTTTTTTGTTTTGTAATTCAAATATTTTCTATTGGAAATTTGATTCGGGGCATGAAATATATCACTTTGAAGCTGTGTATGTACATGTGAATTGATGCATACAACAACTAAGTGGGTGATTGTAAAATGTTTGTAAATCTGAAATGATGATGTTATCATTATGAATTAGTGATGATGATGATGATGATGATAATAATATGTGGATGAAGATACATATGGAATGATGATTGAAGATTATGGATGATGATGATGAATGGTGATGATTGTATGATGATGGTGATGATTGTATGATGATGATGATAATTATTTGTTGATGAAGATACATATGGAATAATGATCGAAGATTATGGATTATGATGATGAATGTATGATGATGGTGATGATTGTATGATGATGATGATAATGACACTGATGATGACACTGATGATGATGATGATGAGGATGATAATACGTTGATGAAGGTACATATGGAATGATGATTGTATGATGATGCATGATGATGATGGCAATGATGATGATTGAATAATTATATATGAAAGATGATGATGACGATGATGACGTGGAATGATGATGATGATTTTGATGTTGATGATGATAGTTATATTATGATGACAATGATAATAATTATGATAATGCGAGGTGTGTGTATGTGTGAGAATGTATTAATATCCTGTTTATGTATATGTATATGTAATGAAAAACTTGGGAAAATAAAACCATTACAAAAAAAAAATGATGGATTGCTAGCAATCGCCATATTGCTGAGTTTTACAAACATCTTCCTCGATACTCCAGAGGCGCTCTATGAGGAGTGTTAGGCTGGATCGTACAGGATCGTAAGCACAAACATGTAATGCCATATATTTATCATCGCGTGGCAATGCTACAGCCTAAACCTTCCATTTGAAGGTGGCAGTCATAGCTGCTATGAATGCCATTGTCGGATTGTTGACGTCATTATGATATGATTCTCCGTGGGAGATGGTTGTTCTGTTCATCGAACAAGCACGCCCAATACATACAATAATATTGTGTACTTTTATGGACAAATTATATTTTCCACGAGAAAGAAATACTCTAAAGGAGGTAAATTATTCTTGAACTGCTTCCAGTTGTCATTCATAACCAATATGAATGCCAACTGTAAATGACAAACTCGATATGAAGCGCCAGTCCTGACCATAGTTCTATGCTTCAATGTACTTAAATTCGACAAAAGTGGAGGAACAATTGAAAGTTAAAATAATGTATCAAACTAGATATGGCGTTTCCCACTGTTTGTTATCGGAGTTTAACTTCGGGTTTTATGTGTGTGGTGTTAGGAATCTTGAGATATGGTTCGTTATGACCTTTGAGATAACCAGACGGCTGTTCCCAATGGATTGCATTCGAGATATCCGGCCCTAAGTACACCGGTGTTCTGAAGATGGTATATAAAACGGACATGGGACTGAAGAGGCAGTTGTCACGTAGAGTCTCCGTCGTTTCTGGTACCCGCCCCTGCCGGGTGCTAGGTCGTGTTGTGGGCGTGGTCACTGTCTTGGCGATCGGATTTCTGTGCGGACATTTCATATATCATTCCTTCGTTACTGCTAAACACGTGATCACTGACCCTGAGCAGTATGTCAAACGAGACGGGAGTAAACGAACAGTACATATAGATGATACACATATACTTAAATCAACTCATGGAGCACCGAAAGTGGCTCCCTCTAAACAAAAGATGCCACATACGGAGAATGGGTTCCACTCGCCGCCGAAGGAAAGAGACGGGGTGGAAATAAAGAAAGACATGAGTGTTCAATTTCGTGACTATGTTCCAAGGAAGGTTTTTGTGAATTGTGGTGGAACATTTCCGGTGACTTTAGACTTGTTCCTCAATACCTATCCCGACGCTCACAAGTACGACCTGTACACATTCTTACCAGACGAGTCATACAGCTTGTTTTATCAAACATACAAGAGACATACGCTTTATACGCCGTCGATCGTCTCTGAAGAAAACACAACCGTGGAATCCACCAACAACGGGTTCGCGAGCATGGTTGAACAGCGAGACATGATTGACACCGTCGACCTTCCAAGCTGGATACTGACTAATCTGCACCAAGACGACTACGTCATACTCAAGCTTGATAGTAAGTTCGAAAAGGTAATTGTGAAAAATATCGGTTCAAAAAACGCCATCGAGTGGATTGACAAATTTTACACGACTTCTGAAGATAACGAAACCATTGCCGCTTATCGCGACGAACTTGGGAAATTCAATAAGCAGATTTCTTTTTGGGATAACTCAGCTCTGACATACTCCGATTTTGACACCGTTAACCCGCCCAGCATCCCCAAGGGACTAGGCACCGTGTTGTCACAGTGTGTAGACCCCACAGAGTCGGAAAAGTTCGGTTTGTTTCTTTTCTCTGAACAATTCACAAAGCATGTCAATCAAACTGTGAACTTGTTGATCACGTATGCTGGTGAACGGAAGGTAGGCGTGTCGGTATTCCTCCCACGTGATTTCTTTCGTTCAATCCCGAGTCGGTCGCTGCGAGAATTATCCGAGATAGTTACTCTCGGTCTCTTCATTGGTAAGGAAAATCAAACGGGTGATGGAACTAACACAACTGAGGAAGATAATGAATTTAATACATATAGAAATATATATGTTGAAGCTGCCAGCCAAGTACATCATCATACAGAATCTACTCTCCAATACGTCATGGTCTCCTCGACCACAGGAGCTGATGTGTGCCGCAGACTTAGCCAATCTCGACAGGTGATAGTTTTCAATGAAACCAAGCACATCACACACCATTCACAAACCGTCTTACAGAGTAGCACTCTCACCATGGATATGATTGGGCGAAATCCTGGAGAAATTCTTGCCGTTGATTTGATGAAGGACAATGCTGCTATTATTACACTGTACATGACGAAACGATTTGAACCGTGGTTGGTACCTGCTTCAAAATGTCAACCCCTTGTCAATAGGAAGTGAATCTTCCCCAGGTTGAGTTTAAAATGGTCTGGGGTGGATGTTGCGATATCTGTGCTGTAGCATTCAAGTGAGGTGGCACTATAAATGATACCGTTGGAAGTACAGTCCCACTACAAACAGAACACAATACAACTCCAACACACACGCAGGCATACACACATAGGGAGATATTACCAGGTGGCATAGGACTAGTAGTTAGCGCCTGATAAGGCAGCTCCTACGAATTCCTCAATATTGTATTGATTAATGTATATCTATGCGTATTGTATTGATTGTATAAAATTGTATATCTATGTACTGTAAAGCGCTTTAGAGTGACTTATGTTAGCTAGGTAGGGCGCTATATCAAATGTTGTATATTTATTTTAATTTATATAGCTAAACAATTTATTGTATTTAGGTAGATTCATTTCTTTTCCTGTTTCTTTGAATAAGTCTGTAAGATTTCACCACACGATTTGAAATACTCTATTGGTAATTTACGGAAAATCATATATTAAATGAATAAAGTTTTACCATGCTTATTAGAATGACGGGTGATGTAATTTTCACTAACGCGGTCCTCTTGCTGAGAACGTAACTTTTCTAGAATTTGACCTAGATGTGCAAAGCGGATGTTATCGATGAAGCAGACGAAACGAACCCTTCAAGAACACCCAGGTCTTATTCGCTCGTGTATTTTATCAAGGGTCTCGTGTTAATCTGTACTTTGTCCATATCCTCCCCCTACTTTTATCGATTTCGAGCTATAATCATGGTTTCGCAGGCACTTTAGTATCCCCTAATTTTACAGGAAAATAACTTTGTCCATTCCGTCACATACTCTTTCTCTATTTAACATTTTCTTTTCAGGAACTAACGTTTTCACGAAGGTAGTAATATATATATGAAACTTTCCATAGATATGATCCATCATTAAAAACTCATCTCAATATATCACTACAAACTTAAGATAAACATCAAAATCGGAAGCCAAAGGTCAAGCATTTGTTCTGTTTTCTTCCCTTCCGTTGATTTTTTCCGTATTATTCTTTTAGATGGTTTATGTTAATTTGACTGAGTGTTATTAAAGTAATGTACCAGATAATTTGAGTCTCGTCCTTTTTATTCCTACTTCAAAAGATTTAGTTCAGTTGCATCCAATAATCTCCTATGATTTTAGTTTCGCCCACTTGAAGATTAGTGATCCCGTAAAATGCGGGATCCATTCTCTAAGTTTGAATTGAAAGATTGGTCCAATTTGTTTTTTTCAATGTCGGATTCAAGACATGGTTTATTTCTATATGATGTGTGGCCTTTCTACCTTCACATTTACCTACAAAGCAGTTGAGAGTTTTACAGGGAGTATGTTTATTACGTTCTGTAATTTTATTGTTAGTTTCATTCGTATAATTGTTTCAAATTGCACTGAAAAACCCTTTCTCAATTGTACGGAGACATTTCGACGACACGTTTTATCAAAATATTTTTATTTTCTCAGGGAAAAGTTAATCCAGATTTCAAAACGCTTTATCTATTTATCTATATGTTATACTCCACAGAGACAAAAATGGCTCTAATGCTTTATAAAACGCTATAGCCCGAAATGTTAATTTACAAAATTATTAAATGAATGAGAAAATAATACTTACTTTAATCACATACCTGTTGAATCTTGTTATAGTAATACAAGCAATTTTCAGACCATGAAATACAACGTTCTGTATTGCACATGTGCAATACGGAATGTTGTATTTACCTACTAGCCGGAACTACTTTTTATGGGAATCCCCTTGTCATGGCGAACTGAAGTTCCCGGTATTTGCAAAAAATATCAAAGTTTATAAAATCTTTGTATCGATCTCAACCAAATAAGGAAGGTATGTGATAAAAGCAAGACACCACACTTGTGTTTTTCTAATGAATCAGAAAGCACGAATTTATTGCGCGGACGCATATATTCACTCGTGTGCTCCACTCACTCTTGAATATATATTCGTCCGCGCAATAAACTCGTGCTTTTTGATTCGTTAGAAAAAACGGCCATTTCGTTTCATTGGTACCATAAGTCAAAAGAATAAAAATATCAGTCTAAAGTATTCAGAAACATGTAGAAATGAGCCCCTTATAACACTACATATTAAGAAATATTAAAAAAAATATTTCCTCATCATGGTATAACAACTCAGTAGAGCTTTACCTTGTTACGTGACATCATTATAGAAAATATCTGTGTACAAATAAAAGACGGAGAAAACATATGCAAGACCACACACTTGTGTTTTTCTCCATCGAGAAAATAAGGTTTTACCTACGTGCTTCCTCTATGCGTATTCCTTACTTCGTATCTCTAGTTATACTTTTATTTGGATGTCTGCTCCTTGCATCAACAGTTCCACCGAACACTGATTATATTGGTCTTAATTCCAGTAGATTAGTTTAGTTCATCACCCATTACCTCCACAATCTTTTTGTTAAAAAGTAGTGTGGATGGGAAATCAGAAAACACCCTGATATTTTAAGGAATATCGGAAGTGTGTAAAGTGATACCAATTCTGTATGGATGTGAGGCACATCATCCTAACCTGATACCTTACAGTTATCACACACAATCGGAATGAGACAAAAGTTACCCATTGTGCCAAATAATAACTGTGATCTTGGTCAAAAGATATTGAGTGTCTCAGAGGTAATAAAAATACCAAAAACACACCTTCAGTACATTTTGTATTAAGACAACAAAAGTTTACATTATTCAATATCTTGTACAAGAACGAATGCATCACAATTTTCAATTTGCAGAGAAAAAATCTTGTGAGGCGTTTATTCTTGTTCAATGCAATCAAATAGTATTTGTTGGAATTGGTTTTTTTTTAAATCTGAAAGTAAACTGTCATGAGGGATTTTCCTTCGCTTGTCGTAAATAAATGATTTTCTGTATTCACATGTTAGGCAAGCCATTTTACCAGATTTAAAATTAATGAAAATGATCTTTCTCATGTAAAATATATCTGAAGTATATCGGAGAATAAAATCTCACCTCAGCCATTGATCTATACAGATTAATGTAACACACACACAGGGGTAATTGCGCCTTCAAAATGTGATAATAGATACAGTATGCCAAAAACGGTGTTAGTTCAAATAGATCTTACATACTGTTGACGGGGAGGAGCATAAAACCCTCGATTATGAAATTATAAATTTAAAGAAGTACTTCTAAATTTCAAATAAAAAAAAATGATTTTTTTCTTTTCTATTTTGTGCCGAATTTGAGATGTTTTTCACTTAAGTTTAAAAGGTGTGTGTTTAATACATCGTTTGTTTCTAAGCATATTTTACGGCATTTATACGCCATTTTGTTAGGGTTCCATGTCACTCTATTTAAGTGTTTTACAAGAAAGTCTCCTTCTAACCGTAGGTGATAATACAGAACAAGTACTGACCCCACTTTTCCTTTCTGTTTACAATATAAATGCAGTCTGGGCGGTAATATATACCCATAGAGACCATCCAGGTGTCAATAACATTCTGTCGTTAAGCTGTATGTGGGGAATTCTATGGCAAGCCAACTTAACATTTATCCAAGGAGCAATGTCAGGTCTGTATTTCGACATTGCTCCTTGAATAAATGTAAGGTAGGCTTTCAGTAGAAATCAATAAGATAATTCAAAGCCTAGTAATTTATATCTTACATCATAATGTTATATATTTCTGTTAATATCTATTTTCAAATTGTGTTAATTAAACCAGAAATAATGGATAAACCATGAGCAACGTGCACGCACAACCTTCACGATTTGATGGGTAATAACACCTTAATTATGACCACCGTCTTAACTTAGCGTATCTACTGTTATTCTTAACAGCAATAACTCCAGTACACCGGGTGTCCTACATTACAAAACACTATATACATCGTTGTAGGTCATTATTAGGTCTGGTGGTCTTTTTGCTGTAATCGAACATGGAATAGAATGCATAACATCGCTTAAATGTAATTTAAAATATGCTGTTTCGTAACAAATAACCAGCCCCCTACATGATGGCATTGTCAAAAGAAATTGTAACCCCTGATAAGTCATATTTAAAGACCCGATTAAACATCGAAATTTCGTTATGTAATTTATACTTGCAGTTAAGCTATTAAAATGGTAGAAAGCGACGTTAATGAAGTCAGTAATAAGACATTAAGTTTGGTGAACTATCTTTATAAAGACATCGACATAATGCCTGCTTTCAGGCGAAGTTAACGTCGTTGAGTACTATTTTAATAACTAATGTACAAGTTCAACACTTGTATATCAAAATTACACGAACTCTGATCTTTAATGAGAGTCTTTAAATAATACTTATCCGAGGATTGAACTTTCTAGTGACTATACTATTAAGGGGGGTTTGTTGAGCCTTAACAAAGTGACACAAACAGGCGCATCAATTCTGTACTTATAATTGTTTATCTGTGATTACTTTGACCAAACAAATCCATCAACTGAAAATGAGGTGTTTTCTATCAAACGTCATTTTTTGTCAATAACTAAGACAACAATTACCACAATGCAAACAGAAAAAGGCATTGAATGTAAACAACGTTATATCAGATCAAATATTATAATTTATATACTTTCGTAGATATTAATACATTTAGTAAAAACAAGAGGTGATATTTAGATGACTTATAACATTAAAGTAATACTGACGCAATACGTTAATTTGTTATAATTATAGCTCTGATCAGATGTTTTTTCAAGACATAAAAAAATCTGGTAAAACGAGTTTGAATTTCTCCCATAAAAACTATGCTTTAGGAGCTTTTGTTTTAAACACATGGTTTCAATCTTTATAACTAATTGCCTATTTATTGACCTATTTCGTTACACACATTAGTGAGTCATATAATTTTAATTATTAAATGTTTCAAATTACCATTTTTAATAAAAAAAATATTTTTTATCACAAACAGACAGCCACATTACCTTAACATGGGCCGTAAATAATCATTCCCGAAACTGATTAATTAAACGTCCATTTTCGCAATAACTGTATTTCACTGAATTGCCATAATTAGGATTTCTATATTTTATCGTTATTTTTTTAATTTATCATATGTATGAAACCCAGTATGTATCATACATCTTGGATCTATTCAATATTAAATATATATATATATATATATATATTAATGAATGGGCAAAGAAATATGTTATTTTATGTGCATGTAATTGCGTGTTTGCTATTTGTTTATTTGTTAAGTTACATGACAGGTACGTACGCCCTATGGCCGTTGTACAATAGCTACATAGTGTATGTAGTATCGTCCAAAACAGGTGTAGGAGAATATTTTGTCTCACCTTTTGACAGGTGAAAAGGTCGTATGGTCTACTAGTCTGTGGTGTGGTAATTGATTAAACAAGTACGTGCATTGTTTTCCTGACGTGTCTTATGACATAAAGAGTGACGATAACATCTAGTGGCCCGAAGCTAGCGTTAAGATCAGTCTATCGTCAGGAAGAACTCGGATCGCGATGTGCAGTTTTGGGACGTAAAAACGGTTAATAAATGCATAGTAAGAGGATCATATAACGCCGTTAGATGAGAAAAGTACGGAATATTTTTTCCATGACTTTTTTTCCCGGAAACAAAATACATGATTAAAGTGATGATTGTGATGTTATACATTCGTTTAGTAAACATGGAATATTTTTTAACCATTTGGTGGTGATGTGTGATATATATTGTTGATTATATACCGTCTAATGTTGTTCTACGTTATTCAACGCGAATTCTAAGGACGACAGTGCCCGGATAGGTACATATGGAAGATGAGTAGATTGTTACAGGTACGTCATAATTAATATGGTCAATTTTATTTGACTGTTTTATAATATTATATTGCATTTGATTTATTTTACAATATTAACAAAAGAATTAGACAATGTATTTCACATTTTAATAGCTTCATTTTTCAAAATATAACCATTTTTAATTATTTTTATATATATATTTGTCACCATGGTAAACTTAACGTATATTAATTGGGTAAGATAACCTTACTAGCGAAATAACGGTAGTTTACCTTCAAACAAATACACTGGAGAAAGGAAATGCACAACACAGTCATAACTTTATATAAACATTATGTAATATTACCATTTAAAGCAAATGTATAAAATAAGGAAAGAAAACGCTGGTATTTACAAAAGTCTTGGATCAGTCTTGAAAAGTTTCCATTATTAATGGGTTTTTTGTTGGTATATTATTCTCGCACTAGAACTACCACTTATATCGGTTGGACAACCAATTACCATTTTTAACCCATTTTAGATGGAAATATTTATGATTTTAAATTTATTTTATTTTCAGGTCTAGAATTATCATATTTAATGGATTACCGTCTGTTGATCCTAGCCTCTTTCCTGTTAGCTGTCGATGTCAAAGGTCACACATTATTTATGCTATCCAGCGACCCGGGACAGATACGTCAAAAGGTCCAAACGATATACCACACACACAAGCAGGAAATGACAAGACTGCCAGTGAAATCTCTAAGTAAATACATCGACAAACGCCAGATCCACCATTAACGCATATTCAATATATCTTTGTTATCATCATGACTTTGTCATAATCAGTCGTCTAGTGCACTGTTCGGAACCAATCGTGTCCTAACTTGAACAAAATGATGGACTGCAATTTTACAATGATTAAACATGATATCAAGCGTTCAGCCTTAACCCATAAAGCAGAATTGATTTCAAGTGAAATATATAGAAATATAATACCATTTTGTGAAACGGAAATGTAGAATGTATCGTACATTATATTTTTAAGTAGTGTAGGCCCCAAACAACCAACGTCCGATGAGTTACTACTCTTCTTTTACTCTGCCCTTTTGTGTTCACTTATTTTTTACTTTCATATCGTTAAATTTGAAACTAATTAATCCAGAAGACATTTAGTTAAATACAATTTTTGAACCTATAACATCGTGTCTTATGCGAAAATTTTAACATTATTGGCTGTATTAACTGTTTGTAGCCACGCGGCCGTCAGCCATCCGTCCAAATTTCCACGAGCAGTTCGTGCTACCGAGCCGAGAGATGATGGTGAGGAAGCAAACCCGTCTAGCTGGTCTGTCGCTAGGGACCATCAAACAGATATGTACCAGGTACCCTGACCTAGTCACACTCAGAATATAGAAATATTGTCAATTCAGTTTTAAGCATCGTAGAAAAATGAACACCAATAATATCAAATGTGTCGTAATTTCGAATAAGTACAAAATATGTATTGCAACAGTTTGTTGTCAAAAAGGTGGGGTCAATTCCTATGCTTAAGTTCTCATATGGTCGGCATTGTCTCAATTCGGCAAAATCAGACCCTAGGGAGCTGAGACCATCATATTCAATACTGTCTGCAGTCTGGCAACGTTATTGCAAAATATGGAGAACAAAATAGTTCCGTTGGCCAAAATTGGACCCCACCTTTCTGTTGATTCCAAATATACAATGAAATAATTTCAGTAATGGTAATTCGTTTTTTTTTACTTTCTGTTAAGTACCGGAAGTACTGTTTATGAGTTGCTAGAAAAGCCTGGATGGCAGGAAGCCCTCAGGACTGAGTTTGGCCACGACTGTCAGGACCTGAGTGCTAACCTTACGTGTAATGCACTCAGTCGGTACCGAACCATAGATGGCTCATGTAACAATCCGTTCCAGCCCACGTGGGGTATGGCGGGAACTCAACAAACACGCTACCTCCGTCCAGTCTACAATGACGGTAAGAACTACTATACTGATTTATTTAATGTATGTTAATGCAAAAGAAAGGAAAAATACAAGAAAAATCCACGCTTATCAAGACCTATTTCATCCTGTCTTTTTTCCTTCATTACATTCGATCAACAATATAGCTCAAACATGATTTATTGATTGTTAAATGTAACAAAACGGTATACTTACTACTAACATATCAGTTTATTGTACATGCAGATTGGACAATTGAATCTGCCAATAAAGAAATGCATCGCGCAGGTATTTAGTGATATAAGCGACAGTAAAATACCCCCTGATATCTCCTTGTGTTACAGGTATAAATTCCCCACGTCTTGTGGGAAGGGACGGGATACCCCTCCCCAGTGCCCGGATGATCAGTAACATCGTCCATAGCTCCAAAGGGTTCGTTCGCCAGGACTGTCATCTCTCAGCTATGGTCATGCAATGGGGACAATTCCTTGACCACGACATCGTCGGTACGCCTGTGCTCAAAAGTAAGTATAAACATGTCTGCAACGGAAATCACATAAACGTAGGTCTACTAAGAACCGAGTTATATCATTTTTTATAAAACCCTCAACATACTGCTTCTTCAATGATCTACTTATTAACGTACAGGAAATTATCTCTAGCTTAATCTGAGAAAGGGCAATGGGAACTGTCAATGCTTGGATACAATATACAATTACACGGGAACTTTTATATGATGCACCTCGTTATAGTTACCACCTCGATACGCCTTATATTTCTTCTTTTACACTTCCTGTATATGTTTCGATGTTATGCAAACATTTTGATGGACAGATGACCACATCAAGACGAGTCGTACTTTTGTACTGATAAATCGAGCTGCCTGATTAACAATTAGTCATAGACCAAGCATTTCAACTATTTTTCTTATGTATGAGGGTTCCTTATTTTTGACTTCTCTGTGTTTTACTTGTAGAAGATAATGGTTCATCATACGAGTGTTGCGAGGCTGATTCTTCCTTGTGAGTGCACTTTTCTACTAAACGAAAACGTCGAACGGCAGTTGGGGCATTGACCCTATAAATTATTTTATGGTTTTCGAAAAGAAGTTAAACAGTTTTTGAATTGGAATAATTTTATTTGTAAGCCCGTATTCTAATCTTAAAATAGCATGTTGAAATCTTATTTTCAGTGAAGGTTGTTTTCCTGTCGATATCCCCCCTAACGACGACCATTTTGAAGGGAAATGTATGAACATGGTAAGGTCCGCACCAGCAGTGGGACCTGACTGTGCTATAGGTTAGTACATGGCGTGTATATGAGCAAAGGACCTGACTAAGTGTACGACATTTACGAAGATGACAAGGACTAAATCCATTAGTGGGACTGGAATGCACTTTAATAAGAATAGGTCGTTTGAGAACCTGATAATGTTAGCAGTAGTACACACCCAATCACACGTTGAACTGCTTGTATTGTGTGGGTTCATTTTAATATCTCAGATTAATATAATTAAACTACGGAAGTTGTTATTAAAGTCTTATGGTTGATAGTTATACGCACATAACAAATAATTTGATTTTAAATTAACCAGTAGGCTACACCTCAAATTTTTCCAATTTATAAATAAAGGGGTTACACGCACCACCCGAAAGGTTCCAACAGCAGTGTAGACCTATTAGGATTTCCGACGGCTTGGCTCCTTGTATCCCCGATGGGTCCTAGAAGGACGAGACAGATGTATGCAGTGTAATATATTTATACATAGTTGGCATACCGTATCTATTACCAGCTTTTATAGGTGCACTCACCTGTGTATGTGTATGGTATGTTCCTCTTTCCTAAAGTGCCATGGATAAAGAAGCGACCCGCAGTTATTATCATCATTATGTGCAAAGCTGTACAGAACGGTATAATCATGTTTTGGTCGTTACAGGTGCACGGGAACAAATGAACAAGGTGACGTCATACATAGACGCGTCTGCTGTCTACGGTTCTTCTCGGGAGGAAGAGGCCTTCTTGAGAGCTTATAATAGAGGTATCGTTTGCACGCCTAATCGTTCCCATCATGTAATGAAAACATTGCCAGACCCCTTTACGAGATTAAAAAGGCAAAACTTGTTTATGCATGTCAAACAAGGTATTAATGGTACCTTCTTTCGCTACATTTATATTTACATTTATTTGTTTGTTTATTGGAGGGGTTGTAAGGTCTTTCCTTTTGTTTACTGGAGGGTGTGTAAGGTCTTTCCTTTTGGTTATTTGAGGGGGTGTAAGGTCTTTCCTTTTGTTTGTTGGAGGTGGTGTAAGGTCTTTCCTTTTGTTTATTTGAGGGGTGTAAGGTCTTTCCTTTTGTTTATTGGAGGGGTGTAAGGTCTTTCCTTTTGTTTATTGGAGGGAGTGTAAGGTCTTTCCTTTTGTTTATTGGAGGGGTGTAAGGTCTTTCCTTTTGTTCATTTGAGGGGTGTAAGGTCTTTCCATTTTTTTATTGGAGGGAGTGTAAGGTCTTTTCTTTTGTTTATTGGAGGGGCGTAAGGTCTTTCCTTTTGTTTACTGGAGGGTGTGTAAGGTCTTTCCTTTTGGTTATTTGAGGGGCTGTAAGGTCTTTCCTTTTGGTTATTTGAGGGGGTGTAAGGTTTTTCCTTTTGTTTATTTGAGGGGGGTAAGGGCTTTCCTTTTGTTTATTGGAGGGGTTTAAGGTCTTTCCTTTTGTTTACTGGAGGGTGTGTAAGGTCTTTCCTTTTGGTTATTGGAGGGAGTGTAAGGTCTTTTCTTTTGTTTTTGGGAGGGGTGTAAGGTCTTTACTTTTGTTTATTGGAGGGGTGTAAGGTATTTCCATTTGTTTATTGGAGGGAGTGTAAGGTCTTTCCTTTTGTTTTTGATGATTTCATTTCCCGTTCCTTGTATGTTGACGTTGTGGTCTGGATTTTGTTCTATTTTAATTGTTTTTCTGGTGTATCAACAAGGAATGTTAAAGGAGGGAGACAACCGACTGCTGCCACCTAGCGGCAGAGACAACTGTATACAGAGAACCCCAGCTGACGTGTGTATGACTGCTGGTAACGTGTCGAATCATTAATTCTTAGTGTAAAAATGTCACTGATCAAATACAGCAATATTTATTTTTTCTATTGATACAAATAATATTTTGTTATTCTTGTAAACACACGGGTAAACTTACTGACGAAACTTTTTTTGTAAGTATGATATTTAAACAATTACAACAACAGTATAACATGTTAAATAGTAATGCAAGTCAATATAACATATTCTTTATGCGTCGTTCAGCAAAATGACATTTGTCCTCGTAAAAAGTGTATTGTTGCCATCGTTCCACGTTGAAATGTGCACAGTTGATAACCTACTATTATCCATTCAGAGAATATGTTTTGTTTTTTCTATTTTTCTCCAGGGGATGACCGCCCCAATGTCGTGCCTTCATTAGGATCAATACACACTTTGTTCATGAGAGAACACAACCGGATAGCCGCCATGCTCGGCGTTCTGAATCGGTTCTGGGACGACGAGCGGATTTTTCAAGAAACTCGCCAAATAATGTCAGCCCTATTACAGCATATTACTTATTACGAGTATCTGCCGTTAATCCTCGGCAAACGGATTATGGAATACTACAAGATTCTTCCCACAACTGAATACAAGGCAAACATATACAATACGTCGATCAATGCCGGAATAGCAAATGTCTTTGCTGTGGCAGCGTTTAGATTCGGTCATTCACAAATTCCTTCAATTCAAACGTTTTTGGGACCAAGAGAATCTTACCGGCATGACTTCCGGATCGAGACTACGTATCACAGACCCTTCTTCGCACAATTCAAGAATGGACAAGGAACGGAAGACGTACTGAGGTGGCTCGTTAAAGACTCACAACCGGAAACAAACAGGTAAACTTTTTTTTTGACAAGAATAACTCATTATTTGTAAGAGCATGAGTTCCTGCTCCATTCACAGTCTGGAGCGTGCAGATGCAGAGAAATCCCATTCGAGAATCGAATCAAGGGAGTTGCTGGAAATCTTTTTTCTAAAACCTCAACCACCTTTCATTACTATAGCACATGTGAACTCAAAGATACTGTTTCGTATCAATATCATTTGCTACACAAGGAATACCGTCATAAAATGTTTTACATTTTTGAGAATTACTACGAGAAACGTGCAGATGACCCAATACCTGTTCTGCTGAGCATGTCCTTTAATTATGCAACATACCAGAGTAATGATCCATTTGTCTTTGTGCACTTAACAACATGTATACGTACTTCCATGCTACACATCGAACGAAGCCTTAGCTCTGTAATGTCAAAGCACGGACTTAGATCTAATTCCGTGGTCAAAGTAATGTGTACTACTTGTTCCGTTAACAGGGTGTTTGTCCGGGGCGTACGGGATCAGTTATTCTTAAGGAACAACGTCAGCCTTGATCTGGCGGCTATCAATATTCAGAGAGGGCGTGACCACGGCGTACCACCGTACAATGCTTGGCGGAAATGGTGTGGCCTAGCCCCGGCTAGGCACTTCGGGGTGGAACCCGACGGACTTATCCACCACACGATAGCCTCAGCCAGACTACTACAGCGGGCCTACCGGTACACGACTATTTTTGTATAATAATTTTAAAAGCTTACAGATAATGATAATCCATCATCGCCTTGATGATAACCATATATCATTCTAGTAGAATGTTTTCTCGTTGTAATTTCGGATGCTTCTTGAATAGAAAAGTGATACTTGAGAAAGTAATCGCCGGAAACAGACTCCATGTTCATGTTCGTAAAGCAAGATTACAAGTATTTGGGAACGGCGAAATGTGTTATCATAAAACAAACTTGAAGGGCGATCAATATTCTAGAATATTTTTGTCTAATGTTTATTCGGTATTACATTGAGATATTTACGAATTCATTGAACGACGAATCGTCAAGCATCGTTGGTTAAATCTCCTCGACTCCGTCCGCTGTACCAGTTTCTATACTTTGACAGTGATCCGGACGACATCGACGTCTTTCCCGGGGCTATATCAGAACGCCATTTGAAAGGGGCCAGTGTCGGACCAACATTCGCCTGTATCCTAGGTTACCAGTTTCAGGAGCTCAAGCAGGGAGACCGGTTCTGGTACGAGCGAGCACATCCCATCACAGGTTTCACAGAGAGTAAGTCAAGTCGAGCCTCGTACAAGGATTTAGAAATGTTTGTTGTCATGGAATCTGACCTATATCTCAATGTGGTTTGGTTGAGGTTTGCTAGATCTTGTCTAGTGCCGTCATTTTATCCTTAATATACTATTAAAATAGTGTTCTGCCGCAATGCATTGAATCTTATATGTGATCGGTTGAAACACTATTGTAGTGTTTGTAATTGAGAAAGACTTATTTGCGTATTTGTTCTGTAAGTGCTCTCTGAGGGTGTTCCCTATAATCATAAATGACGACAAATAAAACATCAAAAACTAAAGGTGTGAGCTCATGAGACCAACTCCACCTACAAATGATGCTCAAATCTGGTTTCCTTCTATTCACAGGACAGCTGCGGTCGATACGAAGAATGAGGCTATCGAAAATTCTTTGTGAGAATTTCAATATTACACCGTTACAGAAAAATGTGTTCCTACTTCCAAATAGCAAGTAAGTTGATTAATGTCATTCATTAAGTTTTGTTCGAATTGATGTTACAGGTACCAGATTTGGTACCGCCATACACTTGCAAATGCAACGTTTCAAATTGTTGTGATGTAAAAGGTGCAACAGATACGATAAAATATATGTTCGAACTGATAATATCATATCATAACATTATGCAATACTTTCAGGGTTAAGTCATCACACCTGGTGCCATGTCACTCTCTTCCGGACCTTGACATCCGCGCCTGGCAGGACTACAGATACGGGGATTCACCATCCGACGGGAAGTAGACGACTATTTGCTAAAGACATAATTCTGTTAATGTTTGGCATCTGTCGAAATTCTAATCTATGTGGGATGTTTAAGAATGCATAGTATATCAACAAATGTTTAACTTTTGAGAGGAGAAGTTTTGTACAACCGGATTGACGTACAGAGGGCTGATAGGAAGCACTCCTGACTGTGTCGGTACTACTGTGATTCGTGTAGAAGCCGAATCTATGCTAGAGGACGCTTACTGCTTCTTGTTGACATATCGACATAAATCCATAACGATCGAATGAAATGCCAAGGGTTGGTTTCATCGTGAACTGTGTAAATTGGTGATGTGCAAAAAAAGATGAATTTGAAATGCAAAACTAAGTGGAATTCTTGTTATGGAATCTGACCTTCTACTTCCTAATACAAATTCAAAGAATGTTGTTTGGATGATATTTGCTGGATCCTGTCAAGTGCAGTTATTTCAATCTGCATTGACTATTGAAAAAATGTTCTACCACAAAACACATCATGTTTATGTGGTCTTTCTATAATATGGAATCGCTCACTAAGAGGACGAGGTACATTTGTATACATGAGGATTGCTTGCTGGAAACCCTCTGAGTAAAGGTTGAGAATCGATTACTGGTTAAAGTGATTGTGGTATGGAATTACAAAGGCTCAATTCAAATGTCATTCACTCCCCGTTTATAATTGCTAAATGACATGCAAGATGTTAACAGGGTGGAAAGCCCTCGGCTGCTAACGTGACGCTCCTTCTCATGGACTTATAATCAACATACGTCTTTACATTGCAGCTTGGTCAGCGGTTATCAACACAACAATGACAAGCCTTTGACCTTGCTTTTCCGCTCTGCAAGTAGTGCAGGATGTATGACGCATCGCATTTGTCAAGATCTGACACATACAGCAAGAATACCCCGCTCCGTCTGGTCAAGGTGTGACTGCAATATATACATTTAGATAATTTACCACATATTGACGGACAGTGTGATGGGAAGATTGAGCGGAAGTTGTGTCGTGTTTCTTGATGCATTATTTACCCCTATAGGTTGACACTTTTGACCACTTTAAAACTACATGTATATGTTAAAGGGCACTTATCTTATTGGATCGCATTCAGTAATTGGATACCTGGAATACCTCGATGCATTTTGTGTTTAAATGTTTCCCTTAGAGAGCAGTAACATGACGTTATGTATAATATTGACTAATCAGAAGTTTCTCTTTAAATAGTGTTCGTCCAGAGAATCTTTACATTTATATGAACATTTAAAAAAAATATTCTTACAGAAGTATCAAAATTAAATTTTATCAAGATACCTTAAAGGAATATCTTATATATTTTGTACATGGTGTAAATAGTATGGGCGAGTGTTTCCTGTACTGACGTCCGCTTCTAGCGGTCGCTCTCACCTGAGTTTTTTTTTTATTGGAAGTAACGACAAAGTGAATGATCGACCCAAAGCGCCTGACACTTTGACCCCGTCCTGGCCTTATCTGTCTGGTATAGCGATCAATATCAATGTCGGAAGTTATAAAACTTACCTGATAGGGTTATTATATCATATTTTTACAATGTATTATGTGACAGATGAGATCGACAACAGATTTAATCACGTGAATGCATTTTTTTTTTTTTTGCATTACCACTCTGTCATCACCGACAAAACTTTCCAATAATAATACGAAGAAATAAAAGACACAGTAATTTCCTATTTTTAATTGATACTGCTCAATAAATAATATTGGTATCTACTGTTGCACAGACATGTCAGCCTAAAGCTAATATATGAAACATAACTTTATCTTACGCAAATTAAATCTTTGCACAGACAATATGCTTATTGTAAGATTACTCATTTACAAACTATTACGTATTACTACTACCCCAAACACCAATTCACACATTTCTAAATGAACTTTTTAAATCGTCTTCTATTACAGAATGCATAAGAAAATATATAATATTAGATTCCGAATTTGTTGTTGGCTTGTGTGATCATAGCTGAAGTTAAATATACATGTTTCTCATTGTATATGAAATTGCGTGTCGTTGCTCATTTGCTGACACTGCAGTTGTATTGTCCACACCGAGCATCACGCTCCAAATCAACACAAACAATCACTGCATTATTTCTCTCAATGTCAAACCAAAAGTTCACAAATCAAAGTCGACGAATTACTAGGGTGAAAAATATATCACTTAAAAATGTTTGCTATGACAATGGTTTGTATTTCGTGCTTCAAGTCAAAATCCACTGCGAGGGTCGCAAACATTGTAATAACTGTCTGGACCACACTATTTTTTCTTTACACTCTACAAACATATCATTTATATATCTCTTGCCACTCCAACATCAGAAACCCTAATGTCAGTCATGACAATGGGTCAAAAGCCACAATAAGTACGTAAGGATCGACATAGATTCACTTAACTTGTGTCTCCTCGCGGTATTCTCGTTTCCCCCACTTTTTAAGAGTTAAGAAAATTGTGAATATAAGCGGAAAGGGGCAAACCAATTATAGTCACTTTCACCCGACAGGTCACACAGGTAAGGGTTAGGGTTAGAGTTATGAATGTGATATATAAAAACTGTAACTTTTGGATAATGAAATTAGTTAAAGAACATTTTCAATAGATAATCAACATTAACCAATAGCACCACTTGAAATTCGGAATTCATCAATGCAGTTGTACGCGATACAATAATTACTAAATCAATTTTTACATATGGTCTGTCATAAACATTACATTTAATAACAACTCGATCACCTTTCATTCCCAGATGATTGTCTTCAATGCCAAGGTCATAACAAGGGGGTCCAATACCGAATAATTGTAATGCCCCAGTCTCAGAACTAATGATTGCTAAAGTCGAAACAATGTAATACAATGTAATAAATACCCTGATAGTTCGATGGTTGCTAATTATGTCTAAACATTTTCTTTATGTCGGTAAATAGTTTATACATCTTTGTATAGCACACCCAATGGAATGTTTACGTGTGAGAACAAAACTCATTCTGACACCTTCGTCACTTAAAAATGAAAAGAAATATAAATAAAATTAAAAAAAAGCATTAGAAACAAAATGCACAGAATAGTTTTAAAAATCAGTTCGATTTCATAAATTAAACATGTATTGAGTAAGGGACTGAGTGTTTGATAACCCTCGTATCTTGATGCCCTCAGAATTAAAAACTAAAAACATTCTTACGCTACATAATATAATCATTTAAGTATGATGATTGTAAATCTAAAAAGAAAAATATATGGAAATAAGGATTTGTTGATCAAGCATGATTCAAATACTACAATAATGTTTTATGAGGCTATTGGAAATAAAATACAAGAAAATATCTTAATAGCAATGTTAAACAGGTATTCAATAACATCAAGAAACGAAACGGAAGACAGCCTCTAATCATAGTTTTATAAGTTTTTCACAAACTTTCTTCTGTCTCTGACGTTTTTTAGACAATGTAAACAATGTCTATTTAATAATTATCGTAATACACTTCTTGAAAACCTTTTCAAGGGTCTCCATATATATCTATCCTTTGTTCAGAGTTTTATCGATATTGCGTTTGAATTATGTATTTTTTACGCTTCGGTATTCTATTGCTGTTTTTCTTAAACAATATCTGGTTTTGTCCATATGATAACAATATAAAAGTTTTCCGTCATTGTCTTAAGATTTCCAGTGACACAGCATTCATCGCACTTTGCAGTACTAATACAGTGACGAAAAAGATCCACCTGATAAGTACTAGGAGAGAAAATCAATTTACATCACGCACTGTAATACTGTAGACGTTTGACTTCGTCACCATTCACCGCCCAGAGGACATGGTTCTTGTCCAGGCCAATTGCCTGTGCACTTAGCTCGTCAGTGAACACCGTCCTGATGAACTCCCCACCAGAACTGACGAGAAGGACGCTGTGATTGTTACAGTCGGCAATGAGAAGATTACCAGCAATGTCAAAGGTCACATCCCAGGGGTCAAATACAGCTCCTGCTGCTGGTTGGCCATCTCCTTTGTATCGGAACAACTCTCCAAACTCTTTGTCCATGACAAGAACTTGCAATTTACTATTATCGTCATAGCTCTGCCTTTCTACCACAGCCACGTTCTGTGTCAGCCGACATTCTGCTATTTTCTGTGGCAAACGAACCATGGATTGTCCAGGTGTCTGCGTTTTCGTACTAAGGAGATTTTTTCCTTGCTGGGAGAATTTGGTCACCCTTTGCGACATTCCTACCAGGATTTGATTCCCTATGGTAACACACAGGCATATGGGCTTGTTCTTGCAGTGGAATCGCAGATTGGGCGTCCCCTGTGTATACTCCATGATGCTTGAATCGGCGTCAGAGCACACCCAAATGTTCCTTGTTCTGGGTGATATGCTGATATCTGTGATTCTCACGGTGAACTTGAACTGCCTCCGTACAATACCTTTCTTGTTGAGCAGTTCCAGAATGTCCGCATATGAAATCCAAATTTCGTCGCTACCGTTGGGACATATCTTATTGCCTATTCGTTTTGTGTGAAATTTGCCCATGATATTGGTTTGGGATAGGAGCGTGTACTTCGAGGCAGGTCGCTTTATAGCTGACGCCCCTGACTTTGGTCGTGCAGACGTTGGCTCCTGCACTGGTGGTGGTAGCTGCGCTTTAGACTCTGCTTCATCGGTAGACGACGGGTCGTTGGGGACAAGAGTCCCTAACGCTTGTTCTAGATAACAGCGGTAGTTTGTCGGTGCTTCAAAGACTGCAGTATTCAAACTAGGGCTTTCAGGTAGGTTCAAAGCGAGGCTTCGGAATGTCTGTCCAGTGTCATATAATGCAAGTACAGATGTGTCTTGAAGCTGTGTTTTGCAGTCGTGAAGTTGTTTAATGAGTCCCTCGTGACTGTCTTCTAGACGTTTCTTGTAGTCTGTCATTAGGCGGATGTTGTCTTCCTTTATATTTCGATACTGCGACAAAGATTCAGCGATCAAAACGTCAACTTCCTGCTTCAGCTTGATCCCTTGTTCTTGAACCTTTGTCTTGAGCGTGTCAAAGTACGTCGAAGTTTCCGCCATTTGTTTTTCTATTGAGCAAATTTCTTCTTTGATATTGGGCAGTTTGGTATTTTCAACTTCATCGATAAATTCGATCATTTCTAATTTCTGCTTTTCGGCTATATCATTTACCTCAGTCAACTCGTGTCCCTTGTGACGAGTAGCAACACATTTCATACACGCAAGTTCACTGCAATTATCACACAAGAACTCTACGATTTTCCCTTTATGATGAATGCACGTGCTCTGTCCTTTCTTGCGAACAGGTACTTGAACTGAAGCGGCCATAATGGTTTTGTAAATGTTCTTTCGTTTTGGACAATTGTAGAAAGTTAATTTGTTTAGCTCCTGTTTGCGTTCATTGTCATTCGGTTTGTTCCTGAATGTTCAACTGTTGTTCATGGCAAACTTCTGAAAATAAAGGAAAAGAAAACCATGCCAAAATCAAATCTGAAAGATGAACGTATACACACATATGTGATTGAGCATTTAAAATTTGGTAATAGTTACTGTAAGCCAAAAATGAATGACACTGCATCATACAGCTGTTTCGTCCTTTTAGACTCATCGGTGATGCTAAAGACCAAAACATTGGAAATCACCCTCTCCCAATTTTACATCTAGATGGGCTCCGTACCACGGCCAAAAAATGTAATTTAACATTGAAAAGTGAGGGGTTTTTCGGCATGACTAATAGTATAGTTTTGAAAAAACATTTCGAAAAAAAAACGTACCTCGGGGGACTTTTATGAAAAGTAATAAAGACGAAATGACAAAATATTCAGCGGGGCTAGGCGGGACTCGAACCCCGGCCTTATTATGCTATCGCTCTAACCGACTGTGCTACCTGATCAAGGGAACGGTCCTGGCCAAACTGCGCTTCAGTTATACCCATAGCTATATCAAGGGGGGTGGGGGGTACTCAAAATACGAAAAGACTCACTCAGTTGAAATGGTTATGTATTTTATCACACCGCCATTTTTAGCCCATTTTCATAAATATTAAGCCGTCAGAATGAATATTTTGCGATTTCCCTTCAATTAAATGTATTGGCGATGTTTAAATGTTACGTCATAGTTAAAAGCATATTTCATTTTTTCCTTCATTCTGCATATGTTTTGGAACACTTTAGACATTGTTGTTTTTTATTTTCATTTTTTAACCTTAATTTTAAGTACCATTGAAAAGTCCGATATTGACAAAATTGCCAAATGATGCAAACAACGTTTTCAAAAAAGGTGCCTCTTTTCCCGTATTTCTAGTGTCCATATATGCAACAAGTTGGGCTGATTCAGTTGATGGTAGCCACGTAGCTGAAACCTATTCTAGCACTCATTTCATAAAATACTAGTTAATCTATATATTATCTTTATGTTTGTAAAGGTATAAAGGATGTCATAGGAACGTTGCGCGTTGCACTGTATCCTACAGATGTTTGGGAACACGTTAAACATTAATTTTCATTATTTTGATCGTTATTACTGGTGATTGGTTTCTATTGGACAAAATGTCTCTTTGGCGCATTAAATGTTTGGTTTGTTCGGCTTTCTGATTGGTCCAATAGCTGCTTCCTACTTTGTATTTCTCAGAGACGTTATGACGTCAAAAGTTGGATGAACTGCTGGTGAATTTCTTAACGTGTATTTCTTTTCAAGAACAGATCTATCCTTGATATCTTGTTCGTGAATACTTGAATTCATGATAATGAAACCTTTTTATACATCACTGCTTTTTGGTTAAGATACTGATAAGATCTTATTTGACCTACGTGACTTATTTTAAGCAGTATTTAATGAGAAATAAGCCGCTGTACAAATACAAGTGAAAAATAACGAGCTTCGAGGTTATGTTGACTTATTGTAAATATGTAAGATAGTTAATATAGAAGTCCAAGGATATTTAACATGGAAAAACATATATATATTTAAAAAAAACTGACTTCATTATTTCTAAATCCTTTTCGCGAGATTTTATGTTGTGTTTATAATTTTTTATTATATAATATAAGGCTTCTGCAGTGCAATAAAGGGGTGCAATAAAATTGATATTGAACGTGTGCAATAAAGATGCAAATGAGCGCGCGACACCTCGGGAACTAGGTCGTATTCCTACGCACTACTACTACTACTACTACTACTACTATAGTATAGGCTTACTACAACATGGCTGACGTAAACATTGGGGATTCTGTTCGAATTGGCGGCAAAGGTAGGGGCACAGTACAAGAACTTGTTCCAATGGGATTTGCAACAGTTTTAATCGAGGGAAGTGATATTGAGATTGACTTGCCAGGTGATCGGTTAGAGCCAATACCCCAGACTATGACTCAGTCGTCCTCGCTACCACAAAAGCAGACGACACCCAACCAAACTCAAAGGTTTGTTCCGGTCCAACAAACGGAAATTGGGTCATTCATTGAACAACAATCAAATAAGAACACTCTACTGAAAACGTGGAATGACATGAAAGTATTGAAAGCCTTTTTCGAAACTCCAGAAATCAACGAATCCCGAAGTATTCAAAACATACCCCCTCCCGAATTATCTCCGTTGCTTTCCCAATTTTTCATGAGTGTCCGAAAAGTGGACGGTTCTGAATATGAACCAAACAGTCTCAGATCTATGATGTCAAGCTTTGATCGCCAGCTACGCCGATTTAATTATGGTCATGCTATTATTACTAGTCCCCTGTTTGCCCAGGTTAGAGAAGTGTTGAAAAGTAAACAAAAACAGTTAAAACGCGATGGAAAAGGTAACCTTGACAACCGTAGTGATGCTATCAGCGACGAGGAGATCGACGTTTTGTGGAGAAAAGGTCAATTTGGAACTCAAAACCCTGACGCTATTTTACAGACACTTTGGTTTTTCAATACAGTACATTTTGGTTTACGGGGATCAGCGGAGCATCGCGATATGTGCTGGGGGGACGTTACACTACAAAACCACACTGACGGACATGAATATCTAGAGTTTACGGAAAGACAAACAAAAACCAGGACAGGGGAGAACACCCGTGATGTACGCAAAGTAAAACCAAAATTGTGGGCAAACACTGAAAATCCCGAAAGGTGTCCTGTTCATGTTTACAAATGCTATGCAGATATGAGACCTACGACTTACTGTAAAGGATCAGATCCATTTTATATAGCTACTACAACAAAAAGCTCACCTGGAAGTCATGAGACTTGGTTCAAGCGCCAACCCGTTGGTATCAACAAGCTAAAATCCATGATGCAACGTGCCATAAAGGGAGCAGGAATCCAAACTGACAAACACTTGTCAAATCACAGTGCGAGGAAATATCTTGTCCAGAAATTGAACGATAATAACATCCCCGCTAACCATATAATGCAAATTTCTGGTCACCGAAACATTTCTTCTATTAATAATTATTCACACATCAACACGAATCAACACAAAGAAATCTCCAAAATACTGCACGGAAATCCAACAGCACCTGAGACCGGATGCAACACAACATCACTGACACAACAATCAATGGCGTGTAACCAGTCAACTTCCTCTGTTGTCAGGGTCCAGGGCGGTTTCCAAAGTATCTTTTCAGGTGCTGTCACAGGAGGAAACATACAAGTTCATGTTTACCAAGGACCTCCTCTGAAAAAACGCGCCCGTGTTATAGAAAGTGACAGTGATTCTCAGTAGGCCTAATATCCAACACATGTGTTTTCGGTTTCCGACGACCTTCACAGTGCGCGCGCTCTTACACTGTTCATGACGTCACCGATGAAAAAAAACAGTTTTTTTCCGAAGCGAAAAAAAAGAAGTCATATTTTGTAAACTTTTATTATTTCAATTGTTATCACAATTAAAATGATCGTTAAAAGTAAAACTGTTGGCCATTTATTATTCTGATAAAATTCTGCGGACTACTTTTGTTAGCGGAACATGCTCTCAAATTAGTATATGTGATGCGTCCTTTCTCGTCGTCATTGCATATAGAGACGTTAGTATTGAAACCACTTATGTAGGTAGGTTTCTCGAATTATATAATAAATAGAATCTAACACTCGTGTTCATGTTATATTGAATTTATTGAACTCGTATATTAATTTCATATGAAACTCGCCAAAGGCTCGTTTCATATGAAATTAATATACTCGTTCAATAAATTCAATATAACATGAACACGAGTGCTAGATCCTCTATATATTTTACCTAAACACCGGAATTAGCAGTTATATGACATACCTTTACAGTAGAAATCTAGACCGTTTTTTGGTGTCTAAATGAATAATGTTCACGTTTAATAGGCTGATAATCTATTCATTTTAATTTTAGTAAGTTAAATCCTGAATAAAGACGAAGATGTAAGCATTATTTTTCTAGTCCAGGTATATGCAATAAAGCAGGTTACAAAATCATCAATTAACAATATATATAATGTAATGCAAGAAAACCTAATTGGGGATTTCCACTAAACACGAAGTAGGATTTCTCTACTTTCTAATTTCATATTATTACTGCTATTTTCATTTCGAGGGAAATCCACATTTGTAATTGCCCTAATAATATCTTTCAGAAGATGACTACTAGATTTCACGTAGTCATTTTCGCTACGAAATGATAATATAATGTTTTTGCCAGTTTCATGTCTTCGTTATAAATATGAGATAGATTAGCCGTTCTACTTTCGTTTTAAGTTAACATACCACAACGTATGATTATGTGCAGAAAAATCAGTTTTTATGCTGAAATAAACACCAATTTCTCTTACACACATAATATCCCAGTCATACATCTATCTATGATAGCTACATGTACTAACATTTCATGTAATTTCAAAATATTTCAGAATACATTGGTATGCTAAATACCTGAAAGCATTATCATATATATGTACATACATAACACACACAAAGATGTCTGACATGAAGTGTGTAATTCAGTCAGTATATTTGTTGAATGTGAACACGATCAATCAAATCTTACCTGATAGCATTAAGTATTCCTTTTCAAGAAACAGAGCTGAGTATACATACAAGCGTGACTTTGACCCTGGACTTTGTCATACTGCTACGGTGTAAACAACGACTGATACGCCCCTTCTCGACTGATACGCCCCTGCACGACTGTTGATAATGACATAATACATGCTATCGATTCTCGGAACTGCTAACAACGGGCATACGGAAGCGGGGTGGTAACATAGCCCTAACGGAGACACGTGGTTTAATCTTTGTTTAACTTCTCTAGAATTCTCCTTCTTATCATTCTTATTATTTTTATGTTATTACTGTAGTTTACTTTTGCCATTGAAGAAGGCCAGGATGTCGAAATATTCGGAACTAGGGCGACATTTATTATATTTTTATCATTTTGCCCATCGGAAATCATCTGTTGTTTATTATGTAAATTGATTCAATTCACTTTATAAAAATGTCTGTAGTTGATTGATATTAATTAATATTATAAGAAGTTGAGATGTTTGCGCATTTATGACATATTTTCCAAACCGAAGTAATTAAAAAAAACTTTTAGGTAAAAAAGCAATTAAAATTCTATCACGTGCCTACAATGTCATACATAAAATACATATGCAAGACCACACACATGTGTTTTTTCTAGCGAATCAGAAAGCACGAGTTTATTGCGCGAACGAATATATTCACGAGTGCACGGATACGTCCGCGCAATAAATGAGTGCTTTCTGATTCGTTAGAAAAACACAAGTGTGTAGTCTTGCTTTTATCACATACCTTCCGTATTTGGTAGAGATCGATACAAAGATTTTATAAACTTTGATATTTTTTTGCAAATACCAGGAACTTTTTAGTTTGCCATGACAAGGGAATTCCCATAAAAAGGTAGTTCCGGCTAGTAGGTAAATACAACATTCCGTATTGCACATGTGCAATACAGAACGTTGAATTTCATAGTCTGAAAATTGCATGTATTACTATAACAAGATTCAACAGGTATGTGATAAATTTCGTGTAATATGTTTAGAGTATTACCTCATGCAAAAACATACATTGTGACGTAACCATTTGACTTCATAACATTCCGTTGTGTTGTTAAAAGACAAAATATTAAAAAAAAGTCATAAGTCAAAATAGCGAATTTGCAAACTTCGCAATGACCAGAAAATACTTTTTCACGAACACATACATGCATTCTGGGTAGTCGAATATGAAAGGAACTTTTATCATTTTTCATTTTATGAGAATTTCTGACATGTATCCTTAAATGAGAAAATCAGAACTCATAATCTCAAAACTCTTTTGATATATAGTGCTGTAAATGTAATCATTCTCGCCAGGTCGAATTTTCGTGGCGTTCGCGGTAATACTTTTCTCGCGAAAATTACAACTCAAGTATTGCTAGTGAACTAACCCATTCTTACCATTGGACTTTGTACCAGGACCCGAAATCCGCTAGATGCTGTGGGACAGTAACAGCAGTAAAATATAGTAAAGTCTGAGAAAGTGAAACACAGGTAAATATCAGGTATTCACAGGTGAAACGCAGGTTTTATGAAACAGTATATAATTAACTTCCGATTGTCTGTTCACCATCGTGACTCTAACCGGAAATCAGACCCTGGATTATAATACAATTTTAATTAGTATAGAGTACGGACAAGAATATCCGGAAGTTTATTTTTGTATATCAAAATGTGAATTTATACTTATTTGTTAATATATATGTAAGACGAATACTGATAATTGATAGAAAATTTGAACAGTATGTACATTATTTAAAGGCGATTATAGACGCCCATGTACATTGTATGTATATTTATATATATGTTTATGTCATAAAACTTTGAAAATATAATAAAAAAATAAAAAATAAAAAAAAACTTCCGATTGTCTTATAAACAACACCTGCCTATTGTTGGTTAATATGTTGGCACTCAGAGAACATCCCTATTCAGGATAACTGCGAAAATTGGAGATCGCAAAAATAAGGTTCACATTTTCGTGTCTCATTTTAATACATACAATCGTAACTGTTAAACATCCGGATAAACAAAACTGCATTTTTGATCACATCCTCTTACAATTTCTAATACACAACACCTATCCTATTTTAAATGCATGTTAAATGCAATGTTCTTAAAACACATGTTCGTATCTTATTCTAATACATATGTTCGTATCTTATAAACACTTCAATTATAACCACAAGAGCAATTTAATCATCTTAATTTAAAAAACGTTCAACTTTATAAACTCCACAAAAATCATCAGTGTTTATTGTAATTTGGAGACTGCACGAGGTGTCTGTAAGTATTCTAACCGAACGCCTCCATCTCGGATTCTACATTCGTCCTTATTGTTTATTACACTTACATGCACTAGAGTTTAGTCATGACATATATAAAAATAAAATAAAAAAAGGACCTGTCCGAAACCTAATCGTCCTCTATGATACTACAGTGTATAGATGCCAATCAGGCTCCGGACTGGCCTTTTTTAAATTCTTTTTATTTATTTTGGTAAAACTCAAACGTCTATTTTACAACATATCGAAGAATAGCCTGTTCAAATCACGCACTAAGGTACTGTAGACGTTTGACTACGTCACCGAACACCGCCCATAAGACATGGTTTTTGTTCAGACAGATTGCCTGGGTATTCCGCTCGTCCGTGAACACCGTCCTGATGAACTCCCCAACAGAACTGACGAGAAGGACACTGTGATTGTTACAGTCAGCAATGAGAAGGTTCCCAACATTGTCAAAGGTCACATCCCAAGGATCAAATTCAGCTTTTGATTCCGGTTGGTATTCCAGCATGTCTCCTTTAAATCGGAACAACTCTTCGAAGTTTTTGTCAATGACAATAACTTGCATTTCTATATTCTCTTCATGGCTCTGCCTTTCAACCACAGCAACGTTCTGTGTCAGCCGACATTCTGCTATTTTCTGTGGCAAACGAACCAATGATTGCCGAGGCTTTGACGTTTTCGTGCTCATGAGCGGTTTACCATGTTGTGAGAATCTGACCACTTTTTCTGACATCCCCACCAAGATATGATTCTCTATGGTAACACACAGACATAGAGGCTTGCTATTGCAGTAGAAGCTGACACTTGGCGCCCACTGTGTACACTCCATGATGCTTGAATCGGCGTCAGAGCACACCCAAATGTTCCTTGTTCTGGGTGATATGCTGATATCTGTGATTCTCACGGTGAACTTGAACTGCCTCCGAACCGTACCTTTTTTGTTCAACAGCTCGAGAACGTCCCAGTATGAAATCCAAATTTCGTCATTGTCAACTGGACATATCCTATTGCCAATTCTTTTTGTATAAAGTTTACCAAGAGTGACGGTTTGGGGCAGAAGCTTGTACTTCACGACCGATCTTCTGGTAGTTCTCGCTTTTGACATCGATCGTTCCGATGTTGACGCCTGGGTAGATGGCTGAAGCTGTACTGTCGACTCTGTCTGACCATCAGATCGGTCATTTGTGACCAACGTTCCTAATGCTTGCTCCAGGTAACAGCGATAGTGTGAAGGTGGTTCAAATGAAGTGGTATTCAAATTTGGGTAATCGGGTAATTCCAGAGGGAAACTTTCGAACACATGCTCAGCGTCATATAGTTCAATATCAGACGCCTCTTGAAGCTGTGTCTTGCATTCGTGTATCTCTTTATCGAGTCCTTTGTGGCTGTCTTTCAGACATTGCTTGTAGTCGGTGAGTAGCCGGATGTTATCCTCTCTCCGTTTTTGACAATGTGACACAGATTCGGCGATCATACCGTCAATTTCCTGTTTTAGTTCCTCCCCATGTTCTTGAACTGTTGTTCCTAGCTTATCAAAGTACTCCGAAGTATTCTCTATTTGCTGTTCAATTGCCCCTATCTTTTCTGTAATGTTTTGCAGTTTATTATTTTCAAGTTCGTCGATAAACTTGACCATTTTTGATTTCTTTTGGTTTACGATATCACCAAGTTCGGTCAACGCATGCGCCCTATGTCGAGTAGCAACACATTTCATACAGGCGAGTTCGCTGCAATTTTCACAAACGAATTCTAAGTTATTGCCTGTATGATACATGCACGTGATCTGTCCTTTCTTGCGAGCAGCAGTTTGACCTGCAGTAGCCATGATCGATTTGAAAAGATTTCCGCTGAAAAAAACAACAACAATATTTTGGTAACTGCACAGCCAATTCGAATAAGATTATCAGATTATTTCATGCCCCGGGTTGTAGGATAAGGACATTCAACTCAAGAGGTTTTCGAATTGGGTAAAACACTTTTTTTTTCTCATTCCAATCATCTGAATTAGTTCACAAACCATAAGAATATTAACGCATTTTGTTCATGGACACCCCTTGCATATGATAAAACATATATTTATAGACTTCATTTGGTTTCAACACAAACGATTGAAAAACAAAGATAACGCTATAAAATGACTGTTGTTACATCATATGAGTGCAGATATGCTTCGGACAAGATAACGTTGTTGACAGAGTAAACAGATCATACCCATACGAGCATTGTTTGTTTACATAGTGTTTTACGTCCTTGCTATTGTCAAAGTCATTTAAAGGGCAGATTGACCTGATATGTATATTACATAAAACATTGATTGTGGGTTTTTCATCGAGGAAATTCAACCTCAGGTATTCAGCTATATATAAAGAGAAGATATACAGTTAAACAAAGAACGTTCTTGACCTACAAATGAAAATTAGATTCTCAAAAGAACATTAGCTGTCCCAATACATTTCCGGTAGAATATGATGCGAAAGAAACACGACTTACCAGGTGAAGTTCTTGCTTCTTTACTGCTATATCACGTGACTTTGTACAACGCTTACTTCCGTTAAGAACCTAAACGTTCTCGACCAATCCCTTTGTCAGGTTACAACAAGTACATATAAATAAAGCCTTTATTATAAGGATGGACCCCAGCCACGTGTACTATGTAGGATAGTCTATGCCTCGCATCCTATAATGATGTTATTACTATATCTTTATTGTTTATCAAATTGCTCTAAATACAACATAGAATGCAAACTTGTATTACAGTATATTTTATCCCGGCAACCCTGGGTGGGACTGGATGGGCCGATCCACCACGCTTCGACCACATTCTACTTCGACGAGCCATCCGGAACACGATTTCTTCAAGATTTTTTTTTTTTTTGTAAATGATATTGATATATGCATCAAATGCTCATACAACAAACAGATATCTATGTGATTGGAAAATATTGATACCCGACAGTAATATTTTATATTGCTATTCAAAATGAAAAGTGCCAGATAGGCTGGTCCGGTAATATAAAGACCAATTGGCCAATATGACCTGCGTGCAAAAAGGAATAACCCTGCTTGTACGAGAATACCTTACCAAATAATCGCGATAAAAACATTGCAGATGTCAGAAATCTATAAATATCATGGAAATCGCGATATTCGGAGCTAAACTGCATTACTGCATACCGGGAAATTGTCGATGTAAATTATCTGTTGCCTTTCCGCCCTCCGTATTGATGGCGAATTTATTAATACTGTGAATTTAAGTTAGCAACATAGTAACTCAATATGAAGGGAGGAATTAACACTGGGTGAAAATTGGTTTCATGGGCGAAGGGCGAAAGTTTTACTGGGCGAAAATATCTCGGTATACAGCATGTAAAACTGGAACGGATATAATTCTTCGTTTCTTCTTAACATCGTATGCTGATTATAAAGCGTTCTTTTGTGATCTGATGATCTTGTCTTGGGCCTGATCGGGACCTCACCTAACATCGGCGAGTGTCGGCCCAATATTCGCATGTATCCTGAAATATCAGTTTCGGCAACCCTAACTTTGAATCGGTTCTGGTACAAGTGTCAACATCTACGCACATGCTTTTCGGACAGCAAGCCATGTACAGGTTGAATTTATAAAAAGATTTTGAAACGCTTATTGTCATTAAATCTGACGCATCACTCATACAGAGAATGTGATTGGTTGATGTATGCTAGGTATACACGCTGTAACAACCTGTAACAAGTAAATTAAAAACTTATAGTGATAAATGAAAACGTGGCGTCAAATAGCACAGCGACATTGGAATACTGTTTCGTGTCTTTGGAAATGTTCAAGGACATGTCAGCTATATACAGGCGGAAGGTCCATCGGTAACGAATATAACACTACTTTTAAGGGCTTCACCGGGGGTTGATATTAAGGACCCCTTACCACTGCCAAAAACAGTAACTATGCATCGGAAACTGATTTTTCTGGGCTGACTATGGCTTTGGAAAATCACTTCTAAAACGATACATTGCGGGATTTTATGAACAAAACAGCAGAGATGAAACGAAACAAAAACAGTGTTCTGAGAATAAAACTTCAGCGTGGCGTGACTAGATTGGGGTTGGACCCAAAATAGTCATACTGTCAGATTCAGATAATTGGTCAACAGATGTGCCCTTGCCCAATTGCGCTACTGTTATATATCCAAAACGGAAGGAAGGGGAAGACAAGCTATTGTAGATACGAACAACCACAATGGTGGTATCAAGCGTTTCTTCTTAAGGCATCTTTACTGCTTCTTTGTCAGTAGTATATCATGTTCACGTCTGTTTATATTCAATGTACAATAAGCCAACGTCACTGACGTTGCTATCGACTTCTTAGTCAGAAATGTATGCGAAATATATATCAGAGATCTAATATGCATGTTTCATTCCCTGAAATTATTTGTGTTCTTCTAGGCGTTGATTAATTGTAAAGATCATTAGAAAATAAACTCCTTCAGATACCGCAATAAAAACATAAATAACCAAATGATTTCTTTGATAATTTAATATACGTTAAAATTTGTGGGGAAAAAAAGCACATTCAGCTTGAAGCTATCACATCAGACATTGCTTTACAGGGATATATCATTTATGTTTGACATGCTATAGAATGATTAGATGACTCGGTTCTGTACAGTGGGCTGTTCACTGGAAGTGGAGGCAATGCAAATGATCGACCCATGGCGCATGTCACTTTGACCCCGTCCTGGTATCAACACCAATATAGATATCGGTCGTTGTAAAAGTTATCTGTTCAGGATATTGTCACTATAATGATTACATTTCATTATATTTACATTTGCTCTTCATCCTTCCATTGCAATGCATTGAGAAGGCAACTGTTATTATGAGACTTTAACAGCATTTGCTCTTCTAACGTCATCAATCTCTATTGTGACGTCATCAATTTCATTGTTGTCAAGACTTAATTTGCTGTTTAAAGAACAGTTCGAAACAACTGAATAAAGCGTAACTATTGTATCATAAAGTAAATATAAATAATGAATATTTTAGGAAATAATGTTAAAGTCCTATTTTAGACCCGGGCTTTATTAAGTTTGTCATCAATAGCAATGTGTGTTATAGGGTCAAACAACATTTGCTAAAACATACATGGCTTAAATTTGACATGTGAGATAAGATAATATATATATATATATATATACATGATTACAAAATATGTATCAATCCATACATTAAAACAGATTATGAAGTTTTTAATTACAATTTGTTATTATTCACATAACAAAAAACTCAAATAAACACAGTTATGACTACATGTTGCTAAACAGAGTAAACATATTCAGCGTTAAGCTTTTGCACCAAAATTGGAAGCAGCTTATAACTATATGCTGACAGGAAAATAATTCATTTTAGAATTGGTAGGTAGGTAACACCAAACATCCGACACATTTTATATCGGTCTTAAACAGCATAGATATATAAGGTATGACATAATCGAAGAGTATTCACGTTCTTTAAGTTAAAAATTACAGCAATGATCAAATCGTTGTAAAAATTGAATAAAAAATGATCAAATCGTTATAAAAATTGTCCGAACATGGATCAACAGAAGTTGTATGATTACGCTTCGTGGATTCATACTGTTTTCCTTGTCCAATACTCCCTATCAATGTATATGTACACTCAGAACAATATGACCCATGAAACGTTACACGTCAAATTCCAAACAATGAACATAGGAATGAATTCGAAAATTTGTGATATGGCAACTGGAAGTCATAGATTAGCATAACTCCATGAAGTGGGGTTTTTCTGATGATGTTCGAACTAATTTGAGATGATAGAGCAAAAATGAAGTTTTATGATTTCGCTATTTATAAGAATGCTCAGAGTCTTCAAAGATTGTGGTAAACTTAACCAAACAATTGGGTGAAAATAAAGGACTAGTTGTCCGAAAAAAAATGAAATACCACAAGTACGACAGATATCTTAAAGATGCTCTATATTGCAACGTTAAGAACCTTTTCCTTACTGCTCTATTAATATATCTTACCTCTGTTCCACATATTCTTTATTGACATGCCACACGTGGTGTGTCCTACAAGTTATGTCCTTTTTGTTTGTTTTTGAAACAAAATTCATATTTGTTTTTGTTCGTACGCAGTTTAACGTCTGCGCAACATCTTTAGTCATATAAAGATGGAACTGAATCTAAAACGTTTACAGCGGTTTTTTGGCAATCGGTACCTGCGATACCCGTTACTAAAACTACAGAATGACTTTTAAGTTAAACAGCGCACATATAGTTAGTTCTTTTCATTTTGTATAACAGTATAACTATGCAGACCAAACACCTGAACAATTGTCGGAGAGGCAATATGCGAATCACAATCACGCACTATAGTACTGTAGACGTTTGACTACGTCACCAAACACCGCCCATAGGACATGGTTTTTGTTCAGACAGATTGCCTGTGTACTCCGCTCGTCCGTGAACACCGTCCTGATGAACTCCCCAACAGAACTGACGAGAAGGACACTGTGATTGTTACAGTCAGCAATGAGAAGATTTCCAGCATTGTCAAAGGTCACATCCCAGGGGTCAAATACAGCCCCTGCTGCTTGTTGACCATCTCCTCTGTACCGGAACAACTCTCCAAACTCTTTGTCCATGACAAGAACTTGCGATTTACAATTCGCGTCATAGCTCTGCCTTTCAACCACAGCCACGTTCTGTGTCAGCCGACATTCTGCTATTTTCTGTGGCAAACGAACCAATGATCGTCCCGACGACTGCGTTTGTGTGCGGAGGAGAGATTTTCCTTGCTGGGAGAATTTGGTCACCCTTTGCGACATCCCCACCAATATTTGATTCCCTATGGTAACACACAGGCATATGGGCTTGTTCTTGCAGTGGAAACGCAGACTGGGTGCCCCCTGTGTACACTCCATGATGCTTGAATCGGCGTCAGAGCACACCCAAATGTTCCTTGTTCTGGGTGATATGCTGATATCTGTGATTCTCACGGTGAACTTGAACTGCCTCCTCATCACACCTTTCTTGTTTAACAGCTCGAGAACGTCAGAGTAGGAAATCCAAATTTCGTCACTGCCGGTGGGACATATCTTATTGCCTATTCGATTCGTCTGAAATTTCCCCATGATACTGGTTTGGGGTAGGAACGTGTACGTCACGGCCGGTCTATTTAAAGCTGTCGCCCCCGACACTGGCGTTGCAGTTGTTGACTCTCTCTTCGGTGACGGTAGCTGCGGGATTGACTCTCTTTGACATTCCGACAGGGCATTCGTTGTGATGGTCCCTAACGCTTGTTCTAGGTAACAGCGATAGTGTGTCGGTGCTTCAAAGACTGCGGTATGTAAATTAGGGATATCGGGTAAGTTCAAAGCTATGGTTCGGAATGCATGTCCGGCGTCATGAAGTTCAATAACAGACGCGTCTTGAAGCTGTGTCTTGCATTCGTGTAGCTGTTCTTTGAGTCCTTCGTGACCGTCTTCAAGACATTGCTTGTAGTCGGTGAGTAGCCGGATGTTGTCTTCCTTCAGTTTTTGATAGAGAGACAAAGATTCGGCGATCATAACGTCAATTTCGTGCTTCATTTTGACCCCTTGTTCTTGAACCTTTGCTCCAAGCGTATCGAAGTACTCAGAGGTACTCTCTATTTGTTTATCTACCGAACAAATGTTTTCTTTGATATTTGGCAGTTTGTTATTTTCAACTTCGTCAATAAAACTGATCATTATTATTTTCTGCTGTTCGGCTATATCATCCAGCTCAGTTAACTCATGGCCTCTGTGGCAAGAAGCAACACATTTTTTACACGCGAGTTCATTGCACTTTTCACATAAGAATTCTACAGTCTTCCCATTATGATGAACGCACGAACTTTGTCCTTTTTTGCGAACGGCTGATTGAACTGCAGCAGCCATGATGCCTTGCTCAATTCCTTTAACACTATTTTTTATTTAAGAAATGCGACCTGTTCTTACCGACTGTCTATACATATTCCGTTTAGTTCCTGAATTCCAACACTCGTACAGGACAAAACTCTGAAAAAGAAACAAACAATATTTTGACCTTTTTAACCTGAATATTTCACGCAGACATAAACTGCTGGAAAGATAATAATCACCGAACTGTATCATTGCACGTAGCTCACTTGTTTGTCTATATCGATAAAACGACAACAGACTTGGCCGTCTAAGAACTATTTATAATACAAGGTTCATGTGTGTCGAGAATCATGTTGTTCATGTTAGCCTTGACAAAGACTGTCCATACATGCAACCAGTTGCAGGTCCCTAAAGCTTTACCTCTCAACCGCTTTGTTTAAAAGAAGACTGACCAGTCTGTCTGCCTCAATGACGTAGCCCTATTCAACAGAAATGCTTCCTCCTATAAGCACGTATTCATTCATTCATTGGGGTACATATTGATCAATGTATAACCCGCTTAAACGGCAAAGTAAACAGAGTTCAATACTGTGTAACCTGATAACATGAATATCTTTCGATAGATAGATATTTCTTAAATAGCAATCTTAATGTAATGTTTAAATCGTGTTTATTGCATATCATAAAAAGAATTGATGGGACTTGTTTTTAACTAAGCAACTTCCCCTTCCGAATACATACAAGTTCGAATTATAACAATAGCAATGATTTTAAAACAGTAATGATCACATTTTCTACAAAACATTTGTATAACTGGGGTGGAAATGGGAGAGCATCAGCGAGATATGGTTCATGTTTAATTTCAGTTTCAATTTTGTAAGACATTGAAGGGGAAAGTAAAGTCAGCCCCTGATGTAAATATATATATAAATATTCCGTCTGATGTACCTTTCACTTATAACGCAGATGATTACACAACAACCTTCAAACAATACCCATAGCTTTATGTTCGTGTCTGTATTGCTGTATTGATCGGCCCGACATGCTGGTTATGCTGACAATGTAAAAACATAATTCGCCCTATCATTCAAATTCAGATACACGTAGACGGAAGACATTCTGATACAAAAACCGATGTCTACACTCAAAAATGATAATAAAGCCGTCATGCAAAAGAAACATTACCTGTCGAGGTATATCCCGAAAATATGTTGCGGTACAAAAGCAACTTATGTGAGCTACCCAGAGAAGCACCAGCATGGAGGCCGTTGTAACATATGGCTTCTGATGACGTCAGCTTCCTGTGAAACAGACAACGATACCGTCCAATCAACGTGTCCACTTGCAACCTGTCTTTGCACGGGTAGAGCGCTGACTACTACAAATCCCATTGATAATCATGCTTCCCTGGTATTTCGACACCGGACACGTGTCGGCAATTTATTTTGTTTCGCAACATGCTTTAGTAATTTAAATAATGGGTTAAAATGACTTCTTAATCTAACCTATAATTAAAAGTGAACTGTTGTATATTTATCTCATTAATACGACCATCTGCCGTTTAATTTACCTCTTAAATCGTATTCTATATTTAGGTATAGTGTCACGTGATCTAGTCGCGTAGGATCGATAGGTATGACGCTATATTCGGTAAGATGCAGTCGTAACAATACATGCATATCATGTTTGTTTCCATGTATAGTTAAATAGCGAATACCAATTGCATATTATGTGCAAATGTGGCATTTTCATTCGTGACCGTTTTAATCAAAATCGATCGTCTGCGTTTCATAAAGGGGATTTATGTAGGTTATTAACATATTAATCTCATGCCAATCACAGAACTTCTACATGATGCAATATTCCATTTTATAGAAGTGTTTGCACAATCTAGTCCGGCCAAAGAGATCAATATATATCATTGATTAGCGAACATAACACGACTGCATTGTTAGACTGACCATTCCGTCGCCATGCAACGGTAACATTATAACATCACGGAACTTAAGAGAGAAAAAATAAATTGGCTTAAAGAAAGAAAGCCACAAAAGACCACACCGGCCGAAAGTGACATTTGTAGCTTGTACAACGGTATGGGTCGTAATAACAAGTACATGATAAATAAATAGAAAACGAAACCAAAGGAAGTGGAGCTGTTAAGTGTCCCACTAACCAGTTAGTAATTGGGTTTCGTTTCGCCATCCCTCAACTCCTTACAACCATGTGTTTATAAAGACTATACTAAGATAGCCGAGTCTTGCTTCACTTTCTCCAAAGATCATGGTATCTACAATCTGGCCACATCTTTGAAAACATATATGTAGGAAAGTCTCATTTTACTCACAGACTTAAATATTAAGATACCACAAAATATTTAGCATCACAATTTTGACATTTACATACAGTAAGACGTTAGGGGTCACCGAAGTATATTCTTAAGATTAAGTAAAGGTATTGGTGGTCGAAAGCACCTTACGTGGCCGTCAGAGGAGTGTAAGTTGTGTGTAGGTTGGTCGTATAGGGTTTAACGTCCTATCATTAGCTAAGGTCATTTAACGACGTAGTGGTAGGGTGGTGCAGTGGATAGCGCACCTGCCTTTCACCAAGGCGACCGGGGTTCGATTCCCCGATCGGACGTGAAAAGGTATTGGGTCACCTGCCCGACTACGTGGGTTTTCTCCGGGTACTCCGGTTCCCATAATAAAAAAAAACCCGCGCGCTAACATCCGGGCCAACAAGAGTGAATAATGTAAGTTGAAATTACTTGTTTCATAATTGTTGTAAAATAAAGAAAGTTTATTTTAAGGCTGTGCCTCCACTTGTTGTGTATGCGTACATGTGTGTATGTAGCTGGAGACAGGGTAAGTTGGTGCATTTACCTCCTTGTGATAGCGTGGATCTGATGCCGACTTTATAAATGGGCTTTTTCCTACGGATAACTATGCCGAAGGCACCCATCACAACATTCCGCCCGGTCGCATTATACTGACAACGGGTGACCAAGTTGTTGCTTTTACCCTAACGTCAGTGTACCCAAATCGATACCGTACCCAAATCGATACCCAAATCGATACCGTACCCAAATTGATACCACATTTAAAAAAGTGGTCAAAAATCCTCGTTTGTAAAATCTGCGATATTTCACTTTCAGGAAGTCCCAATGTCAATATTTACTGTTGATTCAATATTGTTTTCCTGTATGCAGCAGCTTTTTTTTCTGCGAGAAGAATTTGAAATGTGCCAAGTCTCTCCCAGAAGCATGCACCCCGAGCCATACGGTCGTGCGACAGCTATTATTCTCATCCCTTTTAGTATTTTAAGACCTTATCAAATCACCTTTTGTCATATTTTATGTTAAAAAAACTAAACTAATCAACAAAAATGAGAAAATGTGATTGCATCTTCTTTTACTTCAATTTTGTGCGTGTACCAGCGACCTGACTCCTGTTGGTCATCGCCATCTTGTTTACATCGGACTGCACATGTCGGTCAAAAAATCCGGATTTGTTGTCTTAGAGATGGGAGACCCATTTTCCCGTATGCGATTAAATGCTGAACGTTCAGCAGGGAATAACTACAATTTTTCAGAAATTTTGTATGCCCTATGGCAAGCCAAGTTGTCATTTATGCATGGAGCAATGTTGATCCAGTACATAACCAAATTATATAAGATATCTTATTTAATTATATAAGATATCTTATATACTTTATGAGATATCTTATATACTTTATAAGATATCTTATATACTTTATAAGATATCTTATATAATAAATGAGATATCTTATATATTTTATAAGATATCTTATATACCTTTCTTTATAAGATATCTCATAAAAGATATAAGATATCTTATATATTATATAAGATATCTCATAAAAGATATAAGATATCTTATAAAGAAAATTAAATGAGATATCTTATATCTTTTAGAAGATATCTTATATAATATATAAGATATCTTATAAACAAAATTAAATGAGATATCTTATATAATTCGGTTATAAGATATCTTATAAAGAACGAGATTTGAATTTGAGATAATAAACCCTCCTCCACAGCGCTCGGTAAAGCATTAAATCGAAAGCCTTAGTTTCGTACGTATCTCTTAACCGGAAATGAAGTATGTGAAAGTGAAAGTAGGAGTTTAATGCCACCAAATAGGTCTGGTTATAGCGGTATTAACATTATTTTAAAAGGTTAAGCTTTATAAAGTAGATGGGGGGTAAGTGGTGGAGAAATGGATGTTCCTATGTATTTCATAACTGAAGGAAAACGATCCTACTGCATGTATTACTTACAATTTATTCATTAAAATGTTTTATCTTGATTTTCTTCACGGATTTCCTCTAAATGTTTTTAAAGAAATTTGATAAAATTGTAATATTACCCGTACAAATTCACAGACAGGTAATTGACATTAAACATATTAGGAACATTTATTAATTGTTTCGGCTGCTTATCACAGACCGCATTAAAGCCATTTTGGTCTCTGTGGAGTATAACATATAGATAGACATGGGGACATTTTTTTTTATTTACTGTTTCAGACTGGTCATACACCTGTATTTATTATCACAGACAGGCTATGTATCTTTAATTATATTGTTTCAGATAAAATTGTTTTAACTATCACAGACATTAAAGAACATACTTATGTATTTGTAATTCTATGTTCTATCAATATACTGTAATGTAAGGAACATTAATTCATTGTTTCAAACTGGTTATAAACTTGTATTTACTTATACTATTACAGACAAGAAGTAATATTTCATTATTTGATACATATGTATACAGATAAGTGATATTTCATCATCAGGTGCATGTTCTTTAAAGTCTTTGAGATATTGATCACTTATAAGATATATTTTGTAGAGATACAATTGTATTTTGTGACCTAAAAGGCATTTCACACAAGCCAGATACATGGTAACACTTACAGCATGTCTGTAGTAGTAATTACATGTGTAATACCTGTCTGTGATAGTATATACATGTGTAATACCTGTCTGTGATAATATATGCATGTGTAATAACTGTCTATAGTAGTAATTACATGTGTATTACCTGTCTGTGATAGTATATACATGTGTAATACCTGTCTGTGATAGTAAATGCATGTGTATGATCTGTCTGTGGTAGTAAATACATGTGCAATACCTGTCTGTGATAGTATATTCATGTGTAATACATGTATGTAGTAGTACATGTTTAATACCTGTCTGTAGTAGTATTTATGTGTAATACCTATCTGTGATAGTATATGCATGTGTAGTACCTGTCTGTAGTTGTAATTACATGTGTAATACCTATCTGTGATAATATATACATGTGTAATACCTGTCTGTAGTAGTAACTACATGTGTAATACCTATCTGTGATAATATATACATGTGTAATACCTGTCAGTAGTAGTAACTACATGTGTTATACCTGGATGTAGTAATATATATATATATAATATATTGCTGAGCATCAAAACTTGGATACACTTTTGTTAGAAAGACTTGTCCTAACTCAGTGCCTCTTGTTTATTATAAAACACAACAAAGATATCTTTATAAAGAAATATTGAGAAGGTTATATAATGATTTGTATACAGATTATACAAACTAGTAAACAGGGTAAATAAGAAGTGGTTTACAGAGTATATAAAGAATGGTATATAGAGAGTGGTATACAGGGTACATAAAAAGTCCTTATTTATTTAGTAAGGGTATCCTCTATAATACAGCCTCATTGCATAAGGTACCTGTATTTATCATCTCTATTATATATAGTGTATTGACTCATTTTCCAGAAGATACAATGTACATGATACAAAGTATATACATGGTATATTTCCGGTAAAGAGGAAAATAAGACATTTCATCTTCAAAAACCTGTAATTGTAGCATATCTCAGGTCTGAAAAAAACAGAGGCAAATCAGTCACTGGGCCAGAGCATTTGGGTGCCAATAGAGGAAGTTTGGGTGTAAAGATAATTAAGATCCCCCACCATGTAACCATCTGAATACATCCATGCTTACATGATTGGCGCCAGGGTCCTGCCCTGCCACAAGGGGCTTATAGTCCCCAAATTTTACATGAAATCAGTAAAGATCCCATCCAAATGCTGCTGGGCATGCAGAGGAAAAACACTCATGATACCAAGATAGTCCCTAATGGAGCCCACCCCATCCCTGAGGACTTACTCCTTCAGTCATAACATGGAAATTGTTGAGATCCCCAAGCTGATATTTCCTGTATGGTAAGAGGTAATCAACAACTTTTA